ATTCTGGCCGACTTGAACTGACTGTCTGCATGTTTCCAAGCACAATGCAGGGTGCTGGTTTTGATCTTTAAATCCCTACATGACTTGGAACCACCATGCCTCTATAGTCATTAACACATCTGTAGCCTTGGATGATTGCCATAGAAGAACCCTAGCATACAGGAGAGGCTCAGGAAGTAGAAACAGGGGAAAATATCCTCTGGTGGTGCCCACCTCACAATTATTGTGGACCAATCTCTCAAATGGGCCCAACCTAGCATTCCTGACCTTTTGCTACTCAGGCATTTGGCAGCCTAGGATGGAGTTTTAATCAGGTCTTGGATCATAGAATAGTAGAGTTGGAAGGGGCCAAGAAGGCCATCGGGCCAACCCCCTACTGTTGCAGGAAAGCAATTTAAAGCATCCCACTTAAATGGCCATCCAGTTCCTTTTTTAATGTCTCCAGTGTGGGGGAGCCCACCACCTCTTTAGACAGCTGGTTCCACTGTTGTATTACTCTGACAGTGAGGAAGCTTTTCCTGATATCTAGCCTGAATCTGGGTTGTTGCAGTGTGATTTGATTATTCTGTGTCCTACACTCTGGCATCAGCAAGAAGAGAACTTGACCTTCCTCTTTGTGACAGTTTTTGAAGTACTTATAGAATCATAGAATACAAGAGTTGGAAGGGGTCATGAAGGCCATCAAGTCCAACCCCCTGCTGTTGCAGGACACCATGTTACACTGTCCCACTCAAATGGCTGTCCAGTTTCTTTTTGCATGTCTCTAGTGAATTGTGGTGCTGGAAAAGACTCCTGCAAGTCCCTTGGACTGCAAGGAGATCAAACCATTCAGTCTGAGAGGAAATAAACCCTGACTGCTCTTTGGAAGGCCAGATACTGAAGATGAAACTCAAATACTTTGGCCACCTAAGGAGAAGGAAGGACTCCCTGGAGAAGAGCCTAATGCTGGGAACAATAGATGGCAAAAGAAGAAGGGGACAGAAGAAGGGGAAAGCAGTCGGTGTGAGCTTAGGTGGACTCTGAGGGATGGTAGAGGATAGGAGAGCCTGGAGGAATGTTGTCCATGGGGTCACGATGGGTCAGGTGTGACTTCGCAACTAGCATAGCGTAGCATAGGGTGGGAGAGCCCACCACCTCTTTATGCAGCTGGTTCCACTGTCATATTGTTCTGACAGTGAGGAAGATTTTCCTGATGTCCAGCCTGAATCTGGGATGCCACAACTTGATTTGATTATTCTGTGTCCTATGCTCTGGCATCAGCAAGAAGAGAACTTGACCTTCCTCTTTGTGACAGCCTTTGAGGTACTTATAGAGGGATATCATGTCCCCCCTCAGTCCTCTCTTCTCAAGGAGAGAGCATGCCCAGTTCTCTCAATCTTTCCTCATAGGGCAGTGTTTCTAAATCTTGGATCATTTTTCTTGCCCTCCACTGGACCCTTTCTAATTTACCTGCATCTTTCTTAAATCTTGGTGCCCAAAGCTGGACACAGCATTCCAAGTTAGGTCTAATTAGTGAGGAGTATAGAGGAACTACTACTTCTCGTGATTTGGAAGTAATACTTCTGTTAATTAATCAATATTTTAATATGTTTTAATATCGAATTTTATTATTGTATTTTATTAATTTGCAGCCAGAGTGGGTCATCAATTTATTTATGCTGTTAGCTGTCCAGAGATGTTAGTAATTGGACAGCATGCAAATTTTATAAATAAATAAATAAATAAAGCATCCCAAAATAGCTTTTGCCCTTTGGGCACCCACATCACATTGTTGACTCATGTTTAGCCTATTGTCCAGAATTACTCCAAGATATTTTTCTTTTTCAGTTCTGTTGAGCCACGTATTCCCCATCTTGTATCAATGCATTTAGTTTCTTTTTCCTAGGTAGAGGAATTGGCACTTGTCCTTATTGAGTTTCATTCTGTCGGTTTCAGCCCATTGTTCAAGTTTATCAAGATCGCTCTGGATCTTCATTCTGTCTTCTGTCTTGCTATTGCGCCCAGTTTTGTATCACCTGCAAATCTGATCATCTTTCCTTGTACTTCCTCATCTAAATCATTAATAAAGATGTTGAAGAGCACCAGGCCCAGGACTTTTCTGGTAACAGGGCTACTAGTATGCAGCTGTTGCTGTTGTTGCAGGTCACCAACACTGTGGAGTCTCCTTGGTCCATTGTTTTTGCAGCCTTAGTCATTCTGTCTTTGGGGGGACTGTTGTGACAACTGGTGCTTTCAAATGTCTTCACTAAAGTTAGCAACACAGTCCTACCAGCAAATGGGAGTGTGTTGCAAAGAAGAATACAAGTGTGTGTGTGTGTTTGTGTGCACGCACAGGGGAGGATTAAAGTGAAATAAGAAAAACCAAGGGGAGGGGGATGTTAGGGACCTCCTCCTTGCCCTCCCCCACCAAACTCCTCTTCCAAACTCCGGTTTGCTCTCCCTGGTCGGTCACTCCCTGAGAGCTTGGCTGCTACTTCCCAGAGGCCCTAGACCAGATGGGGCAGCTTGCTCTGCTCTGCTAGAAGTCAGGAACCAGAATAGTTATAATTGCTTCAGTATATACATGTATTTGTGTGTGTGTATGTATATGTGCTGTCTACGGAAACTGCCTTGGGTTCCTCACCAAAGGAAAAAAAACCCCAGGATATAAATACAATGTAATGGCAATAATAATAAACAATATCACACTATTGTGTTTTTGCATTGTTTAATATTTGTAACCAAGCTTTGGCTCTTGGGCAGTATTGAAATGTGATAAATGAAATGAAAAACCATTTGAAAAATTAAATTACAACCATGAAACTGCCAAAGTTTCCTAATATTACATTTGTAGTTGGCATGCATTGATTTTTACTAATAAAACATAGAAATGTAGCAAGTCAAAACTAATGAAATTTGATTGTTTTCCCCTGTGGAAAAATGACGCACTGGAATTTTTTCTGCCCCACTTTGCCAGTTGAAGCTCCTAGACACTCTTCAGAGCTAACCCCATATAAAGCATATTGCAACAGTTTAAATAAGATGTAACTGCTGCATGGATTACTATTCCCAAATCAGACCAGTTCAGGAAGGGTTCTAGCTGAACTCACCCCTTGCCATAGCGGCCACCTGAAGATCCAGGGACAGTGTAGGATTAAGGAGAATATTCAAGGTACAGACTGGCTCCTTAAGGTGCAACACAATCATTTCCAGAACAGATTAAATTTCAGTCTTCGAATTAGGTTTTCTACTGACCAATGGCACTTCCATCTTAAACTCAGAGGCTTAATCTCAGCTTGTTCACTCTCATTCAGGCAACTTTCAAGGGGTTTATCTGCTTCTTTGGTACTCAGTGAAAAAGAACAGAAAAGCTGGATATCATCAACATATTGGTAGCACCTTATTTCATAGCTGTGAATTCTCTCTCCCAGCAGTCTCATGCATATATTAAACAGCAGACCAGACACAATAGAACCCTGTGAGACACCACAGGGGAATGGCTGTGTAGCTGAACATTATTCCCCCCAATACCATTGCAAACAGCCAAGCAGTCCAGAAGGTTACCATAGTCAATATTTTTGAAAGCTGTCGTGTGTCCAGGCTTGGCATGAGGCCTAAGGGAAATGATGTGTCTGCAATATTCATTGTCTATTATGGGTCACATCAAGCAAGGTGTGATCTACATCAGATAAGTCTGGGCTTTGGAGAGCATAATGTGCTGGTTGGGCTTTCTCAGATAAGAAGCCGTCGTTCTGGCAAAATGCTGCTGCCAAGTGAGGCCTTAAAAGGGCTGACAAGCCTGACCTTTCAGTGGCTCCATTCCTACTGAATATTAACTGCACTTCTTAAAGATCCATTGTCTGTGTCTGTAGTCGCATGCTGCTGTGAGGCTGAAGAACACAGGAAGCTGGGTCAAAGTCATCCTCAGAACCTGCTGATGGGAGAGCAACATTCTCGGGTCTAGGAGGTAGAGAAAATAGATGATTCCCCTTGAAGAGGGTTTTCCTGTGACCTGCTTGCATGCAAGTCCTCCTCAGGGTACTGCAGAGTTTCAAAAGCAGAGGACATAATACTGAGATTATGTCCAAGAAATGGGGTCATGTTTCTCTCCCATCAAACTCCTGGCATAAATCATCTGCTAAAGCATCACCTAGTTTTTTATCTGAGCTGAAAACCTGATTGAAATAGGTCCCAGCTTCATCTAGATGTATCTGGAGTTGATACATCAACATTTTCTTATCACTTCATGGTGCATTTGAGACTGGTCTATAGTTAAATCTCCCAGGCCAAGGGCAGGTTTCTTTAATAAAGGTCTTAGTACAGTCTTTGAAGCAAGAGGAAACAATTTCTTCTAAAGAGGCATTAAGGAGTTCTCTTACAGCATTAGTCCCACCTTGGCCAACGGTTGAGTACAGAGGTACCGTGTCCGTGTCCTTGAGATTCATAAAGATGTAAATAATCGAGGCTAGTATAGTTCTTCCATCACACAGGAGCATGAAGTATGATTTGAGTGTGGTATAACATTGAATTTTCCTTCCTGAATAGCTGAGGGGGCAATGATAACATTTTTCTGATATATTAGAGCAACTAATGAGCTCAAATCTTTAAAATAATTAGAATATAATAAGAAGATTGGTTGTACATTTTGAAGGTTGGTTACATTGGCCTTTTTCCCTTTATCAGCGCTTCAGTTACCTTAAAATTCGAATAGTAGTAAGATGCACAGATACGTGATTTTTCTTTCTTTTTCTGTATATGTGCTTCCTGTATTATTTCCCCTGTTCTCAGCCTTCATATGCCTTAGTGATGCTGGAGTGTTTCAGCTACATGTTCTGCAGTAGTGGAAATGGGGCAGTTTAATATCCATGTCTAGATATGAGAATTTTGAAGATGAACGGGGCCTTTTTTCAACTATTTCAAAGGAACATTGCATAACATGAACTCTTTAATTTTTCTGGAAAGAGAAGTATGAAACACACATGAAAACTGTGCTTTAACTGAGAATATTTTTTTTCTTTTAGGCATTAGCAATGCTGAAGCTCGCCAGCCAGGGAAAGCACCTAATTTCAGTGTAAACTGGACAGTAGGAGATGCTGGTTTAGAAGTTATTAATGCTACAACGGGCAAGGACGAAATGGGCCGTGCATCCCGTCTTTGTAAGCATGCTCTGTATAGTCGTTGGATGTGCATTTATGCAAAGGTATGTCTTTGCATAGCATATGGTCCAGCATTATTTGTGTTGTTGTTGAACTTAACTATTTAACCAGTCTGTCTTTTATTGAGCAAGCAATTCTCTCCCAGAGCTGAATGTATCAGGAATTTGAAATCCATAGATGATTCGATATTATGTTTGGCTCAGTTTCTGGTTCCAGACTCCTAGTTGAGCAGATCGGAGGAAGCTGCCCAGCTGGTCTAAGGCCTCAGGGATACAAGCAGCCAAGCTGCCAAGGAGCGAGCGACCAGGGAGAGCAAACAGGAGTTTGATGGAGGAGTTCTGCAGGGGAGGTCCTTAACATTTTTTACCCTGTTTTGCTTCTCTTTCTTATTTGACCTTAATTCCCCCGCTGCACGCGGTGGCACGAGCAATGCACCAAGAAGACTCCACAGTGGTGGCCTGCTACAACTGCAACTGCTGCACACTCGTACCCCTATTACAGGAAAAAGTGAGAGCACTGGAGCAGCAAGTGTCCACCCTCCGGAGAATAAAAGAAAATGAAGAGTTTCTGGACAGAGCAGAGGAGCTAGAACAGGTAAGTGTAGTCCAGAAGGAAAAAGAGCATCAGCAGGCTGAGGCAGCAGAAGAGAACCCCGAGGGAAGGGAAAATGAGGTAACTCGCTGGAACAGAGTGATAGAAAGACCTAGAAAACACTCTGCACCGTGGAAGCAGTGAAACTCTCAAACAGCTTGAGGAAGAGACGTGTGAGAAACCCACTGTGAAAGAACTACATGACACACTGAATAACTTTTTCAGAGAGAATAGGCCAATCAAACAAGGAAAGGATAGCAAAATTGGCAACAAAAGGAGAGTGCTAGTTGTGGGAGATTTCCTCTTTGCAGAATGGAAAAATATGTATGTCGTAATGACCCAGACACTCAACAAGTACGCTGTCTCTCTGGTGCCAAGGCTAAAGATATAACCAGCAAGTTCACACAACTCGTACGACCCACTGACAAATACCACTTCCTTCTCTTCCACAAGTGAACAAATGACACTGCCATGAGAAGTTTTGCTGAAATAACATAAGACATCGAATCTCTAGAGAGGAAAATAAAAAAATAATAGGGCTCAGCTACTCTTTTTCTCAATCCCACCAGTATGTGGAACAGCAGCTGGCAAATGATGGGCTGCACCTCACAAAGAACGGGAAGTGGATGTTTGGCCACTGCATGAAAAACTCCATCAGGAGAGCTTTAAACTAAAACCTGTAGGTGAGGGAGATGTGCAGCATGGCACAAAGAGGACAAGGATTCAACCTTCAAAAAGCAACTTGCCAGCATTCCCAAGAAGATTGATGTAGTCATGATGGGGGACTTCAATTTCCCTGGTATTCGCTGGGAGACAAATTCTGCCAAGCATGGCCCCTCCAAGAGATTCCTGACATGTGTTGCTGACAACTTTTTCCAGCAGAAAGTAGAGGAAGGTACGAGAGGATCAGCTAACCTCGATTTAATACTAACAGAGATGGCCTGGCAGACAAAAGAATAACCATGGGAACTCTGGGGGAAAGTGACCATGTGATACTTGAATTCTCAATTTGAAGGAGATAAAGGTTAACTGAAGGTAAAAACATACCCTGGACTTCAAGAAAGCCAACTTTAATGAACTCCGAAAAATGATAAGCAAAGTGCCATGGCAACACACCCTTTAGAGGAAAGGTGTCCAAGAGGGATGGGAAATTTTGAAAAAGAAGATTGTCCAAGCACAACTGTGAACAATTCCATCAAGAAAAAGGTGTAGCAGACAGCAGAGGAAGCCCACGTGGCTCCACAAAAATTTAAGTGACAGCCTGAAAGAGAAAAAAAAAACATGTACAGGAAGTGGAAGGAGGGCCAGACCACAAAAGAAGAATATAAACAAATATCAAGGAATTTCAGGAATAGCGTCAGGAAGGCTAAAGCGGAAAATGAACTAAGAATAGCAAGGAATGCTAAGCACAACAAGAAAGCCTTCTTCAGATACATCCAGAACAAAAGACATGAGAAAGAGAAGGGCGTCCAGCTATTTAAGTGGATGGCAGAGTGATAACAGAGGGCAAGAAAAAGGCAGAGATGCTCAATACTTCACTTCAGTCTTCTCCCACAAGAAAATCTGCAATCAAGAGGAAGTTCAAGCTGGAAGTGAGAGATGGCAGCTCAATATTGGCAGACAAATGGTCAAGGAATACCTAGGTGGAATAAACACTTTCAAATCTCCACCTCAGAGTAATAATAGAGCTAGTGGAGGAACTCTCGGAACCACTGGTTGTTATTTTCGATAAATCTTGGAAAACAGGAGAATTGCCGGACAACTGGAGAATGACTAATGTTGTTCCTGTCTTCAAAAAGGGAAAAGGATGAACCTGGGAACTATAGACCACTTAGTCCAAGATCAATCCCTGCAAAAATTCTGGAGCAAATTATTTAAAAAATCCATCTGCAAGCATCTTGAAGAAACTGCAGTGATTAGAAACATAAAAACACAGAAACAGAGCGAGTCAGAAGGGGCCTCCCAGGCCATCTATGACCCTCGGCTCCAGCTGGCTCCGCTTATGACATGTCCACCATGTGCTTGTCTAGCCTATCCTTGAACACCATCACTGATGGGGCCTCAACCACCTCCCATGGAAGCCCATTCCATACCCTTGGGGTCCTGTCAGGGAGTACTTCCTGGCATCCAAATTGAACCTTGGTTCCTTGACTCGGGAGCACGTTGGAGCACGTCCTGCCCTCCTCTGCAGGGGAGAACAGGTCTTTACCTACCCCCATGTGACACCCCCTCAGGTATATCACCAACAGATCCCCTCGGAGTCTCCTCCAGGTTGAAAAGACCCAGTTCCCTCAGTCTCATCTCGTACGGCTTTCCCTGAAAACCAGCCGCCAACCTTGTGGCCCTACACTGAATTGATTCTAACCTGGCTATATCCTTCCTGTAATGAGGGGCCCAAAACTGAACAAAGTACTCCAGTTGCGGGCGCACCAGCGTCATATAGAGTGGTAGTAATACCTTTCTCGATCTAGAAGCCACGCTTCTGGCTATGCAACCAAGGGTGGCGTTTGCCCTCTTAACCACCACATCACACGCCTGACTCATGTTTAGCCTGCAGTTGACCAGCACCCCGAGATCCCTTTCACAAGTGCTGCTCTCCAGCCACTTGTCCTCTAACCTGTACTTATGACACCCATTCCTATGCCCCAAGTGCAAGTCTTTGCACTTATCCACATTGAACGCCACCCTGTTGTCTCTTGCCCACTTCCATAGTCTGCCCAGATCCTTTTGGATCTGGAGTACCTGCTCCTCAGTTGTGGCCATTGCCCCCATTTTAGTATCACCTGTGAATTTGTTCAGCAGACTGTTCACCCCCTCTTCTATGTTGTTGATGAAAAGATTGAATAGGATTGGCCTCAGGACACAAAATACTTAGTTCAACTTGCGACACCCCAGATCGGGCTGGACATCAGGAAAAGCTTCCTCACTGTCAGAGCAATACAACAGTGGAATCAGCTGCCCAGAATAGGTGGTGGGCTCTCCCACACTACAGACTTTCAAAAAGAAACTGGACAGCCATCTGAGTAGGATGGTGTAACATGGTGTCCCGCAACAGCAGGGGGTTGGACTTGATGGCCTTCATGGCCCCTTCCAACTCTTGTATTCTATGATTCTATAAGTACTTCAAAAGCTGTCACAAAGAGGAAGGTCAAATTCTCTTCTTGCTGATGCCAGAGTGTAGGACACAGAATAATCAAATCACACTGCAACAACCCAGATTCAGGCTAGATAGCAGGAAAAGCTTCCTCACTGTCAGAGCAATATGACAGTGGAACCAGCTGTCTAAAGAGGTGGTGGGCTCTCCCACACTAGAGACTTTCAGAAAGAAACTGGAGAGCCATCTGAGTAGGATGGTGTAACATGGTGTCCTGCAACAGCAGGGGCTGGGACACAATGGCCTTCATGGCCCCTTCCAACTCTACTATTCTGACTCTATGAATTATGAATCTGCCAAACAAGTACCTCCTCCAAATAGATTCCAGTATTTTGTGCCAGTTTTTTGTTGATTTGTGTCATAAATCTAGAGTCTTGTGCTGCCGCCCATGACTGTGTACTGATAAATCAAATGTGTTAGTAAACAAATGTTAATACAAAATCCTCTAAACCTGTGCCACAGCCGTATGCAGTTTTGCACTGTTAATATAAAAGTGAAAATTGCATATGAGAGCCTAGGAGAAGTTAGGAGGAACCTAGTGAAGGCAAAAAAAAATTGACAGTCCCGTGTCTCCTTTGAACGTGTGCTAGTTTTGTATTGCCAACCCCTCTCCTATCATCTTTCTGTGGGGCTTTCTCCATCACAAATAACAAATAAGCCTTTTGCCTTTTACGATAACTGATTCATTTGTTCAGATGATTGCATATATTAGCATGAGTTTTTTTTCAACCTGGAATTAGTAGCACAGAAGAACACAAAACTTTGGCATGATTTGAAGCAGGTGCAGGAAGATTTGATTTTTTACTTTTTTTATCCTCATCAAGCCTCATCTAAGGGTAAGTCATTTTTACGCTGGTGATGGTGGTAGAAGGCCTGAGGTTTGTGGCACAAAATAGCACAAGACTAGTGCAAAAGTTTGACATAGGTTTGGAGGAGATGTGTGTTGACTTTTTTGTGCACTAAACCTACATTTGATCTATCGGTACACAGTTGTGGGCTGTGACATTTGTAGTACAATACCACACAAAACACACACTAAATGTTGACATATTTGAAGAAGCTATTTGTTTGCATGGTTTGTAGTGAACAGATGCTGCTGGTGATGCTGCTCTGAGACCAAACAGAGGAATGGTATATAATGCTCTTGTAGTCAGCAGAGAGAGTTTTCCCTTTCTATCGGTCATTTGCAATAGCTGGGAAAGAACGTGAGGTTCTAGAGAAAAGCTGCCAGTTAAGAGTACAGGCCTAGATGTCTGGCAGAGCAGGTTCATAGGTTAGTTTCTGCTAAGCAGAAATGCAGGCCTTCATACTTTGGCAGACTGTGCCAGACTCCACAACATGCACAGTTTACGTAAAGCAGGTATGGTATGAAATAGTTGCCATGTTTCAGAACAGGCTTCCTCATAACAGAAACTATACTGTATTCCTTGCAGCAAAAGAATGCTGGGTGAGGGACTCACGGCTGTTTTTGAACAGCCACACATGATTCAACTGGAATTGCCCTCAACACGCTCTCTAAAATGAAATTGCCCCATTAAAACCTGATTTGAGGAGAATGTTTGACGTTTAAATCTAAATAACTTTTCTTTGTTAGCCTCTTTCTGTTTTGGGGGAGCAAGAGGTTGGCAGACTTCAAAACATTACAGTTTAATTTAAAACACACATACAAACTGAGTGAAGAACAACTGGGAATTTGGTCTGTCTTTGCATTTTGATTATGATGTGCAAACCGAGGAAATTATAACTGCTCCCAGATTTTCTATTGCCGATAATTTAGTAGATGGGCAATTAAGAAAACACATTTGAAACAAGCAGGACCTTTCCCCTACGTAACAGAATTCTTTCTTTTCTTTCATTTTTCTTTTGCAGCTTTCTTCTTGCCTTCGTTCAAAAGTCAATAAACCAAACCTATATCATGAGACTAAGCAGCGAGCTGTGGAATATCAAACTGCGAAAGAGTGTTTGTTCAAAGCGTTTTTGAAAGCAGGACTTGGAGCCTGGGTAGAGAAGCCCATAGAACAGGATCAGTTTTCCCTCGTAGTTTGATTTGTGGAGTATACTTCAAGAAAGAGCTATGGTGAAAGCTTCCATGTCCAACACCAACATTTTCTCTAATAAGTGATATCAACAGCATTAAAATCCTTGTTGGTTTTGGAGACAACTAGTGACAAATTTTATTTTATTTTATTTTTATGCTGAAGTATTAAATGAATCCCAAGAGCTTCTGTCTGCAGGAAAAAAATGTAGTACCACTCTCTTAAATTGATTCATCTGGAAAATTTAGAAATTATTTTAAGGCATTATTGCCGGGGGTGCATGACAAATGTAAATCACATAGGATTTTAAACTATATTTTTAGTAAGTGATCTGATTTTATGTTCTTTTAGAGCCTGTGAGACATATAACTTATGCACCTCTTTTAGATTTTTATTTTTTAATTGATTAAGAAGATAGGAAGGATACATATAATACAACCAGAGTGGAGTTTGGATAGCTAGTTTTCCCTACTTCCTCACTCTAAAAAACCAGCTACTGAAAATTTTGTGTCTTTGATGTATGTATTTATTAATCTGTGAACCAGTTTTTAACATGCCTGTTTTTATTCCATTTGAAAGTATTTGTCTTCACTCCTCATTTACACATATTGTGAAAGTTTTGGGTTTTTTTATCGTTGTAAACTGGAAACAAAAATATTTGTAAACTTAACACATTTTAAACTTTAATGTACAAAAAAGCTTGAAATAGATGGCTTTTGTTTCACGGGAACTCATCAGAGTACAACAGAAATATTACGTGCAATGACAATTTCTAGGCATTTAATTTGTGAGAAAATATGCTGACTTGCCACAGTTATTCTAAGGACAAAATAATTTTTTAAAATATGTGCCCTTCATCAACCTGACTTATTTTTTAGTTAAACTGTTTCGTCTCATTGAAGTTATATTGCCTGTGATTGTACTCATATATTAATATAAAACTATCTACCCAGACTATTCTGAAATATAATTGTTTTTGACCTACTAGAATAGGAGTAAATACTGGGAACATCATACTTATTTCCAGAATCTTGGCTCTCTAAGTGTCTGTACAAGTCTAGATCTCTCAATGACTATAGGAGTTAGTACCCATTGGCTCAGTGTTAGTTGAAGGAGTTAAAACCCAGGCTGAGAAGCATTTGAGGAAGATGGTCAGGTGGCACTCTTTGCAGCTGGTCCAGCTGTCTGTGCTGCACAGATATTTGGATTAAAAAAGTTTCACCCTCACATGCAGTTTGTATATTGTCATAGGCTGCAGCTAGCTAAATCTACAAAGCTGGTTGTCACATGTGGTCCGTCTGCTGACTGCCAATGTTTCACAAAGTATTACTCTCTACCTATAGGACATCACTCTGTCTGGGAAAGATGTGATAAGAAGTTTCAAGCTCAGTGCCATAAAATCAAACACATGGTCGTATAATAACTCACTTTCTTGATGTAGCCCTTCCAGCGTAAGTAGTATAAGCATAAAATATTGCTAGGATAGAACTCCAGTGATCAATGCAATCGTGAAAGTAAGAAAACTATAACAATCATAATAGAAATTTTTGGCTGATCTTATCAGTTCCATTCCAGGAAAGTATATCCTCTAGATTTAGCAAATTCATTTATCCTGTCCGTATGCTTAAAGCAAAATAATGCTTACCTGTTTTGCTACACCAATGCCAGGAATTAAAAATTTAAAATTAGATGTTTATCTTGACTTCTATATTATGTGATGTTCATATTGAAGGTGTCACAGCAGCTACAAGTATTTTAGAATATTTTTTGTGACTATGTATAATAGTTAGAAATGGTAGCTAGCTCACTTCTGAACTTCATCGTTTGGGTATGACTGCCTGTGTAGTACTGTGGTGATAGGTTTGAAAAGGTTGTGTGCATGTCTAAGAAAGTCCTATGTGGTGTACATCTTTCTTTAAAGCAGAGAGAGGAAATGTTAATTTAAGAAAAATACTAAAAGTTATCATAGCAATAAGATAATATAGATTCTAAGAGAATAAATCAGAATTTTACAGTGTGAAAGCAAATAATGTATATGGCATCTTTAAATGTTAATAGGCAATGTCTAACGGTTACTTTCGCTTGAATAATATATAAGAGACAAGCAACACATCTACATGCCTAAAACTGGCCACAGAAATGGTTCTACTGAAGCAATTACAGTTCAAGGCCAAGTTGTGGGCCATTATCAAGTAAATAGGACTGGAAATTCTTAAAACCTGACATTCTTGTAGCTGGACAAGACCAAGGGACAGAGCCCTAGAACAGAATGGTGTCCCAAAGGAGTGGAATAGATTTGGGTGGAGCTGTGGGCAGACTACAAAGGAAAATAACATGTATGGGGGATGCGGTTCAGCAGAAAAACTGCTGTTTCAACTAAGGGGTACAGAGGGAGAGAGGAGGAGGAGGCAGCAGAGGAGGAAAAATAACAGAACAGCCTTTTCCTTTGCGTTTCTGGCACTTGGCTCAAAAGTTTTAAAAAAATGCCAAAAGTGAATTTAGCAACTTGCATTGTAAACCTTCCAGTGGTTCTCACTGTGGTGGCTTTAGCAATTATAAAGTAATTAAAGTGTGAAGATTGCACACTATATTGTAATAGGCAGGTTCACATGACACAGCAAGTTCTGGTACATTTTTTAACATTGGTTGTCTGCCATGTCATCTGAACCCTGTTATGGTGTCTCAGCATGGTACATTTGGTCTTTAAAAGCTATGAACGGAAACAGTGGTTGTTTCTGTGGTTTTTGGTACCATGATGACCTTGAAAACAAACCATTGTTGTATGTAGGGCAGAACCAGAGTGGGCAATGAGCTGGACACTACTGCCTGAAGGAACAGCACCACTCAGCTGATTCCTGCACTGCCTCCTTGCTGGTCAGAGTGGCATCCCCAATCCAGCACCTGCCCTATGGATGGGGACACCTCTCTGCCAGGTGGGAGTAAGGAATCGGAATGAGTGCTCCTCCTCCTCATCACTGCCAGCGACAAGAAAGGGGCTCAGGTGGGTACCAGGTTGGGAACACCTCTTCTGCAAATGGGAGTGAGATGGGCAGGCAGCGGTGGAAACGGCCGAGCAGCCTGCCCTGCTCCAACTGGGTACCACTGCCCAGCTGCTTCTGGATCCTCCCATCCATGTGCCTGTGGGGATCAACGGGGGAATCAGATGAGCAGTACTACTTCGTGCAGCGTGATCCTGCTGATTAGCTCCACCCCTTTGCCTGAGCATGGAGCATGCGCTGTTCTCCTGCTCCAGTGGAGGCAAGGGTGCCTGGTCAGCTCCTTCGCCATCTGTGCTGCTTTTCATGTCATGATGCCTGTTTGCACAACAGAGACTGCGTAACAGCGATGGTGAACCAAACTTGGCTCTCCATCACACCTATCAAACGGAGAAACCCCGTTCCTTCCTGCAGTGCCTCCTGGAATACTGCCTGGAGGACTGAGGAAGGAGGAAATGATGCAAAGTAGGAGAGTTACCATCTGAGCATCTTCACCAGTTTAGTGAAAAACTGAATCCCGGCAACCATGCAGGATTGCTTGTAATGGCATGTGAAGCCACCCAACCTCTCTGCAAATTATGGCTTGAAATGGAGCATGTCCTATAGCTTTTAAATAACAGTCATGCTGTAATGCTGAACTATAATTAATCATTTTAATGAAATTATTGTGAATTTCATTTCATTTCTATACCTCACAATAACCAAAATTCTCTCAGTGGCTTAGTAAATTGTGGAATGGGCAAAAGTGAGCCTTGGATGCATCCCACCTCCCCTCTCGTCTACAAGGCTGTGAAGAAAAGATAAAATCACTTGCTTTCCCTTTAAACAAAGTTTATTGCTATATTCTGAACTGGAGGAAACTTCTTTGTTTAAATTATGGTTTGTTGAAATAATCCAGGAACAATCAGTGCTTTGTGATCCTAGGCTATTTAAAAACATAGTTTAATAAGCGTTTCCCCAGGTTGGATATAACATTAAACTCTGGTTATCTAAAAAAAGGAAGTGAATGTTTCTGACATTCTTGTCATTGCTGTGTCAGAAGATTAGAGGAGTAGCACAGAAGCCCAAGGTTTGCTTCTGCTTGTCCACTTAGTATTAAACGGCAGGTTTAGCATTACATGCGGTGCAGACCATTGTCTCTCTCCAATTTGTCTCACCTTTGTTTTCTCTTTCTCATACCATTTTCATTCCTGATATCTCTGCTTGGTCATCAGCAAAAAGAATGCGATTTGGCAGAGTGAAGCTTACAATGCAAAATGCATTATGATTGCTTTCTGGATTATGTATAAATGCATAATGCATTATACCTGATTATGACACTAGGTAGATCAAAATATAATAGCGCAAGAAAGAAGACAGCAGCATATAGATCATTATTTAGTAGATAATTCTTATGTTCTGAAATAATTATATTTGGGCTGTTCAACTGATAACATTTTATTTTGAGACAAGTCATGTTTGCCATGACATGTGCCAATTCTACTATAGTGCAGTTTCTATGGATGCACAGTGTTGTATGAACACAAATGTAATTTGAAATATGATAGAACTGAGGATTCAGTTAACATATCTATAAGGAAAAGAATAAAATACGTAACATGTAATGAAATGTTCCTTTCAACCAAAATCGTATAAAAGCTGGAAATGAATCTGAATGTGTCAAATTACTTTTCCCTACACATGTTTTATATCCATTTTTCTGTGACTGGTAGGGCAACAAAAGAATTTTGTGCCAACTGGAACAAAAGAGTGCTCTCGCATGATGGTCAGGCAGGGATGGGTTTCTCTTTCTTCTCTGCTCCAGTCAACCAGCCCACACAGAATGAATACTGAATTACTGGAAACATCTAGTTAATTATATTGTCACATAGATGCAAAGAATGCTTATTTTGTTTTGCTGCATTGCAGAAAACGTTCTCTGAACTGAAAAACTGCCATCCCCACAGTTGAAGCTTTTTTAACTGTCAATGCAGTTTAAGTACAGACTATTCATAGAGAAATAAAAATTTAAAAATCTGCTGATGTGATTGAAATCCAAATGTTTATATAGAGCCCGCAGATAAAATGGGTGCAGCTAAGGTTAGATCCTGGATGTTGTTTTAAATGCCAAGGACACTCCAAATCAGTAGGGTGATTTTAAAGTATGCCAAGACATTGGGCTATAATGGTTAAGTGGGGATACTGTATTGCTGTGTAACTTCACTGCTAAATGTGTTACTTCAGCCTCCAAAATGAGTTGGTGTACTTTCAGACAAACTGAATTATTGCAGAATAACAGAGTTGAGAAAGACTTCTGAAGTCATCTAATTCAACCCCCTGCTCAATGCAGGATCTGCACTGCAAGATACAATTAAACAACATACCTGACAAATGGCTGTTTCCACTACTTAAATATCTGCAAGTGAAGGTACCTCTGGAGGCAGCTATTCCTGTTAGGATGTTTCCCATTATGATTCAGTCTTTCATGCTATTGACTATTCCTTCTAGTGTTCTGTTATCTGCAGTTTCAGCCCAAATACATGGCCTAGTCTTCAAAGCACATAATACAAATGGGATGATGACTCTCATAATTAGAGTTTTGGGATGATGAGCTCTCACAGTTACAAATTTGACCACATTTAGTGACTTAAATAAAAAGTAATTATGTTTGTTGATGATTCTGCTTAAAACATCTACCAGATAGCCATCTGAGGGTAACATCTGAGGGGCTAAAGAATGCTTTGGAGTCCCAGAAAGAGCTTGGGGCAGGGGATATGTGCTTGCATCACACTCGTTCCCCCATATTTGCAGCCAGCACAAAGAGCCATGCCAAGAGGGCATTCTGGGTGGCAGGGAGCATTGGAAAATGGGTTCAACAGGCATTTCAGCCTGTTCTCTGTCCGAAGCACAGGAACTAGGAAGCCAAAATCAGGCTTCCAACTGACTTTCAGGGTGGAAGTAGTGGGGAGGCAAAGATTGCCTCCATTTGGTGTCCATAATCCTTTTGAGTTCAGAGGTTTACAGGCAACCACACTGGATTGTAGCCTTTATGTGAAAACCTAGACCATAACTTTACCCACCTCCTGCTCTGCATAAATGATGTGAAAATATATAGAGGGGTATTTGAAGGCAAGAATAAATAATGGTATGGTCAGAGAACCCCGCTTTTCCTTCTTCAAGTCATCTCCAAATTATGATGACTTTTATGTATAAAAGTTTTCCAATATGCCCCGTCCATGACACCATGTTCAGCTCTTATAAATTCAAAGTGGTGGCTTCCTTTATGAGGTTAATCTGTCTCAATATTTGAAATCTTATGCCTTCTACTTTCCCTTGGAGAGGGCCTCTGATACTGGCCGTGCATCGGTGCTTCTGCCTGACCCCTGGAAGGGATGTCAGGGGAAGGGAAGCAAAATCTGTCCAAAATGCCCAAAATTGGGCTGCGCTGCTCGGCTGCGGGTCAGGGTCCTGAAAGGACTAAATGGGCAGGTTGGCAGAATGCTTCCAAATTCCAACTTGTTATGGGAGATCCTGGGAAGCGAGTGGGCACCCCCATTGGGGTGGTTATGGGCAAGGGAAGATAGGATGTTGGAGGTCTAATATGTCATTATAGAAGAAGGAGGGGCAGATGGCTAGTATTTGGCCCCTCTTCTGGTTTCTCCTCCAACCGGAAGGTTCCTGGTAGTAATATTAACCGGCCCTCAGGCTTGGTGCTGCTGCTGCTGAATGCCAGGTCAGTCCAAAACAAAACATCTCTCATCCATGATTTAATTGTGGATGAGGGGGCTGACCTGGCTTGCATCACAGAGATCTGGGCAGGAGAAGGGGGGTGTCCCTCAACCAGCTGTACCCACCCAGGTATCTGGTGTGGCACCAGCCCCGCCTTGAGGGAAGGGGAGGGGGGTTGACCCTAATTTACTGAGACTCAGTCTCCCTCATGGGGCTTCCTGTCGCTCAGATTCGCCACAAGCTGGACTCTACTGTTGATACGGTCCTAGAACGGGAGCATCCAGAGCGCTGTCTAGTCCACCTTTATTGGATGAGTTTCAATTGTTGCAGCCTGAGGATGTAGACAAGATGCTTGGATTGGTCTGACCCACCACCTTTTTGCTTGACCCTTGCCCCTCATGGCTGCTGACGAAAACCAAAAATGGGGTATGTACCTGGGTCCAGGAGGTCATCAACACTTATATGAGGGAGGACCAGGTTCCCACCCCTTTGAAGGAAGCAGTGATAAGGCCTGTCCTGAAGAAGGCATCTCTGGACCCAGAGATAGCTGCCAACTATAGGCAGGTGGCCAATATCCTGTTTTTGGGCAAGGTGCTTGAGCAGGTGGTGGCAGGACTACTCCATGCATTCTTGGAGGAAACTGATCATCTTGACCCATTTCAGTGGCTTCAGACCCAGCTATGGAACTGAAACTGCCTTGGTCACCCTGTATGATGACCTGTGTAGGGGGAGGAACAGGGGGAGTGCATCCCTGTTGGTTCTCTTGGACCTCTCAGTGGCTTTCAATACCATCGACCATGGTATCCTTCTGGATAGGCTGGCTGGGTTGGGAGTTGGTGGCACTGTTTTGCAATGGTTCCTACCTGTCTGGCCAATTCCAGAAGGTGGTACTGGGATACTATGACTCTGTGCCATGGCAGCTTTGCCATGGAGTTCCGCAGGGTTCCATTTTATCCCCCATGCTTTTTAACATCTACATGAAACTGCTGGAAGAGGTCATCTGGAGGTTTGGACTGCGGAGTCATCAGTACGCTGATGACACCCAGCTCTACCTCTCTTTTTCATCTAGTCCAGGTGAGGCAGTGACTGTCCTTAATCAGTGTCTGGCTGAGGTAATGGGCTGGATGAGGGCCAATAAATTGAGACTTATCCATATAAGTCTCAATGGAGGTCCTGTTGGTTGGCAGTTCAACCTTCCAGGCAAATGATTTCAGCCCTGTTTTGGATGGGGTGCACTCCCCCTAAAGGACAGGGTTCACGGTTTGGGAGTGCCCTTTGCCCTAGAGCTGTCCCTGGAGTCCCAGTTGGCAGGGGTGGCGAGGAGCACTTTCCTTCAGCTTCAGCTGATCCACCAACTGCGTCCTTACTTGGATGAGCATTGCCTGGCAACAGTGGTCCATGCTCTGGTGACTTCCTGGTTGGATTACTGTAATGCACTCCACGGGTGGCTGCCCTTGAAGACGGTCCGGATACTTCAATTGATTCAGAATAGAGCTGCCAGGATGTTGACGGGGACTGACCAGTTTTCACATATAGCGCCAGTCCTCTACCAGTAACAATGGCTACGAACTGAAGTCCAGGACCAAATTAAGGTGCTGGTTATGACCTATAAAGCCCTAAAGGGCTTGGGTCCAGGATACCTGAACAAGCGCCTTCTTCCCTATGTGCCCTCCCACCCCTTGAGATCTGAGGTGGAGGCCCTACTCTGGGAGCCCTAGGAGGGAGAGTACTTGGAGGAAGGCCTTCTCTGCAGAGGTGCCCCGACTATGGAATACACTCCCCAGAGAGGTTCTCCTGGTGCTGACGTTATAATCTTTTCGGCATCAGGCAAAACCGTTTTTATTTTCCTATTGCTTTAATGATTTTATTTGGGGTTTTAGTATATCATGGCTGGATACTGTCGGGCTGTTCTATTCTATTTGTTTATTGTAAGCCATCCTGAGACGTTCTGTAGGGGATGGGATAGAAAAGCTTTTAAATGAATGAATGAATGCTGGGGAGAGCCAGGGGTCTGGCTAGAGACTGCTTCCGACTTACTTTGTTACTATTCTTTTTTTTATAAGTGACAAAACAGAGGTGTATTGCAAAAGTGTGATCATGTCTAAACAGCTTAAGCTGGTTGTTCTTGAATAATAGTCTGTTATGTGCTCAGTGCTACAGTGCTTGCTGCATTGATATTTATTCACATTTCGTCAATGGCTGCAGACACAAGCATGACCCACAGCTGAATGGAAGAGAGTGGAAAATGTCCTACTACATCTAGCGATTCTAATAGCAATGTGTAGGTGTAGTATGTTGACCTGAATACTTTGTTAGATTTTTGCTTTCCTAGGTATGATTTGTAGACCCTATCCTCAGAGAATATAAAAGCATTCTATAATGTGACAAAGCCATTTGCTTGCCATTGATTTCGATAAGCCCTGCTAGAACAGGTGAATGATCCAGCATCCTGCATTCCACAGCAACCAACCAGATGCCCAGCAGCATGACATGAAGTAATATTCCCTTTCAGGCTTTAATCTTATGGGGCTTTTCCTCACAGAAAAGGAGCTCTAGCCCCTTGATCAGTTTGTGTTAATCTGCATATTTTTCAGCTCTTTTATGTCCTTTACCTGGATCCTAAATCATGATAAAGTGGGTGCTGGGTGCTTATGGAGAATGTTCTATGAATTTTCCACCACTGAAAATGTTTTCCACTGTGTTAAACCACCACCTTCCCTCTGCTGAGGAGGCACAAAGCAGAGACCTTCAAATGAAGATCTTTGTGTAAGGGTAAAACATCTGGAGCTTTAAGGATAAGCACCAGATTGAAGCCATCAGTGAAGCAATTTAAAAACAATTGATCACACTGGTTAGGGCTCACCTGGAGTGCTGTGTCCAGCTCTGGGCACCACAGTTTAGGAAAGATGCAGACAAGCTGGGAGAGGTTCAGAGGATAACAGCAAGGATGATCTGGGGACTAGAAAGAAAGCACTATGAGGAGAGATTGAAATAACTGGGCATGTTTAGCCTTGAGACGACTGAGTGTGTATATGATCACGCTCTCCAAGTACTTGAAAGGTCACAAAGAGGGAGGACAGGATCTCTTCTTGATCATGATGCAGGACATGGAGTAATTGGCTCAAGTTAGAGAAAGCCAGGTATCAGGAAAGCAATCGTGACTCTTAGGGTAGGACAACAATAGAACCAGTGACTTGGGGAGGCTGCGGGTTCTTCCACAGTAGAGGCATTCAAGAGGCAACTGGGCTCCAATCAGAGGGATGCTTTAACTTGATGTCCTTCAGTGAGCAGGGAGTTGGCCTGATGGCTCCAAGGCTCCTTCCGATTGTACTAGTACGATCCTGTGATATAAGCAGCCCCATTCCCATTGGTAATCCTCTTTTGTGACATGATGAGATAAAAACCATATACAAAATTAGGTGGCCAGCAGCCATAGCAAGTGACGCAGAAAGTTCTTTCATAGTCTACTTCAGCTTCTCTTGAACTTTCCTCTGGTCAAGTACCATGGTTACCAATATGATAGAAGGCTTGGGTCCTGCCCTTCCCTGCCACTGAACTGCTTGTTTAGCAGTGCCGATCCCCACGATGCCCACTGTACAAATTGCTCTAGTGTTGGGAGTTTCTTGGATCTGTCATAGTAGTAGACAACAACTGGACATCTGCAGAGTTCACTGTTTGCTTCAAGACTAAGGAACTCTCTGGTTACATTCCTTTTACTCTTTGTCTTTATAGAACACTTGGGGGAGCATAAGAATATAACAGCTGTGCTGGATCAGACCAACAGCATTCTGTACTAGGTAGGCACTAGGTACAAGATACTTACAGGAAACTGACAAGAAGGATGGGTACTTGTTAGCATTCTTGTTTTTCCCAGCAACTGGTACTGAGATGCAGACTGCTTCCTATACTAGAAGTAACATATATCTATCATGTCCAGCAGCCACTGATAGCCAAGGTCTACTTCCAATTTTAAAGTCATCAATGTTAGTTGCCATTACTATATTTTGTGGTAACATTTCCCGTAATTTAACAATTCTGCCAAAATTCTATCTCAGCTATAGAACTTTCCTGAATGGTAGTCTGCACAGGATGCATGTGTAGGAATGTGCAGAGACCAAAAAGAGTATTCATTATTGTAAAGTACCTCCATTTGTGGAATGAATATGGGACTGGGACACTCAAATCCTGGAAAGCAAATTTGCTGGCTTCTCCTGTCTGCTGAGGAAAGTAAGACAAGTGAATGTTGTGCTTTCAGCATAGCATTGTAAATGTTAAAGAGGAGCCTATAGAGCTTTTATCAGAAGTTAAAAAAGACTTTTTTTTATCAAAAGAGCTTCCAGTAACAACAATTCTAAGTTAACTGTGCCTGGCTAAAGGGAAAAGCTACTATCATTCTGTTGGGCTTAACAGCAGAAATGAAAAAGAAGTGACACGCAATATCAATTTCTTTCCACAAAAATGATTGTCTCATTGTTTTAGTGAGCCCAACAACTGCTCACTAATTGAACTAAATACACAATTTAATATACAATTTTCCAGTGAGTTGGCTGTTCACAGGTTCTCTCTTCATCTCCACAAAATCTGTTGTAGGTTGTTTTGGGGTCAAAACCCAGAATCTCCCTTTCTTCATGAATGCGGAAGGAAAATGTAGAAACTGAGGTGCCTATAAAATATCTGTGAAAGAATACAGAAAATAGTAGATAGTGATGGGAACAGTTTCTAAGGCATATGATACCAACTACCTATGTGCTCAAACACGTTCACACCAATTGTTAATTTCTCCCTTGTGATAAGTACATTTGCCATTTCAAATATGTAATTTATAGAATAAGGAAGAGCTGATTAATGTAACCCACTTAAGATGGTTCTGCTGAGCAAAACCCTGTATGTAGGGCCATAGTCGGTGGGTTTTCACAGATCAAGCTCTGTCATTTGAGGCCGAAGTGGCACCTCAGTGGTATGAAAGGTCTTTTATGAAAGCTAATATATCAATTATGACTACATGGGCAGGGATAAACTGGCTACAGTTATGCATGCGCTAACAGCCACCTACCTGGATTACTGCAATGTGTAATACAGGGAACTACATCTGAATATGGCTGGAAGCTTCAGTTAGTTACAGACAAGAGCTGTGAGGCAGCTTCCTGGGGCTGCTATTTCAATTACATTATGCTAGTTTTGTAATTCAGTTGCCAGTCAGTTGCTGGGCCTGATTCAAAGTGTTGGTGCTAAAGCCCTCAAGAGCTTAAGACCAGTGCTTTAGAAGGAGCACCTTCTCCCCTAGGTTGCTGCCAGACTGTTAGATCATCTTCGGAGGCTCTTCTCTGGGTGCTGTTGCCCACCTTGGAGCAATGGATGGTTACCAGAGAAAGAGCCTTCTCTCTGATGATTAATGTTTATTGTCCATTGCACACTAAAATGTAGGTGCCAGAACATCTACTGTGTGTAAACACTGCAGACTCCCTGGCAATATATGCCATATACTAAACAAACAAGCATCTATTGGACTGGTCCTTAGCCTGAGTAAAACAAACGTATACAATCAGTTGAAGCTATCATAGTACATAGAGAATGGTTAAAATTAGCATATAAATGAACATGCAAAAATTACTTAAAACGGATTCATATTACTACAATGAAAATAGAATATGCCATTCCCAGGTAGCATTTTCCCCTGTACCAGGAAGCCCACCGCAAGCAAGCCTACATATTTTTGTCATGTATTGATTTGTCCCTTGAAGCAGAAAACCCAATGTTTTGGATAACATTTTCCAATGTCAGTATATAACCGGCAACGAAGCATAGCCTTCCATGTCTGGGGATCCACAGATAAACAGTGTGTCTTGAATTGGCACACCATGAAATTCCCTTACTTTCATCATTAAAGTTCCCTATGTTCCAATATTTTTCATATTGATGTTGATGTTTTGTGCCTGCTAGCCATTTATTTTAAGAGGATATAATGGCAGTTATATCAGATTGAGTTTGTATATAAAAAGCTCTTTGTTTAAAAATCGTTTTGGTATCCCTTCCCCTTGGATTCAATTCCTGTATGGAAAATTCAAAATTCACAAGTAATTTTGTCAAGTTTTGGAGCCAGAACTGTTCATATAAAATGTATTCTGTTCCTCTAGACAGAAGTCTCTTTTCCAATGTCTGATTGACACTGCAGCAGTAATTTATCATTCTAATATAAATTACAATGATATACAGAAATCACTCCTATGCCAAATTCTGCTGATTATATAAGCTGGGATTTTGAAATTACTCAAATTGGATGCAGAAAAATGGTTTTGGACTTTTTCAATATTGGTGAAATCAGCAAAGGCCCAGATTTCTTCATCAAAAACGAACACTGGTGTCACTTTCGCCTTCAAAATATTTAAAATTGAGCATAATATCCCAGCAATAATGAAATTCAGCAGTCTGTTTAGAGACTATAGACCAGCAGATGCTTTTAATTCACTTTTCTTTTTTTTTTTTTGTAGTGTCCAAGATCCTGTGGCTGAGAAAATTATGCAATGTAGCAATAAGAATTTACCTGCTCTAGCTCTTTTGCATTTATATACCATTTTCCTTTTTTCTTTTCTCTTTGCCAAAAAGCATGACTTTGGAATTAGTGTGATTAATCATTTTCTGCACAGTAAAAACTAAACCATCTTAGCAATGTTCTCAGTCCAACTTGAGTTGTTGACAATAAGATCATGTCATCTGCATAAAGACAAAATATTTACAAGCTATTTAGAATTTTGGGCATATGGTAGTTCTGGCTGTACAAGAATCCAACTATATCATTTATATAAAAATTAAAAAGGGGCTAATGTACATCCTTGACAGATACCTTTGTGAGTTGGGATTAGCTCTGAAAGAGCATGGCTGGAACCAGTCTGGACCATCAAGTAGGTTTCTGTATATAAGACTTTAATTAAGTTCTGGGGACTGAAATCTGTATTAGAATTCAACATTTTCTTCCAGAGATGTCTCCTATTTATAGAGTCAAAAGCTGCGTTAGATAAAAGCAGCAAAAAGCTGCCTGTTTTTTCATGTGTGTTTAGTTATTAGATGATGTAAGATGAAACAGCTGTCTATGGTAGATAACCTTGGCAGAATAGCTGTGGGAAATGCCAGGTTGTCAATTTTCCTATGTTTCTAAACCTGTTTTGTGAGGCCTGGCAATATGGGCATGATTTGACCATGTGTCCCTTGCCCAACCAGAAACAGCAAACGGAGTATCCATCCATGGTGGGGGAGTTTCAGACACAGTTTCTGAAGGATGCTTTTGATGCCACTGCAGTAGATGGGGAAGGCAGACAGCAGAGAACAGAGAAAGGGCTCGTAGAAAGACACAAAAGATCAGAGAGAAAGCAGGTAGATTTACAACTAAGGAGTGAAAATTAAGTTCATGGAGAGGTGGGTATAAAGGGAGATGAGCAGGGAGTCAAAGGAGAGAAAGTGGTGAAAAGAAAAAGGTAATAAATGCTGAAAAAATCCTCAAGTTGAGTATTACTTGCAGGAGCCCCTCCCACAGATAGAAGGAACAAGAAAGGATGGGATTCCCACCCAAACTAATGCTTAGCTGTAGAATCTTCCAGAGAACAGGCCCATGCAGGCCAGAGCCCATATATATGAGCTATAATATGAGAAGAAGTTGGGATATATAGGCATTTACCAAGATTATTGCCATAGCAGCAACAGAAAACTTTAGCAGCAGAAGGTTAAGGACAGTGTCTACACAATCAATCATTTCTTCATCCCGTTTTTCCTCCACCCTGGCCCTAACTCTAACCCCAACCCTTAACCAAAATGCCCAAGTTGCCTATGGCTCTGCCCCTGCTGGTCATTCTTGCTGCTTGTTGAACCCATGTTGTAAATCCTGGAAAATCCATCTCATCATTTGGCACAAGCCAAGTTTCTTGGAATGCTATCGCTAAATGAAGCATTAAATATCCACTCAAATCCTTATAATGTATTTTAGACTTCCATCCAGATATATTCCAGGACAAAATACCAATGAGCTTGCTACTATTTTTGTGACTACTATTCTTTCTCTTCAAGGAAACCTTCCTTGAACTTCCCTCTTGTGGTGCACCTGAAAAGAGGCCAAACTGGTCAAAATCCTGATTTCCATCTGGCTATAAATTAGTTCAGACAGGGCTGCTCTTTGTGGCAAACAGGTATTGTTATCTGTGTTCTCTGACTTGATTAAAACTGATCAGTATCAAGATTTCTGGCATGTTTACTGGACATTCTTTCAGACATGTCCACCTTACTTGAAACTTTGGACACACACGTATACCATATGGCCTTGACTCTTGGACTGACAATTCTTAAGAAGGAACTGGGCATTTGTGAGCACAGAGCAGGACACAGTCAGATAAATAGGATTTAATATATCCAGTGTTCCTTGTTATCAGAGAAAGCCACCCTTGAATTAGAACACTGCCTCCTTTACTTGTCTTGCTGTGATAGGAGGACCTGTCCTCATTTACTGTTTCGTTTGATGTACTACAAACAAACTCATTTAGTAAGTCATCTTTTTCTGTGGATCGTGGAAGTCCTAAGGATATATATGTCCCATCATGTGTGGCTCAGATTGCACAGGCTCCAGAAGTGTGATTGCCTGAGGAAAGTATACCTCTGTGCAAGTTCTAGAGGTTCAGGCACTTCAGATCCTCCACAGAATTTTTGTGGCCTTGAGTTTCTAAGTTCTGCCAACTTAGAAACCCATTCTTGTTAATAAGAGTTCCTCGGGGGATAAGAATAAATAAGTCTGGAGGTTGGTCTAACAAAAACGTAACAAAAAACAATGTAGTTACCTGGCATGTGCACATATCCACTGGTCAATAATTGCTATTCCTCCATCTTTGTAGAGTTCCACTTCCTCCCAAGTAGGTTCAAACCTCACCATTTCTGGAAGCAGTCTCTTCAACTTTTCTGTCTCTGAAAAGGCACATTAAATGAGTGGTCTCCAACTGAGAGGTCACATCTCACTCTGAAGTGGAGCATACTAGAACCACAAACACCATTTTCCCTTTTTTATTTAACCCTTCAGAAAGTTGTTGTTGTTGTTGTTGTTGTTTTTTAGTCAAGATGGAATGTATTGAAAGAGGCAGGATTATAGAGATAATGGATGAAGCATCAAATGGTAAACTCACTGGGTGAATTCACATATGACAGCCCACCCCACAAATGAGCTACATGGTATGTAGCTCATATAGGTATGTTGTTCACATAGGTTTTTCTCCCTATCCTTCACCTGGTACTCTAACTGGTATCCTGGATCTTGGATATGTGTCTTCCTCTCCCTGCTCCAGCCCTTTCTGTTTGCAGAGCTTTTCTTCTGGAGCCCTAACACTGCCTGTGACAGCAATTCAAGTGATGCCCAAGTGATAGCTTGCAATGACCATCACTGGCTCCTTACCCTTTGGGGATGAGAGGGCTGGTGGCACAGCTGTCAAAATCCTGGGATCTTGGCAGAGCAGCAGAGTCTGGGAGAGAGTGCAGAGAATGGCCAGGGAACTGGCAAGGGCAAGGTAGGAGGATCTGGAGGACTGGGCAGAGGATCAGGGAGGGGGAGCAGAAGCAGTGGTGAGGAAGGAAGGGTGGGCTAGAGAGGTCAGAGAGGCCCAGGAGGAAGCAGAAGGGTCAGGGCCAGCAGCAACACATCAAGGACAACATGCCAAGGGCATAGTTCCTTGTCTGCGTTCCTTAGCTGTGGCCCAGGCTACCTGGGGAATCTAAGTCACTGGGATGTATTTTTTAATTGATTGTTCTGTTTTTCTCTTATAATTCTGTCTGGGAGAATTAGGTGAGAACAGTCAAGTAAGGGTAGTATAAGACAGACAGGACAGGGGAAGATGGTTGGGCCTGTGAGGGGTGGCCTATGCCAAGCCAGGAGACAGCCATGGCTGGAGCTACAGGTGTTGCTGTCAAATGCGACATCTGTGCCATGTGTGTTCATCGCTCTCAGGAACAGCAGGGATACATCTGGACTAGATGCAAGCTGGTGTCCCTCCTACAGGAGAAGGTGAGGCGTTTGTAGAATGCCTTTGCCTCCCCCTCTGGGGGATAAGGGAGGGTGAGCGATTCATGGACGTGGCCAAAAGAGTTCTCCAGGCTGACCAGGAGCAGCCTCCTTCTGTGCAGGATGAGGGAGGGCTTGTGCCCCCAAACAAGCCACCCTGAAGAAAGTGGTCTGGGCTCAGAGGATACAGCAATCCACTGTACTGTGGCTTGCTATCACGTGAACCAGATCAATGAACTCAAACAATATTCTCAAGACATGCCAGGTCCAAAGTACACAAAGGCTATTATGAAAAATATAGCATAGATCATGATATGCCTAGTACCAGGTCACGGCCACAGACTGAAGGCAAATAACATGCATTTTGCATGACTGTCTCTTGCACTTTAAACTTATGGGAACACGGGCAGCTACTGTCTAATGAAAATCAACTTTTAAAAATACCTAACTGGCCATGACATCCTCTCCCTTATGCTTCTCTCTGCTTGGACCAGAGTCTAGGGCCTTCAGACACATCTCACAAAATAGCTGTTTCGTCCACCATCAATCTGATCTCTGACAGAACCATTTAGAACAAAATTAAGCTGGTTTGAAAAAACTACATACCCTCTGCAGTGGCATCAGTGGCTACAAAAACTCTCTCAAGTTTATGCAACTTTAAGAGGCTGCGGATTTTCTTCACTGCACCCTGGATGCTGGGCACATCATTTCTGTGACCCCAAATGAAGTCTTTGCGTCTCAGGTGAACTCCAAGATATGGGCCACCTATGGCCATGCCCAGCTTTACCTAGCACAGAAGAACCAGTACATGCTGAAACTAAAATAAAATGGCATTGATTCAGTGGGAAAATATCTCTGCTCTCTAATAGTTATGGATTAGTAATAACATATTTGGGAATGAAGCATTTGAGATGACTTTGCAGTATTTACTGAAAGTTGCCATTTTTCATAATTAACTGGCCTTTTTATGAAGTTCTCATCAACAGCTATCATTCACTTTGTTTTCACTGAGGATTGCTTTGTACAAGTTCTCTTCTTACATGGATCTCAAGTCCAGCGTAAAATATCAGGGCTGAGAACACTGGGCTTGATGGACCAGTGGCCTTACCAAGTACAAGGCAGCCTGCTGAGTCAAGTATGCAAGTCTGCCACTAAACTACATTTCCTTGCTCTCTGGGGAAGGCGGGTGCAGCTATTTATATGTGATATTAATACACTGATGTGAAAGGAGACTACTGGGGGCTTCATGAGCATTTGCATACCTCCTCTCCATTTGGACAGCTTTGGAAGACTGGGCTGAGCACAAGAGGAAGCCCACAACTGCTTGGAGAGGTGGATCCAACTCTACTCAGGACTAGTAGCACTTTGTCAGGCTTGTACATGACAACAAAATGATACTTGGGGCAGATTCCTCCGTTATAGAAAAATAACCATATAACATGTCCTACTATATTTTGTCAAAAAAAAATCAAGCACAGAAAGGAAAAGGAATGGCACAAGTTAGACCGCTGTAGAGTCTGTAAGACATATATTACATGCCCAGTGGCCTTTGTAGATCTGAAAGTCTGTATCCTCCCATCCCAGACAGAGAATTTTCAAAGGCTACCATAGGCAACCTTTTGGCCCCATGGGCTGCATGCATTGTTGGCCTGCAGGTCAGAGTGCACATGTGAGCGCATGCACTCATACTCATGCAAACACTTATACATTGTACCCCATCACAAATGAGGAGGCATAGCAGGTTGCTTATCTCTAACTGTTGTTCTTCGAGGGCTCATCTGTGCATTCACACAAATGCACCGGGCTCTGCATCAGCATGGAGCCTGTTGGCAGGAAGTTTTAATGGTTGAAAGCCTTTTGGTGGGAAACCCGGGTTGCAGAGGAAGTCGTATGAGGCGAGACTGAGTGAACTGGGTCTTTTCAGCCTGGGGAAGAGGACACTCAGTGGGGATCTGTTGGCAACACATAGGCACATGAGGGGGTGTCACATGGAGGTGGGTAGAGACCTATTTTCCCCTGCAGAGGAGGGCTGGATGCGTTCAAATGGAGCAAAGCTCAGGGGGCCAAAGTTCAATTTGGATGGCAGGAAGTACTTCCTAACAGTTAGGACCTCTAGGGAATGAAATGTACTTCCATGGGAGGTGGTTGAAACCTCCCATGGAAGGGTGGGAGGGTGTTCAAGGACAGGCTGGGCATGCACATGGTAGGCATGTCATGAGTGGAGCTGGGAGTAAAACTAGATAGCACAGGAGGCCCCTTCTGACTCTCTCTGTTTCCATGTTTCTATGTTTGTATATACCATCATTTCTCATAGAAGACACTGAGTAGGGTTAGTGTGTGGATTGTGTGAATGACACTTGCAGAATGTCATTTGCAGGTAAGCAACTTGTCTTTCTTCTTTGTGGTCTGTATGGATCACTGTCTTGTTGTGAAGGGGCTTGTGCAGCTCAATGAAGCTATGAGCTATGCCATGCAGGGCCACTCAAGACGGACAGGTCATAGCAGAGAGCTCTGACAAAAGATGATCCACTGGAGAAGGAAATGGCAACCCACTCCAGTAGCCTTGCCATGGAAACCCCATGGACAGTAAGTACAATAAGAAAGAGGCTTTCTTATTGTACTTAACATCCCTTGCTAGTTTCAGTTCAATCCCTCCTTTAGCCTTCCTGATGCTGTCCCTGCAATTCCTTGCTATTTGTTTATATTCTTCCTTTGTGGCCTGGCCCTGCTTGCACTTCCTGTACATGTTCCTTTCTTCTTTTAGGTTGTCACTTAACTTTTTGTGGAGCCATGTGGGCTCCCTCTACTGCCTTCTACACTTTTGAGTGGTAAGCCAATGTGACTCCCACCAAGAAGGCTACTATGGATCTATGCCATGAGGCTGCCTTGGCCACCATAGTGTTACAAGAATGCAATCTGTAACATCCCAATAAACCTTTACTAGTACTCCCATGATCAAAGAAAAGGGCAGGAAAAAGATAAGGGTCTCCTTCCAACTCAGTATGAACACATTTCCCAGGATGGTGTAGCCCTGCCCTGCTGAAGAGCAAAAGCTGTTGTGTACAGCATTGTCCCAACTGGCAAAGAGATTCACAGATGTTCAAGATATGTTGTAGAGCCATAGGGTTCAGCTGCCACCTGTGGGAACTGAGAGTCCTCCTGCTCAGTGTATAGGCCACTGTGTTGCTGGATCCAAAGAAGTGAATGGTGGTCGACATGATACTGTTGTCAACGAACCAGTACCAGATCCTGCTGGTGAGATAAGTCACGTTTCATAGAACAGAATCATAGAATAGTAGAGTTGGACCCAATGGTCTGATGTCACCTTCCAACTCCTTGCTTAGTGCAGGACTCCAAGTTAAACCATCCCTCTCAGATGGCTGTGCAATTGCATCCTGAATACCTCTAGAGTGGGATTGCCCACAACCTCCACAGGTCATTGGTTCCATTGTTGCACTGCTCTAACAGTTAGGAAGTTCTTCCTGATGTTAAGTTGGAATCTGGCTTTCTGTAACTTGAGTCTATTATTCTGTGACCTGCACTCTGGGATGACTGAGAAAAGATCCTGGCCTTCCTTTGTGTGACACCATTTCAAGGACTTGAAGAGCGCTATCATATCTCTTCTCAGTTTTCTCTTCTCAAGGCGAAACTTGCTGAGTTCTTTCCATCTCTCCTCATAGGGCTTTGTTTCCAGTCCCCAGGTCATCCTTGTTGCCCTCTTCTGAACCCTTTCCAGCTTGTCTGCATCTTTCTTAAGCTGTGGTGCCCAGAACTGGGCACAGTATTCCAGATGAGGCCTAACCAGTGCTGAGTAAAGGGGAACTAATACCTCATGTGATTAAGAAGTGATATTTCCATTAATGCAGCCTAAAATAGCACTTGCCATTTTGCAGCCACAACACACTGTTGACTTGTATTCAGCTCATGATCTACAAGCATTCCAAGATTCTTCTCACTTGCAGTATTGTAGAGTCTAGTATTCTTCATCTTGTAATAATGAATTTGGTTTCTTCTTCCTAGGTGCATTACTTGGCATTTGTCCCTACTGAATTTCATTCTTTTTTCAGTCCAGCACTCCAACCAATCAAGAGCACCCTGAATCTTGTTTCTGTCTTCCAGGGTATTAGCAATCCCACCTGGTTTTGTGTCGTCTGCATATCTGATAAGCATTCCCTGTACTTCCTCATCTAAATCATTAATAAAAATGTTGAAGAGCACTGGGCCAAGGACTGAATCCTGTGGCACCCCACTGGTTACCTCTCTCAGTTTAGGAAGGTGCCATTGATGAGCACTCTTTGAATCTGATTCTGTTGCCAGCTGTGAATCCACCTGATAGTTGTTTTACCTAATCAGGAGTTCATGGAGCACTTTGTCAAACCTGTGCTAAAGTCAAGATTATGTCCACAGCATTCCCACAATCCATCAGGGAGGTCACCCAATCAAAAGCTGAAATCAGATTAATCTGGCAGGATTTGTTCTTGAGAAACCCTAACCACTACATTGTTTTCAAGGTGTTTGCAGACTGACTGCTTTATAATCTGCTCCAGAATTTTCCCAGGGATACATGTCAGACTGACTGGTCTGTATTTCCCAGATTCTTCTTCTTTCATGAGGATGGGACAACATGGGGAGCTCTTCTCCACTCATGTGGCACATCCCGTCACCCATGATTTCTCAAAATGGTTCTGAGAGTTTTCCTGCAAGCTCCTTTGGAATAGAGTTCATCAGGCCCTGAGATTTGAATTCATTCAACCCAATTAGGTGGTCTTGTCCATTTCCCTATCAATCTTGATCTTCTATCCTGCTTCTTGTACTTCCCCATCAGGTGGGAGAAGATGAAGGCGAAGTACAGGAAGACTGAGCCAAAGTAGCAATTAGGGCCTTCTGCCTTTTCTATGTCATCTGTTATCATTTTGTCATTCACATCGAGTAGTTGAATTGCCATTTCTTTCCTAACCCAAGCTTTCTTTCCTAGTTCCAGAAGAAAGGAAGGAAGGAATTATTTTCAGTAAGTTGATGCAGTGTGTCCAGCAGCACAGACTGCAATGGACTGGATTGGAGATCCAAAAGTGAAGCCATTGTGGGCAATTTATTGGATGGTAAGTGTGGACAAACAACACCTGCATCTGAAGTCTGGCTAGAGGAATGACTGTAACAGTAGCTACCATGAGATTGAGTAATTGTCGAATCTGAAGAATTGCTTCTGTACATCATTGATGGAGCTTGGGGGACATCTCAATGATTGCTGTAGCTCTCACTTCTAAAAGATACACAGCTGCTCAGATGGAGTCTAGCTGGTCCCAGTATAATGGATGGACTGAGTGGGTGAGAAAATAGATTTTCCTGCATTTAGTCCTAGACTATTCAAGAGGTTACAGGCAGTATGGATAGAATGTAAGAGTCTATAAGGAACCAATCCTCTAAGGGTACACCTGGACTCCTTGAAGATTTAAGTGTGCACACACTACTGTCATGCAATTTGAAAAAACCCTTGGAGCAATGGGAAGTCCAAAAGGTAGAAATAAAAATTGGTACGTCTCTCTTCCTATAGTTTTTATAAATGTCAGTAACTTCTACTTTAAAGTTAAAAACAATAGACTGGACAAGTTTTGATTGAGAATTGAATTGCTTTGATGGGATTATAGCCAATGGAGATTTTCACTTTTTTATGAATTGTTTGAATGTTGATGTTATATGCTATATTTGTGGATTTGACCCTGGCACTTTCATTTCTATATTCACTTTTCTTTATCATTGTGAAAATAATTTTTAAAAGAGTTTTATTTGGGCTTGGCCTCTTGCTCAGTTGGCTGCATTGTCTGGAGCCCTAGGTCACTGGCTAGATCAACAAACCAGCACCTCTCTTCTGATGGCAATGCCAGGTCCTGCTCATAGACCACAGCATTGGGAGACAGTTCTGAGAGGGCGGCGGAGATGGTGGAGTCTGTATCTGATGCATATTCACGGCTGGAAAATGTAGAGGGTGAGCACTGGTGTCTGGATGATGGGAACTCATGGTGTTGGGAATGGGATGTCAACAGGCATGGTGCAATGGGGGTTGGTGTTGCTGTGGCGACATTGATCAGGGCTGTTTACACTGGTGTTGGTGCAGTGCTGAGCGGCATCAGCAGCTTACCATCAGGAAGGCTCTTCATCAGCAGTATGGTCTCAATGTTGGTCTGACACTGGTGTCTTGGTGTCAGTCATCAGCACCAATCAGAATATGGTGCCAGCTTGACGTCAAAAGGCCCCAGTGTGGTCCCAGCATTGGTCAATGGAGCTGGGGGCCTGAAGTGGTGAGTGGTGGGGTCTCCCTGGCATCAGTCACCATTGGAGCGGTCTCAGAGTCAGCGTGTGCCGCCCCAGTCTTGGCACTGGTCCATGTCAAGATCCCTCTTGAAGAAGTCAGTATCAGGCTCATCTCTTTGGTGGGTCTTGCAGTGGTGAGTGATGAAGGCAACCAGCTTTTCCATGTGGTCCAGATCCTTTGACAGCTCTTTGGAGAAGCTGGAGGCCAGGGACCCTTGGGCACCTCAGTTCTAGTCAATAACTGCAGAGTGGGAGAGTTTCTGGTGTCTGCTGGAGCCAGATTCAAGTGCCAACAGTGCAGTTGGTGGCCCCTTGAGCATGAGGCCTCTCAGTGGTGTTGGAATGCATGGGTGGAAGGTAGAGGGCAGTGATGGCTCATGAGTGGGAAATGCATCCTTGAACTGGGACAAGTATGGCAGTTGGGCAATTGTTCACCAGTGTTGGAAATAAGTTGGACCACGGCAATGGGCATCTGGGTAGATGGGCAGCTACCAGAGGCTGAGGAGCCAGCTGTTGGTGGGGCTGGTGGGTGAATGCTCACTCAACACCTCTTCTTCAGTGGAATGACAGCCATTTTCTTTGCTGGAGCAGTGGCTGTTTTCTTGGGCTGATTTTCAGCTCTCGCAGCCCCACACCCCTTGGAGGAGGATTGATTCTTAGATGACCCAGAAGGCTGTCTTCCACAGCTTGGCCTTCAGCCAGTCCATTGTTGGTGGGTCTGTTTCTTGAAGGCCTAGCAACAAACAGAGGTCTCCACTATGTGCTCCTCACAAAGGCAGAGGTTGCCATCTGCCAACGGCAGTCTGGCCTTGCATGAGGTACAGCTGTAGAAAGCCTCAGATGCCATCGTGCAGATGGGGGTGTGGTAGGGAGGAGGCAGGGAAACGTAAGACAAACTAAATAGGTGACAGGAAAGCCAGGTAGAAAAATATTTTTTTTGTTGAGAAGAGTCTCTCTCTCTCTTTTTATAGAATACAGTGATGAGGAGGTTGGTCAGTGAGAAAAGGCACAGAGAAGGGTTGAATAATGAGGAGAGAGAGGTAAAATGTAAGCTACTTAGCAGACAGCAAAGGAGGGAAGAGATTTCCAGTATCTCTGATGACAGTTGAAAAGGAACAGAGGGACTGGGTGGGAGCACCTCCCCTTCTAGTTCTTGTATACCTAGGAGAAGGGTTCCCTCCCACTCAGGCATGCTGATCTGTTGAAGTTTTCCCAGTCTAGGTTTTATGCAGGTGCAGAAGCCCATATGTGTGGTGCACAGATTGTGAAGAAGAAATATGTAGAATTACCTGAACTAGTGTTGCATCTGCTTACTTTCATGAGATATTACAAGTTATGGACGCCTTTGCTACCTCCAATTCTATACCTTTGGGGGAAAGGTATTCTATGTAGCATGTCTTATTTCCTTAGACCAGCACTGAGACCAACTACAAACCCACCCACCTAGGATATTACCCAGGATACCCACAAATATTAATAAATGAATTTTGGACTCAGTATTTCTTCTCACAGATAAATAAAACATATCTTGCACTGGGTGGTTAAAATCTTGCTCTGCTCTTGGTTCCCAGGAATTTCAGTGTAAAACAATTTAAGCTCTGAAGTTGAGCTTCTGTCAATTTTCCTTCCTTCTCTGTTGGATTTTTTTGACTGTTTAAAGTCAATTTTCTTGATGTTGTTTCTTTTGGTTTTTTTAAACATCTCTGCTCTAATATTTCATCCTGGAACTGGGACTGGGCCCCTCACACAGGAAGTAAAGTTGCTCTGGAAAAATTGGCAAGACCTTTCCTTTGAAGCAAATGTGAGAAGTAACCTAGCCAACATGCTCTCCATCCACTGATGAGAACCATTCAAGGTAAATCCAGTGTTGCTTTTATATAATCGCATCTTACAACAATTTAACTAGCCAGAAAAACTCCATTCCAGAGTTCCAATTTTACACTGGCCATGTCGCAGCACAAAGCGGTAAAGACCAGTAGCACCAGTGCTTTTTTTGTAAAAAAAAAAAAAAAAAAAAAAAAAAGGTGCTGGAACTCACGTCTTGGGGTCACAATTTTACACAATGGTCGCCGCTGGCAGTAAGCACTCAGCGTGCAACCACACGACCGATCCCAAGCCGAGCAGCGTCCCAAGCCAAGAAGCACCCTCACAATCAGCGCCAACACACAAGCAGCCTGCAGGCACTATGTTAATGATTTTTGCAGCTGATCTGCTATGCCCAACAGGGCGATTCACAATCACTTGGAAAAATCCATCAAAAAAGGTGCCGGAATGCTGTTCTGGTGCGTTCTATGACAAAAAAAACACCCTGAGAAGCACAATTAAGTTGACAACAGTCTGCCACTTATTTTACCTTCATCTGTGTCCAGTCCTCAATGTACTGTGTCCTGTCCTTCTCATCAGTAGAGTTTAAATATTTGATTCTAAACATGTCCCCGACCACACGAAGGTGTTTAGCAAACACCATACTTCGACGAGTCTGTTACCAAAGGAATTGATACTGAGAAGCTAGGCTATACTCAATTTCAGTATTGTTACAAAAAAGTTTCCTAAAATATATGGCATATTATCAAAGATACTAGAGGAGTTTCATAAAAATATTCATTTAAGATAAGTTATGACTCAAATAATGAAAATTAAACAAACTTTATGCAAAGTATCTATGGTCTTTGCTAGGCAAAAACATTTTGAGAAAGGAAATAAACCTGAAATATTCTTATCAATAATGGTGAAGAAACAACAGAGAAATGTAATTAGTAATGCAATTCATAGGCACTCCAAGGCTTACAAGCATTCAGTGAAGAGTGGGAAGAGCATGAGGGACCATTATGACTTCCCATTCCACCTATTTTCAGCTAGACAGATATTTTCAGCCACTTCCGAAAGGGAGAGAAGGAGGCTTAAGTGCTGTCAGAAACTCATATCCTGGCAACCTCAGTCTCACCCTGCTCCCTATATTCCCCCTTAAACATTAATTTCCCAACATCAGAGAGGAAACCAACACAGTTCTTTCTAAGCAGAGTGAACCTTTGGCTGGCTGGGGAGTATAGGATCACTTCCTAGGCTGCAGGAGAGTGAAATGACAATTATAGGTATACAAAACTAAGAGCAATTTTAAAAATGAGGATGTGGAAAGATAATGTTTGGACAATCACCAAAGGGAAAGAACCTTTAAATCCTCCCATCAGCATAGAAGGAGTGACATGGAAAATTAGTTTATTGCAAATATATAGCTCCAGGAAGCAATCACACAACTGTATGCATGGACATTATGAGATGGCCAATGAAGAAATCAAATGAGATTACATAACTGGATGCAGAAGATGTATTCTTGCTGCCAAAACAAAATCAGCAGCAAATTGTGGTAGTGACTAGGGATGTTCGGGGATGGAAATCTGTTGGATACCCTGGGACTGACTCCCAGGACTTCAGTCTGCTTTGCAGAGAACTGGCGTCTGAGTGCCTGGGTCACAATCAGCCAATCAGCCAAGTAAGAGTAAATCTGAATCCCTTGCAAATGTAAATGGGTGTAAAGTACTGCAGTGCACTTTTTAAAGACCTGCAGGGCCATGGACAGGCCAAACAGTAAAACAGGAAATTGGACAGTCTTTCTTTGAATTTGGAAATGTATGAGTTGTCTACAGAGATGTGGAAATAACAATCTTTCATTTCTATAGAGGCAAATCAATCTCCTTCATGCAGTGAGGGTAGATGTGACCATATAGAACACATATGGTGTGATGAAGGAGTTAGGATTGCAAGGGGCCTAGAAGGCCACTGGATCCAACCCCCTGCTGTTGCAGGACACCACGCTGCACCATTCCACTCAGATGGCTGTCCAGTTTCTTTCTGAATGTCTCCAGTGTGGGAGAGCCCACCACCTCTCTAGGCAGCTGGTTCCACTGTCACATTGCTCTGACAGCGAGGAAGCTTTTCCTGATGTCCAGCCTGAATCTGGGTTGTTGCAACTTGAACTTATTATTCCGTACCTAACGATGAGACTTCCGCACGGGTGGCTTCTCCTCATCCTGACTCTGAGGTGCTGGAACAAGTTGCGTCCCCGCCTCCTGACTGAAGCTGCTGGGCAGAGTTCAGGAGCTCAAGAAGAGGGAACGGTGAATTTGGCAGATGCCCAATTTAGGAGAAGTTTACGACGTCCGGAACAAATGAGAAGACAGGACAGAGGTTTGTCCCGCCCACAAGTGAAAAGACGTGACAGGAAAAGCTAATCCCACGTGGGCTCCTGAGAGACTTCACAAAGGAGGGGGCAACTTGTTCAAGCACCTCAGAGTCAGGATGAGGAGAAGTCACATGTGTGGAAGCCTCATCGTTATGCTGTGGGGTGGCTATTTGCTCAGTGGTCTCAGAGTCATGCTGCAGAGGGGTCGTTTGGTTACTGGCCCCCAAGTATAAGTCCCTTTGTTCCAATGTCTGATTCTCATTGTGAACATTTGACTCTTTCTCGCGAGTCGACATCTCTGTCGAGCTGTCAGGCACGACAGTGTCTTACACTCTGGTATCAGCAAGAAGAGATCTTGACCTTCCTCTTTGTGACAGCCTTTGCAGTACTTACAGAGGGATAACTTCCAGAAGTACAAGTGGAGGTTTCGCAGAGGCAGAGGAACTAGAGATCAAATTGCCAGCATACACTGAATCATGGAGAAAGCTAGGGAGTTCCAGAAAAAAACTCTACTTTTGCTTCATTGACTATGCTAAAGCCTTTGATTGTGTGGATCACAAATTGTGGCAAGTTCTTAAAGAGATGGGAGTATCAGACCATCTTATTTGTGTCTTGGGAAACCTGTATGTGGGTCAAGAAGAAACACTTAGAACTAGATATGGAAAAACCAATTGGTTCAAAATTGAGAAAGGATTATGGCAAGGCTCTATATTGTTGTCCTGCCTATTTAACTTATATGCAGAGCACATCATGCAAAAGGCAGGGCTAGATGAATTGCAAGCTGAAATTAAGATTGCCAGGAGAAATATCAACAACCTTAGATATGCAGATGATACCACTCTAATGGCAGAAAGTGAAGAGGAACTAAAGAGCCTCTTCATGAGGGTGAAAGAGGAGAGTGCAAAAGTTGGCTTGAAAATCAACATAAAGAAAACTAAGATCATGGCACTTCCTGACAAATAGACTGGGAAGAAATGAAGGTAGTGATAGATTTTATTTTCCTGGGCTCCAAGATCACCGCAGATGATGACTGCAGCCAAGAAATTAAAAGACACTTGCTCCTTGGGAGGAAAGCTATGGCAAAACTAGACAGCATACTAAAAAGCAGACATCACCCTGCCGACAAAAGTTGGTATAGTCAAGACTATGGTTTTCCCAGTTGTAATGTATGGCTGTGAGAGTTGGACCATAAGGAAATCTGAGTGCCAAAGAATTGCTGCTTTTGAATTGTGGTGCTGAAGAAGACTCCTGAGAGTCCCTTGGAATGCAAAAAGATCAGATCAGTCAATAATAAATAATAAAATCCTAAAAGAAATGAACCCTGACTGCTTTTTAGAAGGTCATGTACTAAAGCTGACGCTCAAATTCTCTGGCCACCTAAAGAGAAGGAAGGACTTTTTGGAAAAGACCCTGATGCTGGGAACGATTGAAGGCAAAAGGAGAAGGAGATGGCAGAGGTTGAGGTGGCTGGATGCGGTCACTGGAGAGGTGGGTGTGGGAACAACTTTGTGACTGAACAACAACATGAAGAGGACACCCAAAAAATGCAGAGCCCTTCTTTTTTTCTGTTTTTGGCAGATTAGGCATTTTATAGTGATCGTCCCAAATGTATCATACAAAACAAATGGACTACAGAAGTCTGGAAAAGTTTGCTAAAATACTCACATTCCAGTAGTCTTTGCCACCATAATGGTTGTGAAGAATATTTTCAGCTCTGTCTAGCATCACTGACCTAGCAAAAATGATAAGATTGAGGGCAAATTTTGATATAAAAATAACTTCTGTTATTAAATTTCTTTATAGAGATTATGCAGAGGTGGCCATGAATGTACAAACTGAACACTGCAATTCAGGTGCTTTTTTGGCTGAAAAAACAAACATAGCTTTCTTGACTCATACATTTCTAAAATGTAGCACCTTATCCACTAAGGTTATGTAAATCTGTATCTAGTAACATACTCTAAGCAAACTTTATTTCTGGTTTACAACAGTATAAAGGAGAGCTGACAGCTATCAGAGCAGAAACTCTTTGTGGGACTGCAGAGAAGAACAACAGAATTGCAGAGAATTCAGAATTGCAGAGAACACCATCGCTCTCGTCTCCCATGAGATGTGACAAAATTGGGGTTTTTTTCACTCACAGATTTATTAGAGAGGTTTGTTAGGACTACAGCCTCTACTGAAATGGGTAACTCCCCCAGCTGAAAGATCTACTGCGGACTTTCAAATAGGCGCACATTTATTTACTTTAAAAAAATATACTGCTTGTCTACCTCAAAGCAACTGATCTATGAATAACCCAAAATATTTTAAAATAACTATCAACCAAAGAATAAAAGAAAACAGATTCTCACAGTTGGGAAAAACACTTCAACAAGATCCTAGAGGCTTTTTATTTTTAGTCTTACCTTGACCTCATGCAGAACTACAGCAGTTCTGTTAGTTAGAAAGCTCTTTCCAGGCAGCAGATGCAAGATTCTTGCAATGGCCATGTTTATATGCAACAATAAACTACAGTTTAACATTACATCTGTGAACCCCAAGGTTTGCATACTCCTTCCTCCTTCAGGATGGCTATGAGGAAGTGATCAAAAGTTCTTGCTTCTGTTTGCAACTAACTATGATTCTGTATCATGTAAGTAATAATATTGATTGTAAGTAATACAATCAGTTACCAGCATTAACATTAATTATATTTTGCTAGCATACTGTATGTCTAGTGCAACATCACTGGTGTGACAGGATCCCCTGGAAACTCTGTTGTGCCAACCAACAATGTACTAGAGGTCTCCTAAGAAATAAAATTAATGGCTGGAGTGAGAGCAGATGAAGACGTCTTTATTTTACTGTTTTATTTTTATAACTGAAGATTTGCAGCAAGTCTGAGTACAAGTTGTAGCCCAGTACAGGGCCCGCTCTGAGAATGTGGACATGGCAAAAAAAGTCTTACACTTCCTTAAATGCTGCATCAGCACAGTGCTGTCCAGCATAGCTGTTCTGAGTGAGACAAGCCATAAGTGACTTATGGTTACAAATTTGTGCAACGCTTTGCTGATAAAATCACTTGTATCTACTTTGACTCTGTTGCTCTGGTGGCTGACCTATGCCAAGATAAAGACAGGGAAGAACATTTGTGTTGCTTTAGGCACAGCTCTCAGCTGCTTATGCTACGATCGGCCATGGTATCCTTCATACCAGGATGGGCTTAAAGGTTCTAGTTTGCAGTGGTACTTGCATTATTTTGCACATAGATGATAAAAGGTGCCATAGAGGAAGGCTGCTCATTTTCTTGGCCTTTGGCTTAGGGGATTCCACAGGGTTTCTCCAGGTTCCATATTACCCTCCACCATTATCTGGGAGGTTGACTGGGAGTGAAAGGCTGGGTGTCACCAATGCAGATGATGCTCAGTTTTCTCTCTTTTCATATTATGCCAGGGAGGCTATGGAGGTCTTGTACAGAGGTCTTGGAGGCTATGGAAGTCTTGAACAGACTGGATCTGGGCAAATTTAAAAACAATTTAGAACAGCTAAACAGAACAGCTCAACAGAGTTAAAAAGAAATACTAGGGACTGTTGAATAGCTGACATTGACAGCCCATCATATGCTGCCAAATGCCAGGGAGTATAGGGCAGAAAAACATGGTACTGAAAAAATGTTGATACCAGTGAACCTCAGCAGGGCGAACAGTCTACATTTGGCTACTACCCAGAGGGCCCTATCATAGAATCATAAATAGTAGAGTTGGAAGGGGCCAAGAAGGCCATCGGGTCCAACCCCCTGCTGTTGCAGGACACCATGTTACACCATCCCACGCAGATGGCTGTCCAGTTTCCTCTTGAATGTCTCCAGTGTGGGAGAGCCCACCACCTCTCCAGGCAGCTGCTTCCACTGCCATATTGTTCTGACAGTGAGGAAGCTCTTCCTGATGTCCAGTCCGAATCTGGGTTGTCGCAACTTGAATTGATTATTCCGTGTCCTACACTCTAATATCAGCAAGAAGAGATCCTGACCTTCCTCTTTTTGACAGCCTTTGAGGTGCTTATAGAGGGATATCATGTCCTGCCTCAGTCTCTCTTCTCAAGGCTGAACGTGCCCAGTTCTCTCAGTCTCTCCTCATAGGGCAGTGTTTCCAAACGCTGGATCATTTTTGTTGCCCTCCCGTGGACCCTTTCTAATTTTCCTGCATCTTTCTTAAATCTTGGAGCCCAGAACTAGACAGAGTATTTCAGGTGAGGTCTGACTAGTGAGGAGGACAGTACATTTGCCCCTTTGGCGGCTGTGTCACATTGTTGGCTTATATTTAGCCTATTACTTGTGCACAATTACTTCGAGATCTTTTTCTTTTTTAATTTTCTTGAGCCACATATTCCTCATCTTGTATTAATGCATTTGGTTTCTTTTTCCTAGCAGTTCAATATGGACCTGGCAGTTGTCCATATTGAATCTCATTCTGTTGCTTTCAGCCCAGTGTTCATGTTTATCAAGATCGCCCTGGATTCTGCCTTTTAGGGTGTGTGGTATTCCACCCAGTTTTGTATCACCTGCAAATCTGATTATCTTTCCTTGTACTTCCTCAGCTAAATCATTGATAAAGATGTTGAAGAGCACTGGGCCCAGGACTGAACCCTGTGGCACCTCACTAGTTACCTCCATCCAGTCTGAGAAGGTGCCATTGATGAGCACTCTTTGTGTCTAATTTAGCAGCCAATTTTGGATCCACCTAATAGTTTTTCTATCTAGTTCAGTTTTTTCTAATTTATCCTTTTTGCCATCTTCCAAGCCTCCCTTGGAGGAGGGCCTGGGATGGTGGTCATAGAATTATAGTAGAGTTGGTCAGGACCAGAAGGCCATTAGGTCCAGCCTTCTGCTCTTGCAGGACACTATACACCATTCCATTTGGATTACTGTCCAAACACATTTTGAATGTCTCCAAATGCTTTTCGAATGTCTGACATTCATTATGATCATAATTATGAATTTTAACAGCATATTTATGATGAATGTCATCATTTGAACAACAAACAAGAGCAGGACAAAGTTACATTTAATATACTTTTTTGAAGAGTATAGAGTACTCTCACAACCAAAAACACTGGCAGAACCAGAATTCATATATTCAGGTCAAGTGACCCTTGTCTTGTGCATATCCACTTCTCTGACTAGTGCTTTAAAGTACTTCAAACTAAGATCACAAGGAACTTAGTATTATTAATAATATATCTATCCAAGCTTGTTATTTCAGAGAGTATTAATTATCTCACCGACTGGAAGTGTTCAGAAGCAAAGGAGCTACGATAGAGGCAGAGCCTTGGACAGATAAACATGTCACCTTCAGGGCCCTTGTTTCTTCATAACCCCAGAACCATCCCCTACAAAATAAGTAAAGGTTGGGTTAGCATATACAACTTGGTACAACAAAGAACATTGTACAACTAATGAAGAATTTGTTATATGGCTTCTTAGTAAAAGAATGAAAACACATTTTTGTTTCAACAATCACTTAGGGCCATGTAAGTGATGGATATTTTAAGATGGATATCCTGTTGGTTGGGGGTTGAGGATCAAGGGATAATACTACACAGATTGGGGTGATCTCTGCTTTTACTCCTGTCAAAAATGCAACTAGGAGTAACTAGGAGTATTTGTTTTCAGTTTTAAAAGGGAAGGCAGATGACCTTTTCCTGGAGAAGATTATTCAGTTTCATTACTTGCAGACTTGAATTCTGCTCCAAGAACTTGTGAAAGGGAAAACAGGGATGTGAAAGGCACATGAAAAGAAAGTGATAAACATATGGGGGAATTTTTCCCCACTTCTCCCAAAAGGTTTTTTTGGTTTGGTGTGTGTGTGTGTGTGTGTGTGTCTGTCTGTCTGTCTGTCTGTCTGTCTTTCTGTTATTCTTGAAAATGAGGTATGAAATACTTTATTTCAATATATTGGAATACAGTCTTTCAGACAAAATATCCACATATTCCCTCCTTTAAAATGTTCTCTAAAAACTATATAGTAGATGCTTATCTAAGAACATGCACAATCTTCCATACAAAAGAATCTTTACAATTCTTATGAGCTGCGGACAAGGAAGTCCTAGCTGGTAAACTGAGATTACAACTTTCTCTGAGGTTGCAAACTTGTGTAATTACTCAGGTGTAATTCCCACAGAAAATAGTGAGTCTTTCTGAGACAATCCTCACGGATCTCTACTCTACCGCATCATCAAGAAGCACAAATTATTGAGACAGAAATCTCTGGACTGGGTGGTATTGTTTGTGTTTTGCTGCTCCTGGTAATTGGACCAGGTGGAAGAGCCATAAAGCTACTATATATATGGTTCCACATCTTGTTTGAAATGCTTTATTTTGGTAGTTTCTGGGATTCTAGAACACTCTACATTCATCTGGGAGTAGATGAATTCATCTCATTAAACATAGAAACAGAGCAAATCAGAAGGGGTCTCCTGGGCCATCTAGTCTGACCCCCAGCTCTAGGCGATACTGCTCATGACATGCCTACCATGTGGATGTCTAGCCTATCCTTGAACACACTCACTGATGGGGCTTCAACCACCTCCTGTGGAAGCCCATTCCATACCCTTGGGGTCCTGTCAGGAAGTACTTCCTGGCTTTTAAATTCAACCTTGGTTCACTGAGCTTGGCTCCGTTAGAGCGCATCCTGCCCTCCTCTGCAGGGGAGAGCAGATCTCTACCCACCTCTGTGTCACACCCCCTCACATACCTATATGTTGTCAGCAGATCCCCTCGAAGTCTCCTCCAGGCTGAAAAGACCCAGTTCCCTCACTCTCGCCTCATATGGCTTTCCTTGCAATCCAGCCACGATCCTTGTGGCCCTGTGCTGCACTGACTCTAACCTGGCTTTATCCTTCCTGTAATGAGGGGCCCAGAACTGAACACAATACTCCAGTTGTGGGTGCACCAGAGTTGTTTAGAGTGGTAGTAATACCTTTCTCGATCTAGAAGCAATGCTTCTGGCTTTGCAACCAAGGGTGGTGTTAACCCTCTTGACTGCCACGTCACACCGCTGACTCATGTTTAGCCTGCAGTCAGCCAGTACCCCAAGATCCCTTTCACAAGTGCTGCTCTCCAGCCACTTGTCCCCTAACCTCTACTTATGACACCCATTCCTATGCACCAAGTGTACGAACTTGCACTCACCCACATTGAACGCCATCCTGTTGTCTCCTGTCCACTTCCATATTCTGTCCAGATCCTTCTAGATTTGAAGTACCTGCTTCTCAGTTGTGGCAATTGCCCCCCCCCCCCCCATTTTAGTATCATCTGTGAATTTGATCAGCAGACTGGTCACCTTCCATGTTGTTGATGAAAAGATTGGACAGGATTGGCCCCAGGATGGAGCCCTGGGGGACCCCGTTTGTCACTGGCTGCCATTCTGATGATTCCCCACTAATGGTTACCCTCTGCTTTCGGTCAGTCAACCATGCCCTAATCTAGGCCTCCTCAAACTTTTTGAATAGGGGCCAGTTGAAAGGTGCCAGGAATGGGTGCGGGCTGCCAAGGCGGTGCAGGAGGGGGGTGCGGGGGCACATACATATGCGCACGTGCAGAAAGGCAGGGGTATGTGTGTACAGAGATCATTTTCTCCCAATGAGTCCAAAACGATCTTCTTGCAAGCAAGCTGGTGCCTTGGGGCCGGCTTGCTTGCAAGGAGATCATTTTGGACTTGCTTGGAGAAAAGGATCTCCTGGCAAGGCACCGGCTTGCTCACAAGGAGATCCTTTTCTCCGAGCGAGTCCAAAACAATCTCCTTGCAAGCAAGCCGCTCAATTTCTCAACCAGGATAACATGTGGCACTTTGTCAAAGGCCTTGCTGAAATCCAGGTAAACTTTGTCATAGAATTCCACTAGGTTTGTCAGGGAGGACCTGTTATTGCAGAAGCCATGCTGTGTGGCCCTCAGCCTCCCTTCCCTATCTAGCATCACTAGATCTCTCACTATTATGAGCCTTTCCATTGTTTTTTTTACAATGGATGTAAGGCTAACTAGTCTGTAATTCCCCATGTCCCCTCTCTTACCATTTTTGAAAACTGGGGCCACTGACGCCACCCTTCAGTCCTCTGGAACTTCACCTGTTCTCCACGAGGCCTCAAAAATGGAGGCCAGCCGGTGCAAGAGATTTCCCACCAACTCCTGAAGTACTCTCGGGTGTAGCCAGTCAGGCCCCGGTGCCTTTGTAACATGCAGTGCCCTGAGGAGCCCCTCGACTTCTGGGGAGGACTCTAATCTGTGCCCTTAAGTCCCCAGCCTCATCTAATCTCCCATGCGGATCTCCCCCATCCTGTTTTGGGGAGAACACAGAAGCAAAATAGTCATTTAGCATCTGTGCCTGTCCCCTCACATCAGTCACTGGATCTCCTTCCTTCTTATTTAGCAATCCCACTACCTGTCTCCCCTTCCTCTTGCTATTTACATGCTGCTAAAAGCCCTTTTTGTTGCTCTTGATATTCTTTGCATGCCTCAGCTCATTATCAGCCTAAGCCTTGGGAAGAATCCTTCTGCAACGGGCCCCCTCCTCCCGGTATATACCTTTTTGTTTATTCGCCCCATGCCCATTTCCTACAGAGGTTCCTCTTGCGTCTGATTCCTCTTACCACCTCCTTTCACATCAATGGCAGCACTCTCCTTCGCCTCTGTGCCTTACTAACTAGAGGTATTGTCAAAGCTCGTGCCTTCAAAACTTCCCTTTTGAGGGCCATCCACCCCTCCTCAACTCCCTTGCTTTCCAGTAACCTATCCCAGGAGACTTTCCCCATCTCACTTTCAGTTGGTCAAAGTTGGCCCTCTTGAAGTCCCAGCTTCTAGTACCTGACCTGCTGCACGTCCCCATTCCCCTGATCTCAAAGCAAAGGATGGAGCAATCACTCACATCCAGAGCTCCCCTAATCTTCACTCCATCTATCAACTCCTCCCTGTCGGTCAAAACCAAGTCAAGGATATTCCCGCCCACCCCCCGGTCACCTCTTGGACCCTCTGTGTGAAAAACCCTCCTTCTATAGCATCTAGGAAGCAATGTGACCTGGCTAATCTCCGATAATCACTGTGTCCCTCCCCTGAGATATCCTTTGAATCTGATCTGTCAGGACATCGTCCAGGGTCTCAAGGTGATACCATACCCCCACTGTCAGGCCCCTCTCCCTGTCAAAACCCCTTATTTTCACCCAGTCTGACTCTACCAGATCCCCAACTGCACTGCATTCTATCTCATTGCATCCTATGCCTTCCCTGACATATAAAGCTACGCTGCCGTCCCTCTTTCCCTTCCTGTCTTTTCAAAACAGCTGATACCCCTCTATGTTTACATTCCAGTCTTGCCTTTCATCCCACCAAGTTTCTGTGATCCCCACCATGTCATACCCTCCTATTCCCAGGAGAAATTCAAGCTCTTTCTGCTTATTACTCAGGCTCCTAGCATTGGGGCACATGCACCTCAATTCCTTCCCACAGCTTCCTTTCTTTGGGATCCCCAGTCTCTTCCTTCCTGTCATCTTCCCTGATACCAGTCCCCTCTTCGTAGGAGTCCTCTCAGCCGCTCCAGTACCTATAGCACCCTGGTCTCAGAGCCCTGATCCTCCCCCCTCACTTGTCCAATCAGGGCAAGTTTCTGGGGGGCCTGAACCCACCCCCCTGGCTCAGTTCCATCTTCCGGACGAAAGCTCACTAGAGCATTTCCAAAGGTTTTTTCCCCATCCTTGTGAGGTGCAGCCCGTCCTTCATCAGAAGTCCATTGGCAAGAAACCAGGTGCCATGGTCAAGGAACCCAAAGCCTTCTTTCTGGCACCATGCCCTGAGCCAGTTATTCACCTCGGCAACCCCCCTTTCCCTGGCTGGTCCAAATCCCCAGACCAGAAAGATAGAGGAAAAGGCCACTTGGGCCTTTAGGTCCCCAAGTTTCTTTCCCAAGGCTTTGAAGTCCCTGGTGATCCTGCCCATGCCCTGCCTGGCTATGTCATTTGTCCCCACATGGATCACCAGAAGCAGCTGGTGACCCCCAGAGCGAACAAGACATTCTACTCTATCCTTCACATGCTGGATGTGTTTCCCCGGCAGGCAACATCCTTGCTTCAAGGTCAGGGCAGCGCACCACCACCTCAGTGCCCCTCAGCAGGGAGTGCCCGACGATGATCACCCACTGTTGCCTCTTCCCAGAGGTGGTAGGTGTCTGTGACCTGGCCCTCGCATCTCCTGCAGTTGGCTCCTGGTCCCCCAAGTCCTCATCAGCCCCTGCCTCCCCAAGTGGAGAGAACTTGTTTCCCAGCTCCAGATTGGCACCAGGAGAAGAAGGAGGCTGTGCCGTGGGTGACATGCCTCCATGTCTCCCTGGCTGTTCCTCCCGTGGCCACTCCCTCAACCTTCTGTCTGGAGTGGGGCTGCTCCCGGGGGGTCTGGAGAGCTCTCTCGGCCCTCAGACCCCTCATCTCCTCCTCTGGGAGGGTCACCAGCTTGCACTGAGGGCAAGTGTATCCCTGTCTCTCCTGAGGGAGAAGGGTGAACATGTCACAGCTGTCGCAGCGGACAGCAACACCCACCAAAGCCATCTCCTGGCCTGACACTGGGTACCCCTTGGAGGCCCTACCTTCTTCCCCCACTTTGTCTATTCTGCACTGGCCTTCACTTGCCCAGTTCTCCCAGACAACCCCCTCCCCACCACACACAAGGGCAAAATAAAAAATCTAATTAAAAACTGCCCCCAAGGAAGGGAGTCCCCAGGCAGCCTGGGCTGCAGCTAAGGGACGCAGACAAGGGATGGCACCCAACAGCTGAGTGCGCCTTTGTAAGTTTCACAAGCTGCTGGCCCCATTCCTCTGCTTTTTCCTGGGCCTCTCTGGCCCCACCTCCCTTCCTCTCCACTGCTCCTGTTCCCTCCCACCCCTGTTCCTCTGTCCAGCTCCTACCTTGCCTTCGTCAGTTCCCTGGCCACCCTCTGCACACTCTCCCAGCCTCTGCTGCTCCGCTGCTTTGCCAAGAGTCAAAAAATTCAGATGCTTTACTTCTGAGCAAACATTTTTAGGATTAGAGTGAATCTGATGTAATCTTGCATGTTTTTCGCCAACCACAGTTCTTCTGTACCCTCAATTGTTTCCCCTTATTGTTCTTACGTGCCATCGAGTTGTCTCCAACTCATGGTGACCCTATGAATGAAAGCCCTCCAAAGTGTCCTGTCCATGCCTGCTCCTCTCACCTCTTCCCAGTTGGAAGCTGTGGCTTCTTTCATGGATTCAATCCATCTTCAATTTCCTACTCCACATAATTTCCTATACCATCTCAGCTACCTTTTCCTACTGCAGATGTCTCTATAGCTAGGACCATGCCTGGTCCAAGTATTTTATACTGCCCGAGGCAGTGGTGCCTCCTCACCCAACACCAGTTATGGTACATAGCAGTACTCAAAACCAGTCAAGTTCTTTTGGCCTGTACAAGTATCTCTGCCCTTCTCTGGAAGTAAAAATATAATAAGGAAAATAAATCATGAGTGACTTGCTGCTTTTGCATGATGCTTTGCTGCTTTTCCACCTGTCTGAGGCAGTTGCCTCATATGCTAAAATGTATGTGTATTTAAAGGTTCCTGTCTCCTAATGATACTCCTATTTGTCTAAAGGGATGCAAAAGAAGAGGAGGATATTTGACTCCAGAAAAAACAAACAGAAACTTTCAAATGATACAAAATACAGAACTTCTTTGGGGATTTGGTCCAGGAATGCATTCTGGAATTCTGCCAAACATAACCCTCCTGCATTCTGGTGGCAGGGCCTTTGCACAGCACAGCCTCTGACTTCTCTTACTTCCCACCTACTTCAGATTCCTGCATTTTTTACAACATGTGAACAAAACTGGACAATGTCTGGAAATACACCAAAGCAAGGAATTGACAAAAGGGAAAGAAGCTTGTTTCAATCTGGACAAACCTTCAGTATGAAGACTAAGATGGAGAAGGAGAAACTGAAACTGATAGCAATAGCTCAGAAAATGATATTGACTAAATTTCATGTATATCTGTGATTTTTGGTCCAACCTCCACCTTTTTCCCTTAGTTTTTTTTTAATCGGATTAAGTGATTTATGTCTGTTTTGCACTCTGGAAGGAAATACTTGAGGAGACATCGCATTGGGGACTGCAGGGAGTAGGGTGTGTGGAATGGCCACTACACCCAACTAGGAACCCCAATACTAGTTGTGGTAACTTAAAAAGATGTGCCTTAAAGAAAGAAAATCAAGGCAAGAAGTCATTTCAGCAGCCTGAAACATAAATTCTTTAACTACCATATTAGAGATAATTTTTCCTACTCAATCAGAAATTGCAGAAAATGCCTCCCACTTTGTGGCTAAAGAATGTGGCTCTTAATGTAGGGAGACACTTTAAGCCCAGCTTTAATTTTAATACATCTGCTACTATAGAGATTACCTGTAGTATTTATGTTTGTCTGTTGAATACATGAGCTCGTCAATGCATGGTCTCTCATCTATTTTTTCTTCCCATGTTCCCTCTTTCCATCCTTCAGCATAGTTTTGCAGGACGTACACCTGGTCAATAAAGGGTCCACCTGACTCTGATGATCAAACAAAAATCAGCACATAAATAGGTACGTCAATTTATACAGTAGATGTAAAATGGAACCACTGGCATTTATAAACCATTTATAAATCATTCACTGACAACAGGGATGGGAAATCTCAGGCTTAGGGCCCAAATCCAACTCTACTGGGGTTCCAATCTGGTTCTCCAAATGGCCACCCAGCATTTCCTTGGCCCAACCCCCTTTCCCTCAGCCATCAGTCTTTTCATGGTTTCCTCATTTCTCTGCAGTGTTTCCACTTTCTAAAAGGTTTGAATGCCTCTCAAGCCTTACTGCCTGGAAGAGCTTTAAGCCTTCATTCCTATTCCTTCACACCTGAACAAAGTCTGAACTGAATTCAACATTGTAACTGAAAAAGGTCTACCCTGATCTACAGAAATCAGAAGAGCAATTATTGAAAAGAAGGTTGAAATAAGAGGCTTCTGAATGTGGATTTTGGATTTTCAGAAAAAGACAACTAATTTGGATTCAGAAGTCAGCTGTATAGCATCTGAAATATTCTGATAAAAAATACATCCATAATCATCCATCTGTGGATGGAAGGGCCCTTTCCATCTGCAGAAGACAGAGCAGATCTAGTAGAACATTTTTGCTGAGGAACAGAGGAGGAGGTGATCTTTGTAGATTCCATTCTTTTCCTATGCCTCCCTTGCTGAAAATCTATTTTGGAACAGTGGGGGTGGTGGCACTGGACGCTGCAAAGGGAAAGCAAATCAGTAAAATCCTTCCGTCTCTTTCCACTTCTGAGAGCATTGTGACAGACCTTCACTCAGTAACATTGTCCTAAGTGGAAAAGAAAATGGATCCAAAACATATGAATTTTACTGCTAAATGGAAAATATTTGTAACTAATCAAGAAATTTGTAACTTATAACTAACATGAAGCTACTGTGAAAAAATAGGTCTTTGGCTTTCATATAGGCTGTGCTTTGAAATATACATAAGTAGGTTGTTTACAAAATCTGTAAATTTTATTGTATCATACTTCATTTAGCTGGAAATAGAAAAGCCTGAAGATTTCATAGAATATTTTGTAGTATCTTTTACCTGAAATAAATTCTTCATACTCAATAACAGGCGTATCTTTATTGAGGCTTGGAACATCAAAAAAACTCAACCAAGGAATTCGGACCTGATGAATATTAGGGCTTTGCCAATGATAGAGACGTCCCCAGGGAGGTAAAACCAGTACCCAGGCTTCATTTTTTAACAAAGTTTTTATAAGAGAGGCAACTCGTATATACACGTCTCTTCGGAGGTTGAAACCTTCAGGTGGGTTTACATCATACAAAAGATACCTAGAGAAACAAAGTAAATTATATTATTAAAGACAGCTCCTAATAACGTCAGCTTTTACACTTCCAAAAAAAGAGTGGCCATGCTTCTTTGTGCTGATGCATTTTGGTGCAACAAGGGGACTTTTGCACTGGACAGAAACTAGCTTAGTCAGTCTGCTAAGAATCTCCTAAATTTTAAGTTTTGTTTAAAATGTTCTCATTACTTGTGACATTGTACTGGCCTGAAATTTCATTTTATGCTACTTTGAATGTATTCTAGTTCTAGTCAGTGGTACATACCACAAATGAGAAAAAAGCTAGTCTGAACACTTTCTGCTGCACACTACAATGGTATCTTGCATTCTAAACAAGGCTCAACTAAATTTTCTTTAAAGAACAAACAATGTATAGTTAATTTTATGGCTTCTATTCACATTTCTCCCTGAATGCCACTCAGGACATATTTAACAGTAAGATTACACTATACTGGGTAGGGTGGATTAGAAGATTTAAATTACTAGTCAGTAAGGCTAGATTTAAATCATGGTTTTGTATGCATGCCTGCCTTAGCCATAAACAGAGGAATTTCATTAAAAAAAATTCCAAACTGGGTCTCTTTTACAGCCTGCTGCCATTATAGGATTTCTCCTCCAGGGAAAGAATTACATGATAAACCTCAGGTTTTACACAAAAAGATCCAAAGTCTTGTGGAATATTCTGCTCAAAAGGTTTCATTCTCATTTTTACTGCTCGCCCCTTCCTCCTCACACTCATATTTCTGTGCAGATCTATTCCATTCCCAACATTCTTCTATTCATTGAATTTTTTGAAACTTAGTACTTAAGAGGAAAAGTATTGATTCTGTGTACATAGATTTGCAAAGGAAGAATGGAATTAAGGTCTTTTTCTCAACTCTGTATGTTCATTTTTGCTGGGATGAAGAGCCATGTGATTTCTGCAAACACAAACTCACAGTTTTGAGAAATGTAAAACCAAGCATCTGTGATAATACACTCTATATAGAAAAACTGCCCAATAATCTTACAGAAACCTCTGGAAGAGCATGACATGGTAAATGAATTAATGGAATTCATTTATCAATCAATCAATCAATCAATAGGAGACGCAATTTCAATCAAAATTCTGATTTAAATTTTAAAAATCCAATATTTAATTAAAAAATAATTCATGTTTATCCACTCTGGTATGGGGCAGGTCATATCTTGCATTAAGCACCAAAGGCATATGTTTTATTTCCCTGATCCAAATCCATAGGCAAGTATTTTATTCATCTAGTTGCAGCCAACTGAATTGTGTATGCTTCTTCCAAGTACAACATTCATAAATAGAGGTTGCACAGCCTACAGAAATTTTCCATCCAAAATTTACATTAATTTCAGAAGGCTTTACTTATTCTCTCTAATGTTCTCCTATAGGACATACCCATTTGGCTGACATTAGGCAACAGCAGACTAGTTTCGTCCCAAGCATTGACAATGTTTACAGGGCATCACAAACGGCTACAGACTGAGCTATCTCCAGCCAAAAGCCCTCAGGCTAGCCTCCAGGTAGCCTAGCTCCCAGGTACACATGGACACCTCCTGAATTCAAATGTGATAAGTAGCACTCATGGCAGGAATTTCAACCCAATAAGCAGCTGTCATCGCTGCCAGGTTAGCCAGTGTATAAAAGAGAAGTCTGCTATGCTCCTGAGGTCGATCGTCCTTTTGCTATGATCAAACTTATTCTCAAGAACAAAAATACAGATTTTCCATTTTCCCTCACTCCTGTTATGTTTAAATGGGCAAAGCACACTAGGGTCCTTCAACTGGCAACCACAAAGGGAGTAGGTTGCAGGCCTTGACCTTGGCAGCTGGGGAAGATCGTGAAAACCCCTTCTGGGGACAAACTTGGCAAGCACCAGACCATTTGTCTGAGGAAACTCCCAGGTGATGGAGAGACTGATCAGACCCAACTCAAAGTTGCAATGCCCACCCATGTGAGGGAATCTAGGTTCTTGCCATACAATAGCCCATTGGTGAGTAATTGTGCTTCTGCCTGCAGAGTGCCCAGGACCAGGATAGTCAAAAGAGCTCTCAGCACAATTGGTGAACGGCAGAAGAGACTGCTGACAGGAACTGGCTGGTGCAGCTGCAACAGGCTGTGCCCAGGGACCCACAGGTACCCTCTGTAAGGCTTAGTCTGGCAAAGAGCTAAATTGCTCAGTGGGATAGGTAAGGGTCATATTAAGCCAAAAAGGGGGACACCCCTGACAAGTATGTATCAGGAATTTAAGGTACTGGGTGGAGGAATTGGATAGCTCACAAAAAAGAAGCTAGCTTTCTTCTCTTGGTCTTCTTGGCTATGTTATAAGCTAGAAATGGGGAAGTCATACCCCTGGGCAGGAGCAGCGACTGGGAACTGCTTTTGACTCTTAATAGTTATGTATTAAAGAACGAAAACATTTGGAAACTGAATATGTTTCATTGTTTTTGGCTTGGTATGTAAGATTTGATTGCCCAAATATGTTGCGTGTTTTTCTCACTTCTGAGAAAAAGAGCCTCATGGACTTAACTTGGCTGAAGAGTGGCTGTGAGGGACAAGGAGAGTGGGGCAAACGGACCTCGTTTTTTCCTACCACTGGATCATCTAACTCAGAGCCCAACAACCAGACTGATTACTAGAATTTGGTTCAATATTGCAAACTGCTAATAGAGGCAATCAGATACAGGAACCCAAGGCAGAAAAATATAGCCAAATTGTACCAAGTGTTTCAAAAGGCAGACAAGCCCACATCTGAGTTTTTTAAAGCATGCTGGGTGCAGCTTTAATGTCTTGGATCCTGAGGCTGAAGAGAATAGAAGGATATTGACTATACTGTGTATGGGTTTATGTGGGTAACATAAGGAAGGAATTGCAGAAGGTTAAAAGTGAGGAAGTTGAGTTAACCCCTAAGCTATTTAAGATTGTATATCAGTTTATGTCAATAGAGACCAAGAAGAGGACAGGAAAGTTGAGAGAAGGCACAGAATGCAAGTGATGGCATTGCAGGGGGTGATGGGTGCCCAACCAAGAGTGTGTGCATGTGCGGGGGGGGGGGGGGTCATTGGGATCCCACATGGAAAGAATGCTAAATGGATAAAGGATTCAAGTGAGGAGGGGGGCGGAGCGAGCTCGGATGGATTCTTACTCCTCCTGACCATCAGGAAAAATATGATTAAAATATACTCAAATTAAGATCAAGACATGTTGAAAAATGCATGAAATGTAAGTTTAATCTTTGTCTATTTCCTGGGAAGATTTGAAACACAGACATGGACTAAGAGCTGTTTTTGTAATTTGAAACTGTTGGGCCTGGTCCAGAGTAAGCTGCATCTCAGATGTTTGTGGATTGAGAAACAGTGTTTATGTTATAAACACCTCGGCCACTTATTATAAAAACCTTAAAAGCAGCATGAAGAGCAGAGAAAAATGGTGGAGGTTGTTTTTCTTAAACAATTCTTGTTTTTCTTGAACAATTGATAAGAAGAGACTTTCCTCCCTCCCCCTGCACAGCTGGAAGGCTGAGAAAGTGCTGAAAGAGAAAACATTTGGACAGCGCTGTAAGGGATGTATATCAAAGTTAATTAATGTCCCAGGATTAGCTTCTCTGCACTATTTTGTTACTACTACAGAAATAAGAGATAAGAAATAACGAGAAAATAAATAAATAAAAAGAGGAAGTGATGTATGGTTTGAGAAAGAGGAAGACTGTATTTTGTTGATACTAATACTAATACATCTGCTGGCTAGATGTTAAATTGCAGCTGATGATCTATATACTGTTTGAAAGTTTAACTGCAATTGAGGACTGCAAATAAGATATCACTAAATTTAAGAGCTCTCTCCTCTTAGCTGAATGCTAAAGAACAACTGTCGACTGTATGTCTAAACGTAGCAAGAGTGCAGATAGTGTGAGACAGGAACCTAAAGAAGCATTTGGCAATGGCCTAAAGTGAAATAAGATCCTTCTCATAAACCTCGCCCATCGGATTTGTGGTTGAAAAGAGTAAAGAAAAGTTATGAAATGAATGGGGAAAAGAGAGCATCACCAGAAAAATCAACGACCTCATCAACACAACCAGACAACTCTAATATAATTCTACAGGAATTAAGAGAAATGAAGGCACAAATGAAGACAGATTTAAAAGATATGAAAGATGAGATGAAGAATGATTTGAAGACATTAGATATTAAATGGATAATATGGATGGGAGAATAAAATATTTATCTAAACAAAATCAAGAGAATCTTCAAACCATTACCGGAGTGAAAGCTCAGATGAGAGAACAAGACAAAGAGTTTAAAAAAAAAAACAGATGACCAAGATAGACCAGGTTTCTAAAAGTGTGACTGAGATTCATGATAGACAATGAAGAATGAATTTATGCCTCAAAGGATATCCAGAGGATGGGAAAGAGAATGAAAATAAATTGATTCAATTAATATTGGATTGGGCTGAATCTATTCTTCCAGATGTTTCTTTTATAAGATATATTGATACAATACATAGAGTTGGCCCAAGAAGAGCTGGAAGAAAAACACTGAGAGACATTGTGGTCCGATTCTAGTAGTGTGCAAAAAAAAGGACAACTGATACAGAAATTATGGAATATGACATCAATTATGCTTGAAGGTCATAAGCTTCAAGTCTTTCCTGATTTATGTAATGAGACTTTGCAATGGAGGAGAGAGATGTTCCAAGTCTGCCAAATATTAAGGTAGAATTCTATAAAATACAGTTGCGGGTTTCTGATTTTTTTGAGTTTTTCATACAATGGAAAATATTACGGAGTTGATACAAAGGAGGAAGCATTGGAATTATTAAAGGCACTTGGAATTATTCTTGATTATGAATATGCAGCACAAATGCAAAAATCAATGGATATGTCTACATTTTCAAGAAGGAAGACAGAGAAGGAGAGAAAAGATTGGGAGGCTATAGCAGCAGGAGGTTTAGGTTCTCCGTAGAGATAGAATGGAGATTCAGAAGAAGGAAGTATTAAGTGTGAAAAGATAAGAAGATCTATATGTAACAGATATAGAATATATAGTACTTTGAATTGTGGTGCTGGAGAAGACTCCTGCAAGTCCCTTGGACCACAAGGAGATCAAACCAGTCATTCCTAGAGGAGATCAACCCTGACTGCTCTTTAGAAGGCCAGATATTGAAGATGAAACTCAAATACTTTGGCCACCTAATGAGGAGGAAGGACTCACTGGAGAAGAGCCTAATGCTGCGAACAATTGATGGCAAAAGAAGAAGGGGACAGCAGATGATGAGAATTTTAACATTCAAATTTAATGTTACTGAATGTCTGTTCTTTAATAGATAACGTTTTTTTTAAAGCCACAATAGCATACCTATTACTTTTAGAGCCAAACTTTAACAGGTTAGGGTTCTAAAAAGTAGTCTGATGATTCATGTTGGCAGTGATGAAATGCCTTTTAGGCTGAGTGGTTGCAATCAATATAGGGAATAAATAATTAGTATATTTATTTCCTATATTGATATATAAATAAGGGAGTCAGCATTGGAGTTGAAGGTACCATAAACTGAGGAATCAGAGTTGAAGGTCTTACGTAGCAACTCCAGAGCCCTGGTCCTAACATTGGTTCTAGGAATTTCATATAAAAGTTATTTCTGAAATTCCAGAGGAAATGTGGTAAATGTGGTAAATTTCCAATACATTTTATTAAAGCCCTTCTCCACATCCAGACAATGGCAGCTGTGTCTATTCTATCCATATTTAATACAATCAGATCCACAACCATTCTACGATTATTAGCCTCCTCCCTACACTACTTTAATATTTATTTATTTAAAACATTTCTATGCTGCCCCAAGGATACATAAATACATAAATAATGACACTATAACAATTTTAAAAAATCGTTTAAAAACCCCCGGTGCATTCTCGGCTAAAATTTTTAAAATCCTAATTAATTCAAATAATTTAACAATTAAAATAAGTTTTAAATAAAAAGGTCTTAGCCTGGCGCCGAAAAACAAATAACGACGGCGCCAGGCGGACCTCTCTGGAGAGCGCATTCCATAGATGGGGTGCCACCGCAGAGAAAGCCCTCCTCCGGGTACTCACCCTCCTAATATCATTCACAGAGGGTTCCTGAAGAAGGGCATCTGTTGCTATCTCAAGGGGCGAGAGGGCATATATGGGCGCAAGCGTTCCTTTAGATATCCAGGTCCTAAGCCAGGCAGTCGTTTTCCAGGAAGGGATGGAGCTGATGTATCAGCTGAAGCTGAAGGAAGGCGCTCCTCACCACTAACGTCACCTGAGCTTCTAGAGACAGCTCAGGGTCAAGGAGCACTCCCAAGCTGCGAACCCTGTCCCTCAGAGGGAGTGCAACCCCATTTAGGACAAGGCCCAAGTCCCCCATCCCGAGGCCCAAGCCACCCACCAACAAGACCTCCGTCTTGTCTGGATTGAGCTTCAGTTTATTGGTCCTCATCCAGCCCATTACCTTGGCCAGGCACCGGTTCAGCACAGCCACTGCCTCACCTGGACAGGTGGAAAACGAGAGGTAGAGCTGGGTATCATCAGCGTACTGATGATTCCACAGCCCATACCTCCTGATGACCTCTCCCAGTGGTTTCATGTAGATGTTAAATAGCAAAGGGGACAAAATAGACCCCTGCGGAATTCTGTGGCATAACTGCCATGGCACAGAGCCATAGTCCCCCAGCACCACCTTCTGAAATTGGCCATTGAGATAGGAGCGGAACCACCGCCATACAGTGCCTCCAACTCCCAATCCCACTAGCCTATTCAGAAGGATACCATGGTCGATGGTATCGAAAGCCACTGAGAGGTCCAGGAGAACGAACAGGGATGCACTCCCCCTGTCCTTCTCCCTGCACAGGTCATCGTACAGGGCGACCAAGGCAGATTCAGTGCCATACCTGGTCTGAAGCCGGACTGAAATGGGTCCAGATAATCAGTTTCATCCAAGAGTGCTTGGAGTTGTCCCACCACCACCCGCTCTAGCACCTTGCCCAGAAACGGGATGTTGGCCAGGAACGGGATGTTGGTCTATAATATGTATCACCTAATCTGGCTGGTAGTAACAAATTTTATTTTCCTGGGCTCCAAGATCACCGCAGATGGGGACTGCAGCCAAGAAAATAAAAGAAGCTTGCTCCTTGGGAGGAAAGCAATGACAAATCTAGACAGCATACTAAAAAGCAGAGACATCACCCTGCCGACAAAAGTGCATATAGTTAAGGCTATGGCTTTCCCAGTTGCAATGTACAGCTGTGAAAGTTGGACCATAAGGAAGGCTGAGCGCCAAAGAATTGAGGCCTTTGAAATGTGGTGCTGGAGAAGACTCCTGCGCGTCCCTTGGACTGCAAGGCAATCAAACTGGTCAGTCCTAGAGGAGATCAACCCTGAATGCTCTTTAGAAAGCCAGATACTGAAGATGAAACTCAAATACCTTGGCCACCTAATGAGAAGGATGGACTCACTGGAAAAGTCCCTGATGCTGGGAACAATTGACGGCAAAAGAAGAAGGGGACGGCAGAGAATGAGGTGGCTGGATGGAATCACTGAAGCAGTTGGTCTGAGCTTAAGTGGACTCCGGGGGATGGTGGAGGACAGAAAGGCCTGGAGGAATGTTGTCCATGGGGTCGCGATGGGTTGGACCCGACTTCATGACTAGCAACAATCTGGCTGGACTGTCATTGTAGCAATATCTCATAGTCTGCCAGGCAAAATTGTAGTTAGTATTTTAATACCAACATTAATTACCAACTAGATCAATAATTAGTACAGTGGTTATGATCTCTATCTGATTTTACATCTTTATAATTGACTCAGAAGCATGTACTGGAATAATATGGAGGAAGGGAAAGGTGACTATGCTTTACCTATCTTGAATGTGCCTGCAACTAGAGTGGTTAAGAGATAATCTGTTTTAAATATATTTGAAGATGGATTCAAACAGCCACAATGCTTATGTACTCTGCAAGACATTAACAATAAATAATTGGCAACAACTATGCTCCTCAAATTGCATACCTGGAAAAAAAGGAGATGCTTTTAATATCCTATTCTCTCACCAAGGATTAGCGCCTGAGTGCCTCTCTTTTCCTGCATCCTGCTCCTTTATAGCTTGTTGCATACTTGGAACTTGGTCTTCTCAATACTTAACAGCACTACTAAAATAACCGCAGGTTATTGGCCCGCCGGGCTTGCCATAGCAAGAAATGCTCCTGAGGAGAAATCCTCAGATGCAGCGCTTATTCCAGAAGGTAACGCCTGAAGCACGTTTAGTACGTTTCCTCTGGAAGCGGGGGGCGGCTGGCGAGCGAATGCCAACGTGGGTCTGAACGTCACAGCAAAGCTTTCCCTGTCTGGGCTAGTTAAACATGACACCCGTCCCCATCGGTGAACGTTCCCGGGTCTTAGCGAGGGCTACAAAGAAGGAGAATCCCTTTTCAACAAACTGCCTCGGTAGGTAGGATGTCGGGACTGTGTGGGTGCAGGAGCGCTGGGGTGTGATGGGGGGGTCCTTCTTTCCTCTTTGCCCTGCCCCATGCCCCCCTTGATGGGCGACTGACCCGCCCCAGGCATGCCGACAGCCCCTTCCCCAGAAAGCCAAGTGGCAAGAGAGAAGACGCCTCTGCTTGTTTAGGGCCCAGAGGTTGCGGCCGCTTCCCTCACCGTCGGAGAGGCGCCGCAGAATGGCCGGTAGGCAGGGAGGAGGTGCCGTGTCCTGCCTGGAAGGCCTCAAAGGGCAGTTGAGCGGCGGCGAGCGCGAAGAAGACGAGGAACGGCGACAGGAAGGAGAGGCCCGCGGCCCCCGGGGCAGGCGCCATCTGCGGCCACGGCGAAAAGGAGCGGGCGTGGGGTTCGCCCGCCGGAGTGGGGGGCAGGACCCGAGGGGAAGGGCTCATCGAGGCTGGCCCTAGAAGCGCAGCAATAGGAGGCGGCCAAAGCCCGGCGAGACCGCTTGCTTTCTCCAACACCGGAAAGCGCCGTTACTGTTTCAGTGAAAGGAGCCGCTTCTGTGCTAGTCACCGCCAACAAAGAAAATGGTGGCGAGAAGCGTTCGCAAAACGGAGGTGCCGTTGGAAACACTTTCAAGGACTTTTGAATATCTTTGATTCAGGACGCATTTTTAATTACAGCCTGTGATATAGAAGGCACTGTTAGTTGTATTTTTATTTCTTCCTTCTGGTGACCACCTTACAAAAGACAAGCTGGAGCTACCTAATTTGTTTCGCGTAATAGTTATTAAAAGTAAAGGAGCTCTCTGCATTTCTTAACCCAACTTCCCTTCTGTGTCTTTGGCACGCACGGGGTGGGGGAGTAATAAAAATTGAACAAAAACGGTAGGGATGTTACAGGTTTAGTCATAGTGTTGCCTATCACAGCACCCCAAAACACCCCAAAAGTAGTTGGCCAGAGGGAGGCCTTCTGTTTCAGAAGGGAGGGGGGATAAGAACCAAATGAACTTTGTATAACCCACCGCTAATAAGCCAGCGTGACCTCAATTACAGTAATCAAGGGGACAGTGGAAACTGGTTCTAGCCACTATGAAAGTTGCAAATGTGCAGGGAGTAAGAACATGGCAAGCCTGTGTGAATCTCGAGCAGATAAGAAATAGACATGAGAAGTCAGGTCCTTGACATAAGAAAGGATTCCTTGAAGCTAACACTAGGGGAGGGGGTGCATTCACTATTGATACATTAGATGTGTATTCGGTGACCTAATTGCTTATGTAGAGTATAAAACGCATGTACTGGGGCACAACTTTCAAGACACTACTTTTGGGCTGTGTATCCCCTTTTGTCTCCCTTTATTCTATAGTTCACTAGAATAAAGCTTGTTTGGCTCTAAGAAGCAGGCTCCTTTTGACTCGGGATCTGGGGTCTACCCAGGCTTGCCCTAGCTGTTGACTGGCTGAGTTTGGTAACAGTAGGACACAATTGTGTTCGGTAGCAGTTGATGAAGAGGACCAATGCTAATACCCTTGACATCCAGCTAGATGTTTAATAAATCTTTATTTGCTCTACACTTTACCAGAATCTAGAATATTTGCAGTATTGTGTCTAATAGAACTTAAAATTGCTGGGAGTACAACAGTAAGATTTGGAAACTAGATAATTCAAACTCAAAATAGCACCCCTTTAACATTTTTGATGTGACATACACCAGAAAAAACAGACCATTAATTCTGACATTTAACTGAATGATGGCTTCTTGCAGGTGATTACTCAGCATTTGCTTACAGATTAGGCTTTTAACCCTAGTTCATTTATGCAATTTTACAGGGAGTCCAGACAGTGTTATTTTCCATTCATAGCTTTTCCCCAGTTTTCCACCATTTTTTCTTTCAAGTGTAAAATTCATTTTAAAAGATGTAATCGTTACATCCCCCGCCCCTTAAGATCTGAATTTGAGGTCCTTCTTCTGGATTCCTCCTTGAAGGTTAGGAGAGTGGCTACCTGGAAAATGGCATTCTCTGTGGTGGCATCCCAGTTATGGAACATGCTCCTCAGAGAAGTGTGCCTGGCACTGACACTTTATTCTTTTTGGTGCCAGGCTAAAACCTTTTTATTTTCCCAGTATTTTAAGGTTCAAATTGCTATTTCAATTGGAGTTTTACTGTATAGAAATGATGCTGTGCTTTACTTGTTTTAGTGTAAAACTATCCTGAGATTATTTGGTATAGAGGTTTTAAATAAATAATATTTATTAAAGAGAACAAGCTTAAATTCTTTAGTCAAGAAGGTAAATATGACCTACTAGTTATAACTTACCTGTTGCAATGACTCTGACAGGTAGAAAATAGCAATCAAATGATATACCATGCTCAAAAAAGAAGAGAAACATGAGAATGGGGGAAAAGGCACTCTATGTTAAAGGTATACACACGTGCACAGACATTCAAGAAAAGCTTTCCAAAAGCAATTTGCAGATATTTTAAGGAAGCATGAAATAATGGAGGGGTGTCTGATCTTGGCTCTCTTCTGCAGAAAATTCCTGACTCAGCAAGGCAGCTTTTTTTTTTTCCTTCAGAGGGTGGAGGAAGGAACAAGAGGAAGTTCATCCTTGGCTTCATTCTGACCTACAGGAAAGAGCTAGATTCATAGAATAGTAGGGTGGGAAGGAGCCAAGGAGGCCATCAGGTCCAGCCCTCTGCTGGTGCTGGACCCCAAGTCACATCTCAGATGACTGTCCAGTTCACCTTGAATGTTGCTAGTATGGGAGAGCTGACGACCTCATCTATAGGCAGACATATTTCTCTTGACAGTTTATTTATTTAGCGAGCTTCTATGCCGCCCCATTCGCCGAAGCCTCGGGGCGGCTCAGAACAATTGGGAAGGTTTTCCCTGGTGTCTACCCTGAACCTGATGTGCTGCAGTTTAAGTTTCTTGTTTGGTGTCTTGCACTCAGAGATGAGCAAGAATATCCAGCATGCTGTACAGCAAGAGAAGCTTACTGTTCTCAGAGGTATGGCAGTACTTTTTCACACCTTGTGAAATTCTAGGTCAATAATAATAACCTTTCATTACCTTTTCTGTTTTACTGATTCCTAAATGACCTGTGCATGGGATGTCATGTGCCAGACTAATCACGGGCTGTCTGTATATTTTAGGAACAACCTGTTGTTTTACAGGTTCCAAATCTTACTTGGTCCCTTTTGGTTTCCAAATCCTGTAAATTAGCTCATTTTCCCATATGAAATTGTCTTATTCAGTATCAAGCTCTTTCTGCCTGGCTTTCTCTCTTATGTTCTCTAAGGTCTGCCTTAATCTCTTCCTTAAATTCCTCTGAGTTTTTATTTATTTCACTTTATCCTTCTTGGGACATTTCAACAGTACTGTCAGGTGTTTCTGAATCTGTGCCTTTCCCTTCCTCCTGCAATGTATCAATTGTGTCTGTTGCTAAGATACCTAGGGGCCAACTTTCTGGATCTGTTATTCACCTTGCAGCAAATCTTTTTTTAAAATTTATTTACATAAACAAGTACACAAAAAAATGTGAAAGAGAACAAACTAAAATGAACAAAGTTGCCAAGAGAATTCTATACAATACAATTCTATTCTTGCCAACCTATATATTCAGCCCACCAAATCTATCTTCCTGTCTTTCAGCACTTTATGAGAGTTTAAGAAAAAAAATAATACAACAGCATATCTTCCAATCACTTCAAATCCTCTACTGCTTTCTCTTCTTTTCCAAACTACCCTCGGATCCCATTAATCATACTGAGCATAATAAAATTTCCATTTATCATTGAATTCTTCTAATGGTTTTCTGTTTACACAGTTAACTTTGCTACTCCAGTGTATTCTGCTAGTCTATTTCTCCATTCTTCAATTGTTGGGCACTCCAATTATTTCCATTTTGTGATTCTTGCTGCAGTTGACATATACTTAAATAATTCTGACATATTCTTTGAAAAGGTTTCTGACACCATCTTCAAAAGCATATTCTTGGCACTCATGAGAAACTTAATTTTAAAGTTTTTCTGCATTTCTGCATGCATCAGTTTCCTTTTTTTTCCATTATTTTACAACACCAAATATGATAGAAAGTCCCATCCAATCTGTTACATTTCCAGCATTTTCCATTGTAATTCTTATATATTTTTTCAATATCTTTTGGAGTAATGTACCACCGATAAATCTTTTAATGCCAATTTTCTCTTAATGCTTGATTAGCAGTAATTTAATATGTTTCTTCCAAAGAGCTTCCCACTAGCACAGTGATACTTCTTCTCCATGATTCTGCTTCCACATTGATATATTTCTTATATTGCTAATATGCTTTAAATAATGTTAAGCAAGAAAAGTCTCCTACCACCTATAAAGGACACTTAACCAAGGAATCCTCATGAAACAGTCAGGTAAAATATTTCAATATCTGAAATAATTAAAAAAAGAATCATTACACAAGTACTGGAGTCATTGTAGTATTATGGCTTTTGATTGGGATTCTGTAGATCCAGGTCTGAGTTCCCACTTAGCCATGGAGCTCACTCCATGACTTTGGCCAGTCACTGATTCTTAGCCCACAAAGTGGATATGTGGATAAGATGGAGAGAAAAAAGAACATTATGTAAGATACCTTGTGGTCCTTGCAGGAAAAAGGTTGGCCATATATATATATATATATATAAAATAAATACTGTATGCTAAGCTGCAATTATCTTAATATGCTCAAAATCAGAGATTTTTTTTAACTGAACAAAATAGAACATGTATTTATTTTATGTGTGGACTAGCATACAAATATGTTAGAAATGGTTTTTGGTCAGTGGTTGGAAGTTTGTGCCTGACAATCTGCTGAGCTCCAGCAGGATTTGTGTTTCCTTTTCATACATCTGAAAAAGTACAAGACAACAGTGAATGTATACATTTCCTTTCAAATGGTCATATAACATTTGATCTTATAAACTTGAATTGGACAGTTTGACTATACAATCAGGGTGTGAAAATCATAGGGTGCATAAAGATTCTGTTAAATTTATATGGGCAACTATAAGTTGAAATGACAAAATATGAATGTTTCACAACATTTACCTGTTGCCAGTCTGCTTTTGTGCTGTGCTTATATCCAAGTAAGTGGCACATGCCATGAGCAACTGTTACCTGCCCAACAGAGAAAGCATTTCAATTATCACATAATTTTAACAGGCTGATAAAGCACAATGTTAGAGAGGACTAATGTTCACAATTAACTTCACAATACAATTTTATTCACTGAACACTGCCATCATGAACAAGCTGCTGTTTAAAAATTTGACAAAATAAATGACGTTGTGATTTTTCCTTTTTCAAGAGAGATAGAACAGTACAGTAGATGAATTTAAACAGACAAATGGATCTGCATGGTTTCCATGCAGGGCCTTTATAGCTGATATGGCTGGTATTTCTGTGGAAGCCCTGGCTGAGCTGTGGAACCGGGGGTTTTTAAACATTTTTTTAAATTGTTATATTGTTATTATTTATGTATTTATGTATCCTTTGTGAGCCGCCCTGAGGCTTTGTTGCAATGGGGGCAGCATAGAAATGTTTTAAATAAATTAATTAATAAATTAATACCCAGGCAGTTGAAATGATCTTCCCTCTGTGTTACAGAGCTTGTACCACTCTGTTATATATCCTGGAGCTGACAGCAATGAAACAACATAGAAGATGGCTTAAGTACATATGGAGGAAAACCCCTTGTGGATGCAATAAAACTCTGGTGTGTGCCAACAGTATGGTATATTTAGAGGCAGTGAAACAGCAAAGGAACAACTCATTGCCACTAATCAATCTTCCTTTGGCTGCCCAGGGGTGCATTTTACAGTTGTCTGTGGTCTATTGCACACTGGCCCTGAGGATATCTTGGACAATTCTGAGACCTGCTGTAATATATTTCCTGGGCAATTTCAGGAAAAGAAATTTCTTTCATCCATTGGGACTTAGACCCCAAAGTTAATGCAATTGAATCTATTGAGATACCCAGAAAACAGCCTGGTGGTTTTACTGGATCAGTGTCAATTGGTTCAGCTCAAAAATGTTGACAAGATTGGCCAGGTTCATGCAACCATTTCTGTATTGGATCCTTGCCTTAAAGGGGTTATAAGACAGCAAGGAATGAACAAGTAGCTCAGCCAGGGAGGTTCTTAATGCTTCCTTGTGAGAGGGAGTGGTCCTGTGTTGTCTGAAAGTGGCAGTAGAAAGCCCATTTCCAAAAATAAATAAATGAAAATAAAAAAAAAAAATCTTCCTTCATCTATGCTGGGAGAGACACAAGGGGCACATGACCCTGTTGATACTCCTCAACCTCTCAGTAGCTTTCAATACCACTGACCATGGTATCCTTCTGGGGCAACTGCCTGAGTTCAGAGTGAAGGCTTAGGTTGGTTCTGCACTTACATGGAGAGCTGTCTCCAAGTAACAGAGCTAGGGGTATACTGTTCAGCTCCATGGATTCTCCAGCATGGAGTTCCTCAGCAGCCTATTCAGACTGCCGTACTATTTAACATCTACATGAAAATGCTGAGTGGGGCCATCCGGAGCTTTGGCATCCATTACCATCAGTGTGCTGGTAACACACAGCTCTATTTCTCCTTTTCATAATCACCAGGTGACACCATGGGTGTACTAAAACAGGGTCTGGCTGCAACAGTGAAACAGATGAGGGGCAACAAACTGAAGCCCAATCCAGACAAGACTGAGATGCTGTTGGTGGCTGGTTCCTCTGACCAGATGGGGGGAAATCAACCTCTTCTAGATGGGTTTGCATTTCCCTTGGGAGGAGCAAGTATGTAGCTTTGAACTTTCCTTGAACCATCTTTGTCACTTGAGGGTCAAGTGGCCTCAGTGGCTTGGAGTGCCTCCTAAAAGCTCCGGCTTGTGGCCCAGGTCCCTTATCTGGACAGGGATACCCTGTTTTCAGTAATTCATACTCTGGTAATCTCTAGACTACAGCAATGCTCTCTACCTGAGGCTGCCCTTGAAGATTGTTCAGAAACTTTATCTTGTGCAGAATGCAGCAGCCAGACTAACAACTGGGACCCACAGATGTGAACTAGTTCTGGGCCACTTGCATTGGCTGCCTTTATGCTTCTGTGCTCAGTTCACAATGCAGGTACAAATTTATAAAACCTTACATGGCTGGGGAGCAAAATACTTGATACAGAGCTTCTCCCGACCACCATTTGTCCAGACACTCCACTCCACATCTGGGCCTTCCTCTGAGGGCCAAGAGAAGCTTGGGAAGAGGAAACAGTGACAGGAAGGGCTCTCCCCACTGCAGCCTGCCTGGCACAAACCTTGTCATCATTTGGCACCAAGTTAAGACAGCCCTTTATGCCAAGTCTTTAAAAAATATACTTGATTATCTGGGGCTTAACCATGACAATCAAGATATACTTGGTTATTGCACATGTTTTTCTTTTACAGTGCCATTCTTTACTGTATGTATTTAATTAATTTGCAAATTGAATTAAAATGTTTGAGTAGATTGGGTTATTTTCATTGTATTGTTTTTATGTACTATTGTAAATTGCTTATAGGGCTTTGGCTACTGGGCGGTATAGAAATAAAAGAAATAATAAAAAGAATAGAACACAAGGTAGTACTTCTGTTCAGCAATATATGTCAATGTCACAGCCATCTAGAATTAAAACTGTTTCCAACATGCTTCAGTTATTGGAATAATACAGCCAATATATTATCAGTAATATTTCTCACACTGAGCTTTGGCTGTAAGTTGGTATAGGTTTTATTTAAATAATAAAATTTTCTAAGTCAACTCCGTAAAAATCTGAAATATGATAATTGAAACGACACATACTTACTGTAAGAATACTGTTATAATCTTCTTTATTCTCCAGACACTGTTGATAGATATATTCTACTCCTAAAAAAATATCTCCCAAACTGTATTCATCTTGAGTACAAGGCTGTGGTAGCTCTCCTGCTTTCAGATTCTGTGAAGGAAACAGGTCCCAAAGTAATAGAAAAGTTACATACTGAACCATTCTGAAAAATAATGCAATTCTGAGCAGCAATACAAGTTACAACACATACATGTGCAGGAGTAGCATATGTTAGATGCCACTAGGCAGCAAAGAAATATAGTATTGTTTTGCAAACTCTCACATGGCACTAATAAACGTAGTATTTTGACCAGGGACACCTGCAATTCAATACTTGTTCAGCAATGTTCTCTTTGTGTAGGGCCAACAACCATAAATTATCAGTCTTTGCAGCACAATGTTTTAATGTTTACTCAGAAGTATGATTTTTTTAAATCTGCAAACTAGAAATTACCTTGACAGTTAGGACAAATGTATAATAATAAATGTTCAATATATATACCTGGGCATAAGGAATATTAATACCATATTGTATGAGGTTATTTGAATAAAAATTTTAGTGATGAGTAAAGTGCCAAACCCCGTCATGGATCACTGCCTTGTTGTGGCGAATGGGCTTGTGTAGTTCAATGAAGCTATGAGCTATGCCATGCAGGTGCACCCAAGACGGACAGGTCATAGCAGAGAGCTCTGACAAAAGCTGATCCACTGGAGAAGGAAATTGCAACCCACTCCAGTATCTTTGCCATGAAAACCCCATGGACAGTACCAAAAGGCAAAAAGATATGACACTAAAGATGAGCCCCTCAGGTCGGAAGGTGTCCAATATGCTACTGGGGAAGAGCAGAGGGCTAGTACTAGTAGCGCCAGAAAGAATGAAGTGACTGGGTCAAAGCCGAAAGGACACTCAGTTGCAGATGTATCTGGTGATGAAAGGAAAGTCCGATGCTGTAAAGATCTATAATCCATAGGAACCTGGAATGTAAGATCTATGAATAAAGGCAAGCTGAACATAGTCAAACAGAGATGACAAGACTGAACATTGACATCTTCGTGAACTCAAATGGACAGGAATGGGTGAATTTAATTCAGATGACCATCAGGTATACTACTGCGGGCAAGAATCCCTCCGAAGAAATGGAGTACCCTTCATAGTCAATAAAAGAGTAGGAAAAACAGTATTAGGATACAATCTCCAAAATGACAGAATGATCTCAGTTCGAATCCAAGGCAAACCATTCAACATCACAGTAGTCCAAGTCTATGCCCCAACCACTGGTGCTGAAGAGGCTGAAGTTGACCGGTTCTATGAAGGCCTACAACACCTTCTAGAATTAACACCAAAAAATGATGTCCTTATCATCATGGGGGATTGGAATGCTAAAGTAGGAAGACAAAAGATAACTGGAATAACAGGCAAGTTTGGTTTTGGAGTACAAAATGAAGCAGGGCATAGCCTGGTAGAATTTGGCAAGAGAATACGATGGTCATAGCAAACACTCTTTTCCAACAACCCAAGAGACGACTCTACACATGGACATCACCAGATGGTCAACACAGAAATCAGATTGACCATGTGCTCTGCAGCCAAAGATGGAGAAGCTCTATACAGTCAGTAAAAACTAGACCAGGAGCTGACTGTGGCTCCGATCATGAGCTTCTTGTTGCAAAATTTAGGCTTAAGTTGAAGAAAGTAGGGAAAAGCACTAGGCCACTCAGGTATGGCCTAAACATATTCCTGATGATATACAGTAGAGGTGACAAATAGATTTAAGGAATTAGATCTGATAGACAGAGTGCCTGAAGAACTATGGACGGAGGTTCGCAACATTGTACAAGAGGCAGCAACTAAAACCATCCCAAAGAAAAAGAAATGCAAGAAAGCAAAATGGCTGTCTGAGGAAGCTTTACAAATAGCTGAGGAAAGAAGGGAAGCGAAAGGCAAGGGAGAAAGGGGAAGACACACCCAATTGAATGCAGAATTCCAGAGAATAGGTAGCAGAGATAAGAATGTCTTCTTAAATGAACAGTGCAAAGAAATAGAAGAAAACAATAGAATAGGGAGGACCAGAGAGCTCTTCAAGAAAACTGGAGATATGAAGGGAACGTTTCATACAAAGATGGGCATGATAAAGGACCAAAATGGCAGGGACCTAACAGAGGCAGAAGAGATCAAGAAAAGGTGGCAAGATTACACAGAAGAACTATACAAGAAAGAGCTTAACGTTCCTGATAACCACGATGGGGTGGTCACTGACCTCGAGCCAGACATCCTGGAATGTGAAGTCAAGTGGGCCTTAGGAAGTCTGAGCAACAACAAAGCTAGTGGAGGTGACAGCATTCCAGCTGAGCTATTCAAAATCCTAAAAGACGATGCAGTAAAAGTGCTACACTCAATATGCCAGCAAATTTGGAAAACTCAACCGTGGCCACAGCATTGGAAAAGGTCAGTTTACATTCCAAACCCAAAGAAGGGCAATGCCAAAGAATGTTCAAACTACCACACCATTGCACTCATTTCACATGCTAGCAAAGTTATGCTCAAAATCCTACAAGCTAGGCTCCAGCAGTATGTGAACCAAGAACTACCAGAAGTACAGGCAGGATTTCGAAGAGGGAAAGGAACTAGAGATCAAATTGCCAACATATGCTGGATCATGGAGAAAGCTAGGGAGTTCCAGAAAAACATCTACTTCTGCTTCATTGACTACGCTAAAGCCTTTGTGTGGATCACAACAAATTGTGGCAAGTTCTTAAAGAGATGGGAGTACCAGACCATCTTATTTGTCTCTTAAGAAACCTATATGCGGATCAACAAGCAACAGTGAGACCTGGACACGGAACCACTGATTGGTTCAAAATTGAGAAAGGAGCTTGGAAAGGCTGTATACTGTCGCCCTGCCTATTTAACTTATATGCAGAGCACATCATGAGAAAGGCGGGGCTAGATGAATCACCAGTTGGAATTAAGATTGCTGGGAGAAATACCAACAACCTCTAATATGCAGATGATACCACTATCATGGCAGAAAGTGAAGAGGAACTAAAGAGCCTCTTGATGCGGGTGAAGGAGGAGAGTGCAAAAGTTGGCCTGAAACTCATCATTAAGAAAACTAAGATCATGGCATCCAGTCCTCTCACTTCCTGGCAAATAGATGGGGAAGAAATGGAGGTAGTGACAGATTTTATTTTCCTGGGCTCCAAGATCACCGCAGACGGGGACTGCAGCCAAGAAATTAAAAGACGCTTGCTCCTGGGGAGGAAAGCTAAGGCAAATCTAGACAGCATACTAAAAAGCAGGGACATCACCCTGCCAACAAAAGTGCGTATAGCCAAGGCTATGGTTTTTCCAGTTGCAGTGTATGGCTGTGAAAGCTGGACCATAAGGAAGGCTGAGCGCCAAAGGATTGAGGCCTTTGAGTTGTGGTGCTGGAGGAGACTCCTGCGAGCCCCTTGGACTGCAAGGCGATCAAACCAGTCAGTCCTTGAGGAGATCAACCCGGACTGCTCTTTAGAAGACCAGATCTTGAAGATGAAACTCAAATACTTAGGCCACCTAATCAGAAGGAAGGACTCCCTGGAGAAGAGCCTAAAGCTGGGCACAACAGATGGCAAAAGAAGAAGGGGACGGCAGAGAATGAGGTGGCTAGATGGAGTCACTGAAGCAGTTGGTGTGAGCTTAAGTGGACTCCGGGGGATGGTGGAGGACAGGAAGGCCTGGAGGAATGTTGTCCATGGGGTTGCAATGGGTCGGACACGACTTTGCGACTAACAACAACAACTAAGTGCCAAATGTTTTACTACAAGAATGCTTACATATAATAGTAGTAAAAAATAAAACTATTTAACCTGTTGACAATAGGAACTGTCTCCTTTATTCTCGCAGATTAATGCCACCTGGGGAAAAAGTACACTTTTGCCTTCACAGCATGTTCAAAATTTTAAAAATATCAATTTAGCTAATACAGGATCAGGTTACTTGTCTTCAGGTGTCACAGTTGTTGCCTAAAATCCCCCAAACTGAAGATTTTTATGGAAAGCCCTTATGTCTTTCAAGTCTTAACAACTATGCCCCATTCATCAAAACTCCTCTGTTGTTCCAATGTACCAATATTAATAACTAATTTGTCATGTGCACCTTCCTTGTACTCCTGAGATGAATATTTTAAGACTGTAGTGAGCTAGTGAAGAAATGTAAATAAGTAAATATTTACCTCATGGAACGGAAAAGATAACACATCAGTGAAGCTATTCTTCCCTCTGTAAGTCCAATTGAGGTGCCGTATGTACTTATTACTAACACAGATAACACCAAGGTCAAAGTTCTGCACACCCAAAATGCAACGCAGTTGTTCTATCCTCTCACGAAGTGGCACTCTTCTAACAGGAATGGCTTTCTGCAGGTTACGTATGATCAGGCTCATCTCATTCAAATATGAAGACAATATAGAATTCTGCAAAATAGTGCATTTTTTGGAAAGAGTTTTATTAGATATCAGTGATAATACCAGAAGCTGGAACACAGTAGAGATTAAACTTACTTCAGTATTTAAAATTATCTTACTCTACTTAACAGCAAAAGACTTTAACATATCTTCCCGCTCTCATCCCACATTCCCTGGGGTCAAGACCCTGAGACAGAAGGTGTGCGGCCTGGGAGTGATAGTCGGTTGGATAATGATATGGAAAATGATACCTAGAGAGTTCAGGAAAAGCAGACTGTGCTTTTCTAAATTCTTTAATTTAACATGCCACAAGACAGAGTTGCATTCAGTGAAATGATGCTGGACAGCAAAGCTCTCAACAAGCCAAGCAGAAAATGTCTTCCCTTTAAGACATCTTCCTCTGACATATGCTCTTTCATTTGGATATCCAGAGAGACCAAAACCCCCTTTAGAGATCTCCATATTTTAACTGTCTCTATATACCAGGTATAGTCTACATTTTGGTTTACTTATCCTAGAGAAATTGTTACATTTAATTAGTTTAGAGATAGGCCACTTGATGCCCACTCATCAGCCCAAGCCAATATGGACAATGGTTGGGGTGATAGGTAGTGCAGGCTAAAACTTCTAAAGGGCATTCAGTTGCCTATTCCAGAATTAGTTTAGATTTGGTTTTACCTTTTATGAATGACAAATTGCAATGTGAAACTGCTGAACAACTCATCAAAAGAGTCAACTTATTTGTGTTTTTTGAAATCACACTGTATACATTAATCAGTTCACCAATGCAGCAATTTCCAGAGGAGCAGCCATGTTAGAATGCAATTGTACCGGAACACTTGTAAGCCCCCAAACTCAGTTTTATAGGCATCCAATGATGACAGGAAAAGCAGTAGAAGTTATCTTTGTCCCATCCCCCGTCCTCTACCATTTTACACATTACTGCTACATTTTATTTTTATTAATTTACAATATTTGTATACAACGTGTTACATACAAGCAAATTACAGAAGGGAGAATGGTACTACATTATTAAAAGAAATGAATAAAAACACTAAATTAAAACAAGATAACATTAAAACCACGGTTTGTGAGCAAGCAGGCCTCATGGAACAAGATTGTTTTTAATAGGCACTAGAAACAGTGGAGTACTGGGAATTCCATAATTCTGGAGGCAGGGAATTCCATAGAAATGGGCTGTCATACTGAAGATTAATTTTGACCTGTGACAACATGTTGTCAGGAAAACGTAGCCTTCTTAAAATATCTTTAAGGGAGACAGTAAAATTCTTGACATTGATTTTAACTCTGTGGAGGACAAACTACCAAACACACATGAGTACAGCATATAAAAGTAGAGTAGAAACTAAACACACAATGGGTCAATGTATGAGTGAGGCTGGTATTAAAACAGTGCTGTTACAACCATGATCCTCTTTTCACCTAGGACACACTAGAAGGCAAATTTTATTTTAGCTTTGTTATGCACTGCCTCAGTGGCTTTTTGGAAAACAAATGCCACAGAAATCCTACTTCTACTACAAATAACATCAACAACTAGCAGTTACCTGTCACTGTACAGTTCCTGTCCATGACTCACTTTTCCATATGGGTCATCACTCACCTTATGCTAAATCTGGCTATACATAACACTTACCGAACACAACATACACACTAAAAATAGTCATGTGATACTTTAAAGACTAACACGTATTCTGCTGAATCTCTTAAAATGCTGTAGCCGGTTAAAAGAACCACCGCTCTGACCACAACAATCTTCGATAGCTGAAAAAGAACGATTACTCGCAATTATCTGTATTGTCGCTCTGTTTATAAATCAGCTCAAAAGGACGTGATCTCACACAGTTCTGATCAGCACTTCCGGTATAAAATCGCACGCGATTGTGCACCCTTTGTAAGAGACTATGCGAAAATTCAGTCTAATACATATGAAAATATGAGGGTCACAATGCCTATTGCGACCAGCAATTTCTTTCTTTTTTTGCCGGCCCTGGGGTTGTGGGCAGCCCATAGAAAACAATGGAGATTGAAAGAAAGAAAACATTGAAAGAAAACAAAGAGCTGATTTCCTCTTTTTAAAACTCGGGTCTTATTTCGTGTAAAAAGAGCTATTTTAATTATTGTCCTGCATGCTAATGCAGGCCATTATTGCAAGTTGTGGGGTACAAGTCTGAGTCTTACAACGCCCTGCGATATAATCTCCCGTTAATATTACAGCTAAAAGACAAATACGTGTTCTAGTCATAACTCCTTGCATACAAAACGCCATCTCAGACTGCAACAAAAATAAGTATTTAAATCGCTCTTTAGAACCCCTGCCAGTCCAAACACAGTATCCAATTGCAATGCAGAAGCGAGCTGTTACAATTGACTTGCATGCAAAAACACAGATGTATTCAAATATTTAAAAATGAAAAACAAATCCAACATCCTCCTCACATTTTCAACATGAAAAAGGGCCCAATTTAGAAAGAATATACATTTCTACCTATTAATTTACGGGCTGACCCGCCACCGTTTTTCCCGCTAGAACAGCCTTTTTAGCCAAGTAGCCTTCAGAGGGACTTGCACCGCAACTCCCAGAATTCCTATCCAGCAGGACCCAGGTTGGAAAAGGCTACACTAGAATGCTAGAATTCTTCCATCGTTTTCTTGGGGACAGCTCTCACTCTGTTTCTAGGAAGATGAAAATCATGTGCAGAGTTAACCTGAATCAAGCCCGGTTTTTGAATTACCGTATCGAAAAGCCGCTATACTCAGCGGATTCATGCGAAGCACCTCCCTGTCCACTTCGACCCCACCTAGCGAAACTAATACGGTATAACGTCACTTCCTCCTGGTCGCTTGGTTTGACGGGGAAGATCAAGAACGCAGCAAAATATCCTGTTCCGTGGGCAACTCTGACATTTCCTCCGTGTTTATGCCGAGAGAGACATTCTGAGACTTAAGGTAGGCTTAAGGGTGAGGGAAATGCACTCTGCATATTATCAGAGGTACTGTCTTTCTACCTGTTCCTAGGTGATATTCTAAGTTCGAGCCCTGCCCATGCAAGTCAGTTCTGGTGCGAGTTCTGGCGGTGGAACCTTGCATTAGGGCCCATGTGGGGAAAAATACTCTGCTAAATTGACTTTACTGGCTAAAGGTGCAGTCCCATGTCTGTGACTAGAAAGATGAAGTCCTCCTTCAATTGCTAGGTGTCCTTTTTTCTGTCTAACCGTGTGTAGGCTTGTGCCCTAAATGTGGGTTTGAATTGAGTAGGGACAGAAAAAGTATTCGGTTTGCTCACAAGTCACTTACCTGCCTTTGTTCTCAAGTCTTAAATCTGTTGTTAATACCTCAATTTAAAGGGGAACTCCCACATGTATTTAATCCATGCCTCATAAGAGCTTCTGTATAGAACATTCATTGTCTGCATCTTTTGATAGTCTCATTTGCCAAATCCAGGAGGACTTCCATCTTAACTTGCTTCGTACTCCAAATCTTGTATGCTGCCCAGTGCGTGGTGGATTGCTAGTTTCATTGTATACCAGGCAAACCTTACAAGAATATACCACTATCAACCTTCATGTGCTTGTTTAGAACCCACCCTGTGAATTGTTTCCAAATCTTCTAATGTAATTTTTTGATGTGGACAAAAGGCTTGAATACATTTCATCACTTTCTCATTTAATTCTCTCTACTTTCTTCTTTCTTAAAGCCTCTCAGATGAATGTTAAGACAGTGCTCACATTTTCTTGCTCCTCTAACTTATCTCTCCATTTATCTCTTTCTGCATATCATCAGCTCTCGCCTCTTGAAGTTAAAATTTTCATTTGCTGTTTTTTCTATTTCTGTAATACTTTGCTCATTTCAGCCAATGTCTCTTTGATTGGAACTACAGCTGCTTTCAAATCCATTTGCAAGTCTTTCCTTAATCATTTTACACCATATCATTTCCACTCCTCTGAAGTCTGATAACTCACTTTGTTCTTCTGCTTCCAAAAAAGCATTCAGACCTTGGTTTTGCTCTGGCCTCTTTCCTCTCATCATTCTGTAAGTTTATCCAAACATTATTTGTTTTTTATGTTGGTTTGATTCACATTTAAATGTTAACTATAGGAGGTAAGGAACAGTGGAGCCCAATTATGCTACCATCTCTTACAGCAGCAAGCCATGCCCCACTGCTTTCAAATATATCTGACTATAGGTACTTACCAGAGCTCAACTGCATCCACCGGGTCCTAGTAATTAGGCATTTCTTCCATCTGTGCTGTAGCCATCTCCTCTGTTGTTGTATTGCTCTAGTGTAGAGGGTTGACAAAACTAATTATGTCAACTGCTTGAATTCCAGGAATCTGACAGCCACCAACCTTATTAGCTGCAAAATTCCCAGGGCATTCTAGAAAATATCTGGATCCGTTATCCTCCAGGGTGGATACACTCAGAATATACACGCAAAATATATGTAATACCTCAGATTGTTTTATTTCTGGCAAGTATTTCCAGAAGCTTAATGTTCTCTTTTGTAAATTTTTAATGAGGTTGCATTGTACCATAAATATCATTGAAAATAATGCAACTTTGATCAAAGTCTACCCATGGGTCCATTTGTTGACTTGTGCTAGATTGGTCTTTTTCACTTAGATTTGATTCCTCTGTCAAGGAATGGAGTTTTGTAATCTTCATTTTTTGACCCTCCTCCCAAGTGGACTAGATCATATCAAAGTAGATAATATTTCCCCTCCCTGGCATCTGGAGAGCTGAGGTGTATATTTTTGCATCAACTGCAGTTAGACATATTTTTCACATGCAAAATTAATGTTATGGGAATATTCATTTTTTAAAAAAATGGCAAGAAAATGTTTCATGGATTTGTGCGGACAGGCTGATCCACCTATTAGTCAAAACAATATGTTTTCTGTCATTTTCTGCTTTGTATGCTAAATATACAAAAGCCATGCTGGATCAGACCAAAGGTTCATCTAGTCGGTATACATGGTGGCAAACCAAATGAGGACAAACCCCTCCTGCTGAAGCCTGCCAAGCTCCTCATCAGCTGGTGTATGCAGACATGCCACCTCTGGAGGAGGAAGCAGCACATAGCCAGTAGTCACAGATAGTCTCTACTTGCATGAACCTGTCTAAACCCATTTTAAACACCTTCTGCATTTGCGGCTATCACTACTTTTTTCTTTTCTTTTTTAATTTTATTGACAATCCTAAAAATCACAAACTTGAACTGCTTACCTTATAATTCAATCCAATATTCATTTTATTATACATGCAATAACTTCCAAAACTTAAGCTGATGAGCATTCCAGCCAATTTTCCACTTCTGTTCCAGGCAAATAGTGAATGCCATATTTTCATAAAATTATCTTGTTTTATTTCTGCTCTATATAGTGTAATCCTATTAGTCAATTTTTCCATTAATGCAACCATCCATATTTTGTTCAGAAACCTTTGTAAGGAGGGGTCTTGAGCATATTTCAGCTTCGGGCAATTTCATTCCAAACTGCTCCTATAAGTATTGCCACTAACTCTTTATTAGATAGATTTTCATTTCCATCCATAAATAATGAAAAAAGCAATAGAACTTAATTTGAAATTATTTTTTTCTTTTGTTCTATTTTCTAACCAATTAATTACTTCATGCCAGAATTCTCTTACCTTTGGACAAATTATACATGTGTGCTCTAATGATGCTTTATACCCACAATTTCTCCGACACATTTCTGGTATCATTCTATTAATTCTATTTCATAGGGCATAAGTGCCATTTGTGTACTGCTTTTAACACCAGTTCCTTAGATTTGGATGATTAACTGTCTTAATTCCCATATTACTTGTTTACTTTGTGACTTTGTTGTCACCCCAGCAAGACACCATGCTCAACATTCCTCCAGGTTCTCCTGTCCTCCACCATCCCTTGGAGTTCACCCAAGCTCACACCCACTGCCCCAGCGACTCTATCTAGCCACCTCATCCTCTGCTGTCCCTTTCTTCTTTTGCCATCAGTCGTTCCCAGCATCAGGGTCCCATAGGGCGGCATAGAAATGTTATAATAATAATAATAATAATAATAATAATAATAATATTACTATCATATTCTTTATCAGTAATGCTTTTATAAATATATGAAATTAATGCTTTTTTCTTTTTCTTATCCTTCTCTATGCAGTGACTTTTTAACTCTGTTAATGGTCTATTTCATAGAAGCATAGCCTAGTAGATTTGGAAGGGGCCATGAAGGCCATCAAGTCCAACCCCCTGCTGTTGCAGGACACCATGTTACACCATCCCACTCATATGGTTATCCGGTTTCTTTTAGAATGTCTCTAGTGTGGGAGAGCCCACCACCTCTCTAGGCAGCTGGTTCCACGGCTTTTCCTGATGTCTAGCCTGAATCTGGGTTGTCGCAACTTGAACTGATTATTCTGTGTGATACACTCTGGCATCAGAAAGAAGAGATCTTGACCTTCCTCTTTGTGAGAGCCTTTGAGGTACTTATAGAGGGATATCATGTCCCCCCCCCCCCCGCCTTCTCTTCTCAAGGCTGAACATGCCCAGTTCTCTCAGTCTCACTCCATAGGGCAGTGTTTCCAAACCCTGGATTATTTTGCAATAATGTAATGTATGGCTGTGAGAGTTGGACCATAAGGAAGGCTGAGTGCCAAAGAACTGAGGCCTTTGAATTGTGGTGCTGGAGAAAACTCCTAAGAGTCCCTTGGACTGCTAGGAAATTGAACCAGTCAGTCTTAGAGGAGATCAACCCTGACTGTTCTTTAGAAGGCCAGATACTGAAGATGAAACTCAAATATTTTGGCCACCTAATGAGAAGGAAGGACTCACCGAAGAAGACCCTAATGCTGGGAACAATTGACAGCAAAAGAAGAAGGGGACGGCAGGGAATGAGGTGGCTAGATGGAGCCCCTGAAGCAGTTGGTGTGAGCTTAAGTGGACTCCGGGGGATGGTGGAGGACAGGAAGGCCTGGAGGAATGTTGTCCATAGGGTCGCGATGGGTCGGATGCGACTTTGTGACTAACAACAACAACATTCCTGATGCGACTTGTGCTATTCCTTGCTATTTGTTTATATTCTTCTTTCGTGGCCTGGCCCTTCTTCCATTTCCTGTACATGTTCTTTTTTTCTTTCAGGCTGTCACTCAACTTTTTGTGGACCCACGTGGGCTTCCACTGCTCTCTTCTACAATTTTTTCTTGATGGAATTGTTCATAGTTTTGCTTGGAGAATCTTCTTTTTCAAGATTTCCCATCCCCCTTGGACACCTTTCCTCTAAAGGGTGTATTGCCATGGCACTTCGTTTATCATTTTTTGGAGTTCATTAAAGTTGGCTTTCTTGATGTCTAGGGTATCTCCAGTTAACCTTCATAATTGAGAATTTGAGTATCACACGGTCACTTTCCCTCAGAGTTCCCATGGTTGTTCTTTTGTCCACCAGGCCATCTCTGTTAGTATTAAATCGAGGATAGCTGATCCTCTCGTACCTTCCCCTACTTTCTGCTGGAAAAAGTTGTCAGCAACACATGTCAGGAATCTCTTGGAGGGGCCATGCTTGGCAGAATTTGTCTCCCAGCATATATCAGGGAAACTGAAGCCCCCCATGATGACTACATCATTTTTTTTGGAAATGCTGGCAAGTTGCTTTTTGAAGGTTGAATCCTTGTCCTCTTTTTCCCTGTGTGGATGGTAATACGAGGTATATGCCAATAGCTCTGTTTTTCTTATTTTTTGCTCCCTTTAAATTTAGCCAGATGCTTTCAGTGGGGCTACTAAGTTCTTGTTCTTGAATTTCTGTGCAGAAATATGTGTCTCTCACAGATAGTGCAACTCCACCTCCCTGTCTGTCCTCTCTGTTTTTCTTGAACAGGTTGTATCCATCAATTGTAGAGTTCCAGTCATGTGAGTCATCCCACCAAGTTTCTGTTATTCCTATAAGATCATAATTACCCTCGTGTACTATGAGCACAAGTTCATGTTGCTTGTTCCCCATACTCTGGGCGTTGGTGTAGGGACATCGAAGTTCATTCTTGATGTGCCCTGGCTTTCTTCCTACGTTTTTTGGGAGACTGCTTTAGGTTTATTCTCTGTTGAAATATATAAGTCTTGCCAGGTGATGGTATGCCATGCTGCACATCTCCCTCACCTATAGGTTTTAGTTTAAAGCTCTCCTGATGAAGTTTTTCATGTAATGGCCAAACATTTGCTTCCCGTTCTTTGTGAGGTGCAGCCCATCATTTGCCAGTAGTCCATCTTCTAGGAAGCTTAGCTGTGGTCCCAGAATCCAAATGTCTCTTTACAGCACCACCATCATAGCCAGTAATTCACTTAAAGGATTTTACTTTCTCTAACAGTTCCTCTTCACGAACTGGTAGGATTGAGGAGAATACTAGGAGCTCCTCCCTAGAGCTTTGATGTCTGATGTTACTTCAACAACACTTCTCATGGCAGTGTTGTTAGTTCCCACATGGAAGAGAAGGAAGGGGTATTTGTCAGTGGGACGTACAAGTTGTGTGAACTTGCTGGTTATATCTTTAACCTTGGTGCCAGGGAGACAGCATACTTGGCTATTCATTGCGTCATCACGACATACATATTTTTCCATTCCACGCAAGAGGGAACCTCCCACAACTAGCACTCTTCTCAATTGTTGCAAATTTTGCTATCCTTTCCCTTGTTTGAGTGGCCTTTTGTCTCTTTTTCAGGGTTATCCAGTGTGTTATGTAGTACTTTCACAGTGGGTTTCTCACATGTCCCTTCCTCAAATAACTCGAAGAGGTTCAAGAGTTCCACTGCTTGCACTGGTGCAGAGTATTTTCTAGGTCTTCTGTGTTTGTCACCCTGTTCCAGTGAGTTTCTTCATTTTCCCTTCTCTCGGGGTTCTCTTCTGCTAGCTTGGTTTGCTGTTGCTCTGCTTCCTTCTGGACTACACTTACCTGTTCTAGCTCCTCTGCTCTGTCCAGAAACTCTTCATTTTCTTTTATTCTCCGGAGGGTGGACACTTGCTGCTCCAGTGCTCTCACCTTTTCCTGCCATAGGGGTACGAGTGTGCAGCAGCTGCAGTTGTAGCAGGCCACCACTATGGAGTCTTCCTGGTACATTGCTCATGCCACCGTGTGCAGCGGGGGAATTAAGGTCAAATAAGAAAGAGAAGCAAAATAGGGGAAAAATGTTAGGGACCTCCCCTGCTGGATTCCTGTTTGCTCTCCCTAGTCACTTGCTCCCTGGGAGCTTGGCTGTCTATATCCCAGAGGCCCTAGACCAGCTGGGGCAGATGTGCTGTGCTTGGAGTCAGGAACCAGAATGAATCCCCCACCCACTCAGCTGCTGCTGGCTGATCAGGCCCCTCCCCTTCAGTTAATCAGCAGTCAGCTGATGCAGAACATCCCTTCAACTGTCTCTCAGAAAACAATACACTTCAAGCGGGGCTAGTGCAGGTCTGCCTCTTCTTTGCCTTGCTGGTTGTTTTTGTTTGTTGACTTTTGTGGCACGATAAAAATAGATCATACCGCCACAGTGTTGAGCATCTTGTGTGCATGAAGTGGTAAAAATGTAAGTTAAATCCATTTCAGTTCAGGTTGAAACACAACAAAACATTGAAAAGTCAAAGAGGAAAGACTCCTTCTTCAAGACACTAAATTTATTGGAGTATCTACATTAAATGCATTTGTGATATTTATTTAATATGCTACACTACATTTGTAGTGTATATGGTAATTGGATTACTGGAGAAGGTGCAAAATGTTTTATGTTTTTCTGTAAAAAATCTTAAATACTATTTTATTCTAATGTTCACTGCATATCTTTTTATTTCAGGAACTGGAACAATGGACTAAGAGTTGAAAAGTTGCAGATTCTATGTGTGGAAGGTATTGGGTTAATGTTTAATTGTACAGATGGATCCAAATGTGCCTTTCAGTGGACAGCAACCTGACGTTTTCCAGGCATCATCTGGTGCTTCAGCTGGGATCTTTCCAGTACAGCCACCGTTCCAGTGTGGTCAGCTCTCTCTCTTTGGGCAGAATAGTGGAGGACAGTTAAAGAATTCAGGGTTTACACACCTGCCAGTAACCTCAGCACTGTGTTTTTCTGCAGGGCAAAGTCTGATATTTGGGCATGGACCGGGATTTACACAGTCGTATTCTCTTGGACAGACTACATCCTTTGTGACTTCTGCACCAACCAGCTCTTCTGTTCCCAGCAATAAGGCTTTCTGTTTTAAGCCACCTACAAATCTTGGGACTTCTCAGAATACTTCTAGCTTTGTAGATGTAACTGGAGAAGCTTCAAGCTTTGTGAGACCAGACTTCAGCTTCAAAACTCCTGAGAGTGCAATGTTCAAGCCTATCTTTGGCAGTAGTTCAGAACAAGAGAAAACAAATCCACCAATCCCAGCTCCATTCGCGTTTTCTTTCCCAGGAAGTAGTGGGCCTGGAAGACTAGCCCCCTTTGGACTTTCTCAAGAGAACAGTAGCTCTGTTAGTCCAAGCTTCAGCTTTTCAAAACCAATAAGCAGTAGTACTTTCACTTCTTCATTTAGTCCTCCTTTACTGAGCAAGACCACAGAGGATGATACAAAAAGATCTATGGTTCTTTTTGGGAGTTCTAGTAGTAGCTTTACCTCTCTTTCAAACTCATCTTCTGGATCTGTACCTTTGGGTGACACTTTCCAGATTAATAAAACAAGCAAACTAGAAAATGAAGAATTGCAAACTCCAAGTGCACCACTTGTTAACTTTGGAAAGGGAACAAAGAGAAAAGAAGAACAAGAGCATTCTTCAAGACAACATGATTATGATGCTGTTGATGAGCCAGAGCTGTCAAGGAGTGAACATTCTTCTAATAAGCGACCTGTCAGGCTGAATCGGCCGCCCACACGAGGCCTGTTTGGCAGAACATTGCTGGATGTGCTGAAAAGCAATAAGAAAGAGTCCAAAATGGAAAGAGTTTCTTTGGAATCTGGAGAAATTGAGCAGACGATTGTGGCAGGAGGAAGCCACTCTGGTTATGCAATGTCTAAGCCAGGAGCAGCATTGAGAAATGATGAGAGTAAGGCAAAATTGAAGGAAGGTAGGTATCAAAACTTGGCAGGAATTTACCTATTGGAAGATGGAAAAGATGCAGCTAGTTTAACTGAAACTTTTGGTACAAGTTATAGATATTTAATTTCACATCTAAAACATAAATGTATTTGGCATTAAATATGAATGCTCTTTTAGTCTCTATATTTTGAAATTTTTCTTTCAGATGCTGCCATTTCAAACCCTTTGCATCGAAATCGGAACAGTGGGCACACAGAGAGCCTTGGAAATTTGCCGTCAAGTGAACTAACAGCTTTCCAGTGCAAAAATATTCCTGACTTTCTAAATGACAGAAGTGTTCTTGAAAAACATTTTAAGAAGTCTGTTAAAATTCAACGTATCCGTACCAACCGCAACAAAAAGCTGGCTATTATACACTGTTTTGATCATGTGAGTTCTTATATATTAATGGAAAATCAAAAATATAAACATTTACATGTGTGGGCTACTTACAGGAGTGTTCTATCTGAGGTTTATTTGAGATTCCCACCAGTTATCCCTACTGCTAGAAATGCATTGATGTTTCTTTTAATATGTAAAATGTCAGCAACTATGAAATGGGTTGGGTTTTATCTAACAATAAGCACTCTAGTTCAGTGGTTTTCAACCTTTTTACAGCTGGAGACCAGCAAAAATAGGATTTTTTTTTCCAGGACTGCTGAGGCAGAAATAAAAAGCATTATATACATAATATAGTATTTTTTGTATTAGTTTTTAAATATAATACAAAAATGATAATTCTCTAAAATAACCAGAAACCGAGCAGTGAAAATGCTAATAAATGAATAAAACATTGACATTAAAAGTTATTAAATACAAGTGAATGTTTTTAGAGAGCAGTGTTTAATTCAAATAAGGCTAATGTGAAATCTGCAGTTGCTTCTTTTCAAGAATACTTGGTAGTCATGGCTGCAGTGTTGTTTCCAGGAAGACTGGGCTGAGTGTGAATTGCTGGCCTTACATGCAGCTCTGAGAATACCGCCACTGCTGCCACCCGCTCAGCATGCCATGCAAGTGGCCCCAAGCTGTCTCGTTTTGGTCTTGCACTGCTTGACTAGGTGAGCAGCGCAACCGTCTTTAGCCGGAAGAGTGGGCTGAGCTGGACTTGCTGCTCATATATGCTGCCCCTCTGCAGCTCTTCCCCAGGGCTTTTTCGCAAACTGGTAGGAAACCTCCTGCGGACTGGTGGTTGAAAACCACTGCTCTAGTTTATTCTTAGGCAGAAGTACTACTGAAATCATGTGAACATCATTATCTTTGACTTTGGACTTAAGGAAACATAGAAACTGAGCAAGTCAGAAGGGGCCTTCTGGACCCTCTTTGACCCCCGGCTCCAGCCGGCTTCGCTCATGACATGCCTACCCTATGCTTGTAGGTTACTGAAATGTTCCTAAAAATTAGTAGCATGGAATATGTAACTGTGCACACTTAACCATACTGATTTACAATTGCAGCTTCTTTGTAGAAAAATCCTGGAGAAAGTAAACAGCTCTGCAACAGATTGAGGCAGGAAGGAGGTGGCAAAACTGTATTTGCATGGTGACACTATTTTTCCCAGGGTAGTGAAATCATTTGAATTGCTTATTTCAGTGTTGTTGGGTATTGCTCTGTACTGCTAATCTCAACCAATTGTCTATTTCAGGTATGGAGTCAGGGTAGATCGCCAGATATTTTGGATCTCAGCTCTAGGAAACTGTTGCCAGCATGGCCAGTGGTTAGGCATGTTGTAAGATGAACTCCAAAACATCTAGAGATATGTTTCTTTTGGCATGAAGTTCTGCCATTTGTTGTTTAATTCTTTAGGCTTTTGTTATCTTAGGATGCAGATTCACTGTGTGCTGTTCTTATTTATTATTTATTTTATACTATCCAATAGTTGAAGCAACCTGTCTGTGCTGCAATTTACTGCCAAAGATTCTTAACTGTAACTTTTTTCTTGTCATTCAAGTAATTTGAATGTTGAATTGAGCCTTACGCTGTATTATAGTGGGGGACTTCTAGAATGAGGAAGCAGGTATAAATTTTATGTCTTTCTGCTTTTTGGAGGAGAGGAAAGACATTTTGACTGGTTGGTGGCCATGCCAATAAAAATTCAGGATCCCTGGTAGGTTATCATTTCTTAAGTCTACATGGTTCAGTCAAGAAGGCTCGGTACAAACAATGCTTCTCCATCTCACAAGTAACACTCAGATCCCTGACTCTGTTAAAAGCACTTTTAAACAAAAATGCAAATAATGTAATGGGCAAGTGGCTCCAAAATGTCTTCCTAGCTTGAAAATATTCACATTCTGGAATAGGGACAGAGTATACAAGAGTTATTCTCTTCAGTGCTGTTGATTTGTAAAATTCCCCACAGCTCAAACTGCAGGTAAAGCAGTTTTGTATTGCAGCTTTGGCAAATACTTGCTGGAGATTGGAGCAATAGAATAAGTTTCATTGCCAAATTTGCAGTTTCTTTCATGGAACTCAAAGAAGTTGTCTAGTTAAAAAAACACATAAAATAAAAATACACAACATGAAACTAAAATCTAAAACAGAATAAAATCTACTTCCAGGTGTAGACCCCCTCTTGGAACTTTAATGTGGTGAGGGGGTTTTAGCGTATCACACAATTTCTGCCAAACGTGGCCCCTCCAAGACATACCTGGCATGCATTGTCAACGGCTTCCTCCAGCGGAAAGTAGAGGAAGGAACAAAAGGATCAGCTAACGTCAATTCTAACTAGCAGGGATGACCTGGTGGGCAGAATAGCAGACATTGTGGGGAAAGCAACCATGAGATACTTGAATTCTCAATTATGAAGGAAATAAAAGTTAACTGAAGCTAAAAACATACCCTGGACTTCAAGAAAGCCAACTTTAATGAACTCAAAAAAATGATATGCAAAGTGCCATGACAACTCACTCTTAAGGGAAAAGGAATCCAAGAGGAGTGGGAAACCTTGAAAAAAGAAGATTCTCCAAGCACAACTATAAACAATTCCAACAAGGAAGAAGTGTGGAAGGCAACAGAAAACGTTCATGTGCTCCACAAACAGTTAAGTGACAACCTGAAAGGAAAAAAAGAATATGCAGGAAATGGAAGCAGTAAGGCAACAAAAGAAGAGCATAAACAAATAGGAGTTGAAGGGATACCATCAGGAAAGCAAAAGCAGGAAATGAACTGAGAATAGCAAGGGATGCTAAGAACAAGAAAGCCTTCTTCAGATACATTCAAAACAAAAGACATGAAAGAGAAGGGTGTCCAGAGACATAAAGTTAAGTGGCAGAGTGATAACAGACAACGAGAAAAAGGCAGAGATGCTCAATTCCTACTTCTCCTCAGTTTTCTCCCACAGGTAAATGTGGGAGAGGAAGTACAGGCTGGAAGTGAGAGATGGCAACCCAAGATTGACAGACACATGGTCAAGGAATACCTAGGTGGAATCAACACTTTCATATCTCCAGGACCCGATGAACTCCATCCCAGAGTCATTAAAGGGCTAGCAGAGGAACTCTCAAAACCACTGGCTATTATCTTTGCTAAATCTTGGAAATTAGATGACTGGAGAAGGGCTAATGTTGTCCCTATCTTCAAAAAGGGGGAAAAGATGAACTTGGGAACTATAGACCACTTAGTCTGACATCAATCCCTGGAAAAATTCTGGAGCAAATTATTTAAAAATCCATCTGCAAGCATCTTGAAGAAAATGCAGTAATTAATAGAAGTCAGCATGGATTTATCAAAAATAAATCCTGTCAGACTAATTTAATCTCACTTTTTTGACTGGGTAAGACAGAGGGAACACTGTGGACATAATCTACCTCAACTTTAGCAAAGTTTTCAACATAGTGCCACACCACATTCTGATGAGCAAATTAGCAAAAAGTAGGCTAGGTAGAAATACTATTAGGTGGATCCAAACTTGGCTCCTAAATTGGACACAAAGAGTGCTTCTCAATGGTACCTTCTCCAAATGGATGAAGGTAACTGGTGGGGTGTCATAGTCCTGGGCCCAGTGCTCTTCAACATCTTTTTAATGATTTGGATGAGGATGTACAAGGAAAGATAATCAAATTTGCAGACAATACAGAAGTGGGTGAAATAGCAAACACCCTAGCAGACAGAATGAAGATCCAGGGTGATCTTGATACACTTGAACACTGGGCTGAAAGCAACAGAATGAAATGCAACAGGGACATCTGCCTAGTCCTCCACCTAGGAAAAAGAAACCAAATGTATCAATACAAGATGGGAAATATGTGACTCAACAGAACTTAGAAAGCAAAAGAGCTTGGAGTAATTGTAAACAACAGGCCAAATAGAATTGACAATGTGCTGCAGCTGCAATTATATTTTGGGATGCATTAATTAATTCACTAGTCAGACTCCATCTGAAATACTGTTCCCAGTTGTGAGCACCAAGATTTGTGAAAGATGCAGAGAAATTTGAAAGGGTCCTGAGGAGGGCAACAGAAATGAATGCAGGGTTTGGAAACACTGCCCTTTGAGGAGAGACTGAGGGAACTGTGCATGTTCATTCTTGAGAATGGAAGAGTGACAGGGGACATGTTATTCCTCTGTAAGTACTTCAAAGGCTGTCAGGAAGAGGAAGGTCAGGATCTCTTACTGCTATGAGACTGGAGGAGATGGAGTAATAATTTCATTTTGTGACAACCCAGATTCAGGCTGGACATCAGGAAAAGCTTCCTCACTGTCAGAGCCATATGGCAGTGGAACCAACTGCCTAGACTCGAACCAGCCCACACTAGAGACATTCAAAAAGTAGCTGGAAGCCATCTTAGTGGGATGGTGTACATTGGTGTACTTCAACAGCAATGGGCTTTGTGGCCCCTTCCAACTCTACTATTCTGTGATTCTATAAACCAAAAGCAATATCACCAGGAGGCCAGACTCTCTCATTAGGCTGGTCTCCTAGCAGGATCACCTAAGGTGGAATTTTCAGAGTGGGAAAACCAGACTGAAATGCATCCACCTACTACGGGAGGAATGATCACATCAGCTGAAGAGAATGGATATCCCTAACAGTTATTGTAGGAGACACTGACAGAAGATCTTTCACAGATGAAAACAGTGACACTCAAGCTAACTCTGGTTAGTAGTATTCAGAAGAAGGCAATGGTGGACCGCTTCTGAAAATTTCTACCTTTAAAACTATGATGAAGTAATCCAAAATGGGGCAATAAATGAGACTCCCATGATAGTCAACCAGCTACTGGGGAAAAGCAAAGGACAAAGAGAAACAGAAACAGAGCGAGTCAGAAGGGACCTCCTGGGCCCTCTGGCACCAGCCGGCTCCGCTCACGACATGCCCACCAAGAGGAATAGCACTGTTGCTAATGTGACAACTTGGTCAAAGGTGAAAGTTTAGTGGCTGATGTGCACAGAGCTGACAGGAAGGTGTGGTGCAGCATAACACACATAGTTGGAACATGGAATGTGAGAACTATGAATCAAGGCAAACTGAAGCCATAAAGCATTACATGAAACATTGTGGTACTTGGTGTCGGCAAACTAAAGTGGATTGGAAAGGGGCATTTCTGTCGAAGAATTTTACTCTGGAAATGACAAACAGAGGAAGGAGGATTTAATACTGAGTCAAGATGTAGCACAGACAGTAAGAGAGTATAAACTAGCCTAACTCATTTCAATCAGAATTTTTGTAAAAAATATCAACTTGAATAACCATAATTCAAGTCTCTACTCCAACAGGAGATGTTGAAGAAGAAATTCATAGGAAATTGATAACACATCCAAATAAGAGTGGAAATTGATAACATTCCCAAACATGGTAATTATACGTGACTAAATTGCAAAAGTAGGAAATAAAGTAGAATCCAGTGTTGTAGGAGAATTTCTTAGAAGGTAATATTCCTTCCTTCTACAGTTGTCAGGTTTCCATTATAAAGGCTTACCAAACCATCTTTCAAACCAACATGCTCTGTTCCGTTGATGACCTTTAATTTCCTCTGTCTAGTCACTGATTTCAGGCAAGAGTATCATACTTTGGTGCTTTGTACTTCCAGTTATGGCTTTTTAGAGAAGGGCAAAATAAATAGAATAAGCTGGTTCCAGAGGAACATGTTTTAGGGTGTATGAGACTGCAGGAGATTTTCTACCTTCTTTCCATGGTTCAGCCTCATAGGAAAAAAGAACGGAACACCCTAGATGCATGTACAAGACTCACGTTGCTGTACTTCTGAGTTTTGTCCCTTGGACTTCATTCCATACATCAAAGACGAAGCTGTCCCTAAAGCTCCCATTGGATCTTGGAGTGCATTATGCTTCCTTATCGGATATGAAAAGTATCACCGCACACTCAGTGAAGGGGCAGCTCTATAAACCTACATCTACATTCTCCTAAAAATGAGTAACTCATAAAAATGAGTAGCACACGCACACACAGAGAAGTCATGGACGGAATTTAATTAATTTTTCATCTAATGATGTCCAGCCTGACTCTTGCTTCTTGAAAATTCTGTGCTTTTGGTTCTGCTTTTCGGACTGGATAGAGTTGTTATTCTTTATGTGGTGGTAGAACTGGACCAGTCAAAACAGAGGATGGAAAAAGATAAAGGTGGACAGTTAGGGAAGAAAGGTGGTACAGAATGGTGTGTAAAATATTTACAAGTCAGAAAAATTTGATGTTTCAAACTTTAAATCATTTCTGAAGACTCTAAGTAGTATGACTCTGAGTAGCACTTGTGAAAGGGATCTCAGGGTACTGGTTGACTGCAGGCTAAACATGAGTCAGCAGCGTGGTACTGTTGCTTAATACCATGTCAGTTTACAATGAGACCCTTTTCATTCATGATTTAAGTGTGGATTAAGATTAGGCTGCTGACCTGGCTTGCACTACTGAAACCTGGGTAGATGAAGCTGGTGGGGTCACCCACTCCTAACTCTGTCCTCCCAGGTACTTGGTGCAGCACCAACGTCATCTTGGGGGCTGTTGAGGGCTGGTGGCCACAGTCCATTGTGAGTCCATCTCCCTCTCAAGGCTTTATGAGTGTCTTTACCTTGTGTTGGACAATTGAGACAGATTAGGGTGTACTGTTGATGTACTGCCCATAGCATCCCTGTCTGAGCTGGTGGAGGTGGTCTCTGACTTGGTGTTGAGAACTCCCAGGATGTTTGTCTCAACATGTCATCAGCCCAATGCATATAAAAGGTCATATTTTGGACCTGGCTTTCTCAACTGGACAGGAAGATGGTGATCTAAAAATTGGGGGGCTTACTTCTACCTCATAGTCATGATCAGATCATTTCCTTCTGAAGTTTGGACTGTTGGCACCTTTTCTCCCCTGCAAGGGGGCTCATTAAGATGATCCATTTCCAAAGGCTGATGCATTCCAGAAGACTGGAGGATTTTCCAACTGATATGGTAGGCACTCCTGTTGAAGCCCAGGTCATTCTGTGGAACATGACTCAAGTGGTTGACACAATCACTCCCAAGTACCCTCTTTTCTGTTGCTATATGTCAGAGCTGAGGGCAGTGGAGGAGGAGGGAAGATGTGGAGGAGAAATCAAAATGAATCCAACTGACACAGCTCAGTACTCATTATTGAGCCTGTTCTGTATTGCTGAAGGCAGCAAGAAAGTGTTTTATTGTCTCCAGCATTGCATCCTCACAGTGCCATCAACTGGATATTTTTGGGTGGTTTGGGGCCTTTTACATCCTGGCCCGAAAGGAGATCTGATTGAACCCTCAGAAGCCCCCTGTGACAAATTTGCACAGCACTTTGATGGTAAAGTCCCTTGGATCCATAGCGACTTGGACACCACAGAGCACTGACTGGTTCCATTCTACTGGATTAATTTCAGCTATTGTGGCCTGATGGTGTGGATAGGGTGCTTGGTTCAGTTTGACCTATGACCTGCTCACTTGATCCTTACCTGTCCTGACTGATTGGAAAATCGAAAGACGGAAGCGTGTCTGGGTACAGGAGGCTCTCAGTGCATGTCCGTCATGATCAACTGTAATGTCTCTTTGGTAAACCAGCAGTGTGAATCTTGGTTTCTACATACAGTTGTTTTTACAGGAAAGATACATTTGCTGCCATAAATGTGGCCTTGGGCAAAGAATTCTTATATAGGTCCCTTTCCTGCTCATCAGCAGACAGGCCCAGGCTGGGTGTGATGCACAGCTTTCCGATACTCCTCTCCAGGTTATTGTATTCTGAAAGAAAATGGGACATTATCCTTAATTTAATGTTTTCTTCAGTGAAAAAGATTATATTGCTTCATTCATTTTTAGCCGAATCTATTGATTCTGGTAGGACATGGAACTCAATTTGGTTTCATACCAATCTGGAGAGACTTCCTTCCGTACTTAGATTCTTTATGCTACTGGTTTATTCCCTGTTCTCATTATTCTAATTCTTTTTAATTTTGACTTTGTTGGCAGCCTACTACGTACAGTACTTTCACTTACTTTTTTTTCAGATTGAGAGTGGATATCTGTTGGAAGAGCTTGGGAATTTTATTCCAGTCACCCAAGCTCATTTGGAGGAGTTTCTATCACAAGTATGATGTCTCATTACAAAACAGAAGGAACAAACTCAAGTTTACCACTGTTTAGTATATGTTATATACTCTATATATCATTCTGATCTTAACAATCCCTTCAATTGCATATTCTTTTTTTTAGGCATCTGCTGCATTGGCTAGAAAGAAAGCAAAAGACCTACATAAAGAGATAGTGACATTTTGGCATAAGAAGAAACCAAGTAAGTTCTTACCAGAGTATTATAAAAACTAATAAAATATCTGCTTGCATGACGAATTTGTGTTTCAGGGAAAGGACCCATTTAGTGTAGGGTCCTTAATGAAGATACATTGAATGCATGTGAACGTCAAGCCAAGGACACTGAGACAAGAATGAACTGCACACTCATCTCTATTGTGACTGAGATGCAGTTTGGAAATGTTTGCTTCAGCTTTTGATTAACCATAGCTTGTTGTGTTGCCTGAATCCAGCAAACTGTGGCCAATTAAAAGAAGACACAAAAGTTCTAAACTCTTCAAAACACATACTAGATGTGCAGATAAAGTGGGATGAAAGCACAAGCCTGTGGTGAAATTTGGATCAGATGCATCTCCTTAAGCCCTAGCTTATTGCAATGTTCTTAACTGCAAGAATCACGGAAGAGTAGAATATTAGAGATGGAAGGGACCATGAAGGCCATTGGGTCCAACCCCCTGCTGTTGCAGGACAGCGGTTTACACCATTTCACTCAGATGGCCATCCAGCCTTGTTTTGAATGTCTCTGGTGTTGGCGAGCCCACCACCTCTCTGTGGAGCTGGTTCTCTCGGTCTTTCCTCATAGGGCAGTGTTTCCAAACCCTGGATCATTTTTGATGCCCTCCTTTGTACCCTTTCTAATTTATCTGCATTTTTCTTAAATCCTGGTGCCCAGAACTGGACACAGTATTCCAGAGGAGGTCTGACCAGTGAAGAGTACAGTACATTTGCCCTTTGGTGGCTGCGTTGCATTGTTGGCTCGTATTTAGCCTATTGTCCACAATTACTCCGAGTTCGTTTTCTTTTTCTTTTCTGTTGAGCCATGTATCCCCCATCATCAGTGCATCTGGTTTCTTTTTCCTAGGTGGAGGATTTGGCACTTGACCCTATTGAATTTCATTCTGTTGCCAATTTTGGATCCACCTAATAGAAATGTAGAAACAGAGTGAGTTAGAAGGGGCCTCCTGGGCCATCTAGTCTGATCCCTGGCTCCAGCCAGCTCTGCTCAGGACATAATTTTCTATCTAGTCCAGTTTTTGCTAATTTGCTTATCAGACTGTCGCGTTGTACTATGTTGAAAGCTTTGCTAAAGTCTAGGTAGATTATATCTACAGTGTTCCCTCTGTCCTTTTTGGGAGGTTATCCAGTTGAAACTGAGGTTTTGACTGAGGTTAACCAGTCAGAAATGAATATATGCCTCTTTAATACTTATTCCTCTCAAACCGCTTTAAGACAAACATTTTCATTTTGTGCATAGATATTAACTATTGTATAATCTTCTCTTATTTCACCCTGTAAAACCTGATAGCTTCCTCTTTCATCTTTATTATTCACCTTAAACTCAGCTTTCTTAGAAATCATAATTCCTACTCCCTTTAATTTTGAGCTTCCAAAAACTTTTCATAAATATTTGGCCATGATAGTTTAAGTTCATTTACCCCTTTCTTTTTATGATGGGTCTCCTGTAAAAAATACAATATGTGCTTTTCTTTATTTATCATCACTTCAATTAGATTCTTTTTAATTACACTCCCTAGTCCCTTAACATTCAAGGATACTAATCTCATCATTTTAACCATATCCTGTTGAAGACATGCATCCTTATTGGTCCTTTGTGTAACTTCTAACACCTAAATAAAAGGAAAAAGAGGAAAAGTATTATTATAACTTCATAATACTATCCACCCATCCAATTTCCCTTTACCCCAACACATACCTAGTATCTCTCCCTTCTTCCCCCAAAGAGATGTTCTCCTAGGTGTCACCAAAATATTTTAGTGGAGGGAGGAGGAGACAAACTACTGGCTCCATGTCCTAATGTCTCTGTCACTTCATTAACTATTACTAATTAATCCCATTCCTCTTAGAAACCTAATTTACACTGTTTAATCATCTGTACATCATATTTCTATTCCCTGTATTTTACTCTGTATTATTGTCTCCCAATTATCATCTTTTTAATTACCATCCATGTCTGTTGTTACATTCAGTCTTAAATTGTATATCTTCTTATAATGACATAGAGAAAAATGAAGGCAAGAAAGGAAACATAGAGACAGAGCGAGTCAGAAGGTGGTCTCCCGGGCCATCTAGTCTGACCCCTGGCTCCAGCCAGCTCCGCTCACGACATGCCCACCATGAGCATGTCTAGCCTATCCTTGAACACCCTCCCTGATGGGGCCTCAACCACCTCCCATGGAAGCCCATTCCATACCCTCGGGGTCCTAACTGTCAGGAAGCGCTTCCTGGCATCCAGATTGAGCCTTGGTTCCCTGAGCTTGGCTCTGTCAGAGTGTGTCCTGCATTCCTCTGCAGGGAAGAACAGGTTTCTACCCACCTCCATGTGACACCCCCTCACATACCTGTATGTCTCCAACAGAAAGGAAGATGGAATTAGAAAAAAGGAATCTGTGTGTGTATGTAAGTGTATATGTGTGCACGCATAAAGAAAAACAATATAGAAAAAAAACTCCATTTAATATAATTTCGTTTAATATTTTCACTCCCAACCTTTCCATCTGTTTCCTGCATCATCTCTCCTTCTTCCCCTTTTTCTTGCCACCTATTCATCTGCCTGTTTTGATCTTTCTTCTTCCACAGGTCTAATAGTTTGAATTGGGAAACATTCACCAACAGCTCCAACATCATCATCTTTACCTTCTTGATCATCTCCTTCTGATGCTGTTTTCCAGTCTTGATCAATTTTTGCTAATTCTTGTTTCTGCAATTTGTGCGATTACTGGAAGTCACCCCCCCCCCATTTTATATTTATTTAAATTTATTGGCTGGGTCCTATCTGCTATTTAAGTGGACTTAGGCAGAAAAGGTCTGTGTCTTGCAGGAGATTAAAGCATTGTACTTAAGCATTGTATTGAACTGCTGTACATTTATATTGAATCAATAACAATAGTTTTTAAAAGTTTAAGGTTGTTCACAAGTTGTTGATGTTATTAATTTTGCAAAGGTCCAAATAAGAAAGACTATTCGTCTAAGGAACAGAAAGCCGATGAAAGTGATGGGAGGCAAAGCAATGACCTGCCGAGTCATCAACATCCTCCCCATGGTAAATCTTTAATCCGTTCCAGTGGTAGTGGAAACATTTCAAATAAGAGGTATGTGTTCATTGTTAGTCTTCTGAAAGAAATAATATGTGTGAATATACATTGCCAGAGGAAAGGGTCCTGAGGAGCGCAAGAAAAAAATGATGCAGGGTTTGGAAACACTGCCCTATGAGGAGAGACAGAGAACTGGGCATGTTCAGCCTTGAGAAGAGAAGACTGAGAGGGGACAGGATATCCCTCTAGAAGTACCTCAAAGGCTGTCACAAAAAGGAAGGTCAAGATTTCTTCTTGACCTTCCAGAGCGTAGAACACGGAATAATCAAGTCAAGTTGCGACAACCCAGATTCAGACTAGGAAAGCTTCCTCACTGTCCGAGCAATACAACAGTGGAACCAGCTGCCTAGAGAGGTGGTGGGCTCTCCTACTGTAGAGACATTCAAGAAAAAACTGGACAGCCATCTGAGTGGGATGGTGTAACATGGTGTCCTGCAACTACTGGGGGTTGGACTCGATAGCCTGCATGACCCCCTCCAACTCTACTGTTCTATGATTTTATGATCGACTGCTTCTCTTGACTGTTTCAGCTTTTTCCAATGTGCTGCCTTCTTTGTTTTTCAATATAGGGTTGAATCGTTCAATTGTATGGATTAGTTTTAGCAACGTATTGTTGCAGATCCTGGATAAACCAGTCCATTGTAATTCTTGTTCATCAATTCTGTGTAATCATACACATGGGCTCGCCGTGGAGTGCAAGGCCTAGATTAGGATAAAACTTCCATAGCTCAGTGTCACGGCACTCCGGCAGTTGCATCACTGATCAGATCTCATCCAACTCATGCGTTTTCCCTTTCCCCCCTGCTCTCTACCTCTTGATTAAAACAAACAAACAAAAAAATAGATAGAGCTTTTTCTTCTTAAACATCCTTTTCTTCTTACTTTTTTCCTCTCCAGCCTCATCTCGAGGTTGTATTGCTGATCTCTTTCTAACCAGAGGGAAGGAGATTTAACCTTACTTCTCTCTCTTCCTCCCTTCATGTGTATCACCCTTTCCCAATTTTTCAACTGTGCATGGCTGTGACCTGGCTTTCCACTGCTGTTCTCCATGCGCCACTCACTTGCCAGCTGTGGATGGCCACTCCTGCTGCCTCCGTTGCCTTGGCGAGGGGCACATTGTTGAAACATGTGCACATTTCTAAGCTTTTAAAAAGCAACAGGCAGACCGCCTGAAATTTGTCTTGTGGTAATGCGCCTTAAGCATGGCAGACTCCTCCAAACCGCTGAGCAGTCTGTTTGACAAGGAGGTCCTTCCTCCTGTAAAAGTGGCGCTGGTTGTTAGGTGACTGCACTGGTGGGAGGTTCAATTGGGTGAGAAAGGGGAAGAACAAAGGCGGTGGGCATGACTCTACAGTGCTCTGTACACAGGAGCCAAATGCCAAAAGGGCTACAAGAAAGGCTGGGAAAGAGGAATATTAGAGATGACCTAACATTTCAATCTGTGTGTTCTCAGAAGCGTGTAACAATAAAGTCTTTTGGAAAAGAAGCTTAGAATAAGTCTGTTTACTTGAGAGGAGAACCACTGCTCACAATGTTTCTTTTAATAGTTCTCTAGCTAAGAAGTCTGGCCTTAAAAAGTCTCTTCAGTTCGAAGCATTAACCTTTGATTCTGGACCTGAAGGACATTGTTCAGAGAACTTAGAATTGCCAACATCCAGTTTGAACAACCTCATAGGCATGGTGGCAGAAACATCTGAAGACAAATATCGCCTTTTAGACCAGAGAGATAAGATCATGAGGCAAGGTAAGAGTTGTTGATTGTAACAAAAGGCCAGAAGGAACTGGACCAAAACAGCCCAGTGCTTGGATCCAGCCCTGGGTCCTAGACATCAGATTTAGCAGCACAACTCACCCAAACACCAAATCAGAATAAAAGTTCACTAAAACAAAGGGAAAATTGAGAGGGTTGACTAGGAATACAGAAAAGAAGAGGGAAAGGGCAAAATTATAGCAGCAATAGTAGGGTGCCTAGTGTCTTCATCCCAAGTATCTTGATTCCTTGGTGGATCACTGGAATAAAACAAGAAAGCTAATCCTACTGTTTGATTACTTAACAGAACTCTTCTAACAGCAATGATTTCAGAAGTAGGTCAGGGAAAAAACACCTCTGGCAAGGTTAGAATCCAGAGCGCCATCTAAAGTTCAGATTTTTTTTGCTTCCTTGCCCTGGTGATGTGGTGATGCCTGGCAGCCAGTCCTAGGAGGCCTCTTAGCAGATGTTTAGCACATGAGGGTGGTATATATCTTCATACAACTATATGTGAGATCAAGAAAAACCAACTGTGGACTGGGACAAAGCTGATGAGACATGGCCAGCAGCTGCAGTCCGGCTTTCCTTCATATGGATGGAGTATAAGAACAAGGCTGCAGTTAATTACATTTTCATAAAATTACTCCGTTGAGTGGTATTGTGCCCATTCATTAATTACTGATTAATATTCTGAAAAAATGCCTATTTAGAAATTGGAAAATTTTAATGGAAAAGTAAAACAGTATATTTCCCCCCAGAAAATATCTTCTGCCCATATCATTATGAAAGAGAAGCAGCGCTAATCCAGTTTAGTATGTATGTGAAGGGGGGTCAGTTGGATTTAAACATTGAATCCATGGCTTGGATTTGCTGCTTGGTCATTGTAAAGACTGGTGTTTTCATGAACATTAACCTTTTTCCTAATAAGTGCAAACAAAATCCTTTAAGAGGCATATTATCTAATCTTTAATTTCTCTCTTCCTTAGCGCGAGTAAAACAAATAGATCTTGGCAAAGCTAAAACCTTTGTTGGCACATGTCCAGACATGTGTCCAGAAAAAGAACGTTACATGAGAGAGACAAGAAAACAACTTAGTTTCTTTGAAGTGCTACCAGGAACTGACAAGGTAAACAAAAATCTTCCATGGCTCATGCTGCTGAGATCCATTTCAGGAATAACCTTGTCATTATTTGTGCTTGGATACATGGTGATTTTGCAGCTAAGAAAAGATCTGAGTTATCTTCTAACTACACTGCAGTTTCTTGGCATGATTTTAATGTGTGTGGCTTGAAATTTATTCTTTGTATTGACAATATCCAGGCAAGATGAAATTTTCGTGTGTGTGTGTGTGTGTGTGTGTTTGTTCTCTGGTAAGACACACAGGTAGTTGTCCTATACCTATCAGTAAGATTAGGAAAGCAGGACCACTAACAGACAGGTAAGGAATTATCTGCACTCACAATTTCCCTACCATACAGTAAAATATTAGGTTATAAATTAATTTCTCCCTGCACCGCACTCTGCTTTCTCCGAGTCCCCCAGCAGGCATGGATATTTAAGGCAGTGTACTGTCAGGGAAGGGGCAGGAAAGTAAGGAAAAGTAAGTGAATTGATGTATCTGGTTCTCAAACATGGTGTCCATGGGCATCACTGTGCTCATAAATAGCACTCTTGGCACCAGGCAGGCTCTCCCCCACACTTGGTCTGGATTTTGTTTTATTTTTGATGTGTCACTCAAGAGGCTGGCATGCTGCATACTGAAGAGCTGACCTCCAGCACTGCTTTATTTGTGTTCAAATAGTGGCTTTGTATTTTTGAACTCAGCCCCCAGTGAGGTACTGCTCCAAAATCTGATTGATCCATTCTGTATGTTCATTTGTCTGTGGGTGGTAGGCTGACAACAACCACCTCTGATTGCTCAGGAGTTCAAGAAAGATGACCCAGAAGCAGGAGGTGAACTGAGGCCCTCTATCAGAAATAACTATGACAGGTAGACCATGGAAGCAGAAGATGTGAGTGAGGAACCAGTGGGCTGTCTGTGACATGTTAGGAATTTGGCGAAGAGGAATGAAGTGGGCCATCTTAGTAAGCAGGTCTACTGCTATCAGGATGGCAAAGTGACCCATTCACTTTTATTGCCAGCGGTTTAGACATTAATGGCTGTGTGTTGAGTTATTTTGAGGGGACAGCAAATTTACACTGTTATACAAGCTGTATACTCACTACTTTACATTGTAGCAAAGTGTCATTTCTTCAGGGTTGTCACATGAAAAGATGTAATAAAATATTTACAAAATGTGAGGGGTGTACTCACTTCTGTGATATACTGTACCTTCACCTTCCACTACAGCACAACCTCCTGTCCCAGGATGGGGGCAGAGTGCTCCATCCCCACATCAGGACCCCTTCCTGACAGCCTGGAGGATTGATGGAATTGTATTTCTTCTTGAAAATTCTGCATCCAGTTCATCATGCATATTTTAACTTGCTCAGTCTCAGTATCATATTGGAGTTTTTGCTTATAAATTAGTCCTAGTAAATTATCTTTTTGCTGTGTAATCAAATTTTCAAAGTTCATCAGGTCTCTTATAATACCTTTCCCTGTTTGGATTTCTCTTTTCAGTCTTGATACCAATTGCTAGTAAAGAAATCATTTTATATTTTTTTCCTTCATCCTTTAGTTCTTGCCATGGCTTAATTCTTCCATGTTGGTCAATCACATTTCCATATGTTATAAAATCATTATTTTTCCTTAAGTACTTATCATAATATGCTTCAATTGGGGAAGAGAAATTGGTGGACTAATTCTTTTTCCTAAGGAATACCAAACTTTTATTAGACCATCTCTGAGTATGTGACTGTTATTTGGTATTAAAGCTTTTTTCATGAATTCCTTTGTCCATAAGCAACTGTGTATTATTATTCTTTGAAATCGGTTGTCTCCAATTTTACTAGTCTCTCATTAGGATTTATAATCCAATCTTTAATCCAAACCAGACTTGCCAGACAGTAATGTAATTGAATATTGGATACTGTGAGGCCTCTTCTCTCTTTTTCATCTTGTCAGTCTTTAAATCTGATCCTTGGCTTTTCCCCTTTCCACATAAAAGTACATTCAGTTGTCTTTTTCCCTGTCTAGAAATTGGTATCATTGGGAATAAAATGTAGTTTAGGTAAAACATTAATTTTTATAATGAAAATTCTCCCCAACCTTGATACTTTTAATTTTGACCATTGTTGTACGTTGCTCTGCATCTTCATCCACATTAGCTTATATTTATCTTGAAATAGTGTATCTTCTTGTTTCATTACAGATTTTAATAATTTTCATTTTTCTCTTGTTAATTTTATAACAGGAATAATTTTTCATTTTGGTCCTTTATATGTTGCACTGATAGACGTAGGTTTAAAATAATCAAACCACATCCTCAGCATAGCCTTTCATTTTGTATTCTTCACTATCTCCTTTCAGGCCTTTAACTGTTTGGGTCTTGTCTTATTTTCGTAGCTAACACTTCTAGTATAAGGATAAATAGAAGTGGGAACTGTTAGCAGTTACTAACTTTCTTGAGAGATGTAAACAGGGGCAAATATTTTTCAGATCTTGGCTTGAATGGAATGCAGCTGAATAAGGTAATCCTTATTCATAGTTCATTTTTATTTTGTTTTTCTTTTCCGAGGTTGACCATACAGCAGCAATTAAGGAATACAGTAGATCTTCAGCAGACCAAGAAGAACCTTTACCACATGAACTGAGACCTTCTGAGGTGTTGAATATGACCATGGACTATTTAGTAACTCAAATCATGGATAAAGGAGAAGGGTGCTACCGAGAGTGGTACGATTTTGTATGGAATAGAACTCGTGGGATAAGAAAGGTAAATGCTTTTGGGAAAGCCCTTGAGTCTGATGATGTAAGACAGTAGTTATTTGCTAGTCTTACCCAAACACTTAGATGAGGTGGTGGTAGTGCAAAGTTTAAAAGTCTACTCTTTCATATATTTAACAGTATTTATTTTGGTTACATTTTATTGAACTATAGCAATTTTACCAAATTATCACAGACAGGTACTTTTTAAAAGCAAAAAAATCTGTGTCTTAAGCACACTTGGATTCGACCCCTGATCACATCCAAGCCAATGGGCTCTGATCTTGTGGTGACTGATCAAAAAAGACATGTTGGTATTGTAATGGGTAACTCAGTGAAAATGTTGACTCTACTATAAAATATTCAGGAGAGTTATCAAAAATAACACTTACAGTGTCATAAAGCATTTATACAAATCTGTGGCATGACCATAGACACCACATCTCAAAAAGGATATTACAAGGGGCTTGAGGAACTTCCTTCCCATTGTTCCCAAATAATGTTTGGGGCTTCTTAGCTGAAAAAAAGGTAAGAAACAGTGAACATGATAGAGGTATATAAAATGGCCTGGCGAGAGTGGACAGGGAAACCTGAGATCATCCAATAAAGCTGACTAGTAGGAGATCTAGGACAGATCCAGGAATGGCATCTACACAGAGTACTTAATAAGCATTCTGGTGCAACAGGATGGAGGGATGGCCTCCAACTTGGGACAACTTTAAAAAGGAATTGAACAAATGCTTAGTTGTGATGATAGCTATATTATTTCCAGGATCAAAGGCAGTTTGCTTCTCAGTGCTAGTTGCTGTGGAACACAGATAAGAGGGTGATAGTGTCATATTTGCAGTATCATAATAATTTGTCACTGAAGGAACAGAATGCTAGACTGGATAGAGTTTTGGGTATGATCTTGCATATACACAGATTCATGGCTGTTTGTTTTCCTGCCGAAAAGAAAATGAGAGATTTGCCAGAGCGTTTTAAAAAGAAACACCTACCTTTTAAGAGTTGTTGAAAGAAGTGCTTGCAAAAAGTGGGCAGCCTCACCATCTTTACTTTCCCTGTACTTGGAGACTGGGAAAAGTGAAATAAAATATGGGCACTGAGAACTGTGAGGAGAGGACTAATAACCCTGAGGATCTCATTGCGAATCTGTGGGAAAGTTGCTATGCCCTTTGGTGAGGAAAGATCACTTGTGGCTTTGTTTTCCCTTGAGAGCTCTGTTTGACAGCTGTCAAGTGAATGCTACTTGCTACTTCTCTTGGTCATTATCCATTGTTGGTGCCTTATCATGGCATTGTCCAGGCAAGCCTTCTCATCTGTCCAACTATGGAAAAACTAGCCCTCCCAAAAAAGTATTAAGAAATTCAATTGTACAAGAAAAGAAGGAAGGACGGACGGACGGACGGAAGATGAATCTCTGAACCATCTTTGTTACCCTCCTCTGAATCTTGTCTAGTTTGTTTGCATCTTTCTTAAACCATGGAGTTCAGAGGTGGACATGGTGCTCCAGATGAGGCCTAACCAGTGCTGGGTAGAGAGAAACTAGTATTTCATGTAACTTTAAGAGTTCTTAAACCAGTGTCACTGGATGAGATAAAGTGAACTGTAGGCTATTACTGCTCTCATCATAGAATCCTTGGGATGGGATCCATGAGTATCTAGGATAATTATTGTTGTGTTAAGCAATTCATTAGTAGTAATGTTTGAGATGACGATGTCTTGATTTTGAAAATTGCAGAAGGGAGCATTGTATAGTAACTATAATTAAAAATGTCTGCAGTTTTTCCACTTTTATATTTGACCAGGATATAACGCAGCAACATCTCTGCTGTCCTCTGACGGTTTCCTTGATTGAGAAATGTACCCGTTTTCATATCCACTGTTCTCACCATTTATGTGAGGAGCCTATGTCATCTTTTGATGCAAAAATCAACAATGAGAACATGACTAAATGCCTACAGAGCTTGAAGGAAATGTATCAGGACCTTTCAAACAAGGGTATTTACTGCAAGAATGAAGCAGAATTCAGGGGATATAATGTTCTTCTGAACCTTAACAAGGGTGATATTCTCAGGTGAATCTTTTAATGATTATGTTATACATGTTATGGATTTAGGGTTTTTTTTCACTTGCAATATTTGCAGAAGTTTTACAAAACTACAAAATGGCTGGAAGTGTTCACTTTTTAAGAGAGAAGATTTATTATTTTATAATACTGTCACACAATCAGTGTTGAGAGAGAAAAGTCCACTCAGTCTGACTTAGAGCAGAGCCATCCAGACACCAGTCTTTTTACATTTCAAGTATATGGGTAAAGAATTTCTAACTCATTGTTGATAATAATCTATGGTTTCTCTTGGGAGTCAACAACATAACTATATTTGTTTTATAAATACCCAAGAAAGAATTGATCAAGTGAAAGACTTCTTCTTCGTACCTGCTGCTGACTACAGTGACATGGTGATTGTCTCTTCTTGGTCTTCCTTATGTTCTAATAAAGGAGATGAAGAAATAAGGTCTAGATCATTCATCCATGTTCATAAACCTGCAGGCAAGATCTTTGCAAAAACATGCCAAAAAGAGAAAAGAAAAATGTAGTCTTTTCTAAAGAAACTAAACCAAGTGTCTTGAGATAACTCAATAACTAACAGGTTTATCATTTATTGATTTATTATGTTGTGCACTTATATGAACTTCAGCACGATTCATTGGATGTATGGTGGATATTAAGTAAAAAGGAAAGGAGAGAGCCAGTGTGGCGTAGTGGTTAAGAGCGTGGGACTGGGACTCAGGCGACCTGGGTTCGAGTCCCCGCTCGACCATGGAGCCAACTGGGTGACTTTCGGCCAGTCACACACTCTCAGCCCAACCTACCTCACAGGGTTGTTGTGGGGATAAGATGGAGGAGGAGAATGATGTAAGCTGCCTTCAGCCCTTTGTAGGAAAAAGGCAGGATATCAATCAGAAAAAACAAACAAACTTTAGACTGGCTACAAAGCAATGAGATTCAGGAAGTACATTCTGTATGTAGACTTATTCCTTTATCTCAAGGCCTTTCAGCAGCACAGCAGACATTTTCTCTATAAGTGTGAGCATGCATGCATACATACTTATCTCCAAATCAAGGATAACTCTTCATATATAAGATGAAATAGACTCCAGTTCAAGAAGACATGTGCCATGATAAATATGCTTATCTTTAAGATGCTACCAGTCATTGTTCTTTTATAGGAAGCTAAGGCAAGCATCTCTCTGGGATTAAGTAACCTTTGAGTAGTAAAAAATAATTAGTTTGTTTCAGGAATATCCAAACAAATATTTGGATACTCCAGCTGCATCGGGGACTGGAAGAGGATACTTGCAGCTGCATCGGAGCATGATACTGTGTGAATTTAATGCAGGGCTGGTTCATTTGTGCTCCTCTAGTTATTTTGGCATACAACTTCCATCAGGCCTAACCTAATTGCACTGGTTTAATTATATTAATGTATGTTTTATTTTTACTTGACTATGCATATGCAATTTTATTATAATATTTTAATTGTATCATTTTATTTATGTTATTTATTGGTGCTTTTATTGTAATGCCTCCCAGTGAGCACAATGCTAAAGAGTGGCTTTCAAATGAATCAAATAAAAACCAGTGTGACCAATGGTGACCCTTGATGGGACTACTACTGGATGTATAGCCAGAGGCATGGCTTCCAGAACAAGATAGGTGCTGGTACCACTCTGTAAGACTCTGGTGCGCCCGCAACTGGAATACTGTGTCCAATTATGGGCTCCGCATTACAAGAGGGACATAGCAAATTCAGCGCAGGTCACAACACAACCAGATTGAGGGCGGTGCCATATGAGATGAAATTGAGGGACCTGGGACTTTTCTACTTGGAGAAGAGTAGATTCAGAGGGGAACTTATAGCAACATACAGGTATGTGAAGGGGTGTCAAATGGTGTCACAGGGTTGGATGTCAGGAAGTAATTCCTGATGGTTAGGACCACTAGGATATGGACTGGGCTTCCATGGGAGGTGGTGGAGGCCCCATCAGTGAGGGTGCTCAAGGAAAAAATGGACACTCACATGTTGGACATTATATGAGTGGAGCTGACTTGTTCTAGGGATCAGACTAGATGGCCTGGGAAGCCCCTTCTGACTCACTTTGTTTCTAAAACATCTGGAGGGGTACCAGTTGTCCAACCATAATTTGGAGTCTAAGTAGCTATATGTTTCTTGTTGCATGTTCTATATGTGTGCTCTACATGGTAGCATCCGTCATTAAAGTAAGCTAATTCATATCCTCCTTTGTCTAAACAGAGAAGTGCAACAGTTTCGTCAAGCCGTCCGGAACTCCACTGAAGTTAGATTCGCTGTTCAAGCCTTTGCTGCATTAAACAGCAATAATTTTGTCCGATTTTTCAAACTTGTGCAGACAGCATCTTACCTGAATGCTTGCTTGCTACATTGTTATTTTAGTCAGGTAAGAAATAGCACTTCCAAAGTGATACTGAGGGAGGGGAAATCCAGAATGTGCATTTCTTATATTTCTAGAATGTCCATATATTAGTACTTTTTTCAAGTTTTTATTATTTTCTACCAATAAAACAATAATTATTCCAAAGACATCAGACATACAGGGTTGTTATCTTATTCTCTTTACAGTTAATGTATATTTCAGCCCTAAATATAATCTCATTTCTCTAACCAGTGATAAAAAAGTCCCAAGTTTGATAGTAGTGTCTATCTTCTTTTTCCTTAAGGGGCAAAGTCAGTCTGTCTATTTCCACACAGTCCAGTATCTTCTTTAAAATCAGTTCTTCAGTCGGTAATTCTTCGTTCCTCCAGTGTTGTGCAAATACAATCCTCGCTGCTGTTTATTACCTGTAAAGTCAAATATATGCTTTGTTTATCAAAGTCATCAGGAAGAATGCCTAATAGAAATACTTTCAGTTTAAATATTACAGGTCTTTGCAACATTTCCCCAAGCCATCTATGTATTTTAACCCAGTATTTCTTTGCTTTATCACAGGTCCATCACATGTGGTAAAAAGTACCAGGCTTTTGTTTACATTTCCAACATCTGTTTGACGTATTTGAACACATTTTTGCTAATGCCTCACCTGGGTTTGATGAGAAAGAGAGGTAGGGCTGAGTGTCATCTGCATATTGATGGCATCTCAGCCTCCCCCAGAAATTCCAGGTAGATGTTAAATAGCATGGGGGATAAAATAGGGCCCAGTGGTACCCCATTACATAATTGCCATGGTGCAGAGCAATAATCCCCCAGCACCACCCTCTGGGATCAGCCAGTCAACTAGAAGTGGAAGCAATTGCAATGCAGTACCTCCTACTCCCAACCCAACCAACCTATCCAGGAGGATACCATGACTTGTTGATATTTAAAATTGCTGAGAGGTCCAGGAGAATCAAGAGTCTCTGTCGCAGCAGAAGTCATTGCACAGGGTGACCAAGGCAGTCTCTGTTCCAAAGCCAGGGCTAAAGTCTGATTGAGATGGTTCTAGATAGTTTTATTCAGGAGTACTTGGAGCTGTTCAGCCTGTTCCTACAGGCCTTTAGTTATTAATATCTTCTGATTCCAAGTTAGTTTTTTTCAGTTTTTTGCTTTAATTAAAGAGGCTGGCACCACTCCCTTTTTCAAGGAGGCATTTACAGACTCCTGGAGCCAGGTACAAATCACTTCTTCAGTTTTAATAAAAAGCCATGATGGGCAAGGGTCAAACATTCAGGTAATTACACTCAGCTCTCCCTCTCGTTTTCATCTAACTCAGGTTTTTATGATTGGTCTGTGAGCCGCCCAGAAAGCCTCTGGCTATGGGGTGGCATACAAATGCTATAAATAAATAAAAGTAGGCAAGGCATGACCGAGCGCCCTGTCCACATCCTCAGGCCTCAATAACTGAAACTCATCCAACAAAAATGGACCAGATGGTGCTCTGGATACCTCTGTTAACTGGAGATGTATTAATTTTGGTGTCCAGTTCATGACAAATCCAGACAAAGTTCTATGCAAATTCATCACAGAATGCTACCAAGGGTTCCATAGTTTCTTTCTTTGGCCTAGATTGTAAAAGGACTTGAATCACCCAGAAAAGCTCTGCTGGACTGCACTGAGAAGATGCAGTACTGATGGAAAAGAACTGCCTCTTTGTCCCCTTGCCAGCCACGGGGAAGGCACGATAGTGAGCTCTAGTCATGTTTGACCTGACACTGCACGAGTTTTCCTCCACAGTACTCTAGCCATCTCCCCGCTTTCTTCATTGCCTTCAACTCAGGCGTGTGCCAAGGAGCTGGCTGGGCTCTGCTAAAGGGAAGAGGGCACTTGGGTACGATTGTGTCAACCACCCGTTATCTCCCTATTCCACAGAGAGACTTGAGTTTCAACAGAAGTCCCTGCCATACTAGTCAGAAACTCCCCCAGACTCTGGGAACCATCCAGATCCATTAGCCTCTGGGGGTGGACCGTTTTAAGAGGTCTCCCACCCCCTACAGAGGGGGAAAGGGGCCAAAAGTCTAAGCCTCAAAAGGAAGTGATCTGACCATGATAATGGAGGTTATGTTAATTAACTTCTAGATCACCTACTTGAGAAGACCAGATCAAGAGTGTGTCTTTTTACATGTGTCAGGCCAGTAACATGTTAAGACACATGGTTGTTATGGTTTCCATGAAGTCCTGACCCATCCTGGATAAAGCAGCCTTGGCTTGGACGTTAAGATCCTCCAGAACCATCACCCTGGGGGTCTTCAACACCAACTCCAAGACCACTTCCATCAGTTCAGGCAGGGAGTCTGGTGGGCAGCGGGGTGGATGGTAGACCAGCAGAATCCTTAATCTGTCTTGAATGCTCAGCACAAGGCACACACTTTCATTGGCCTATTAGAAGCCCTTGATGAGAAAGAACAAAACAGAATTCAAGCTGATTTTAGATTACAAGGCTCATAGCAAATAATGGAAGGGATTCTGTGTTCCAAGCTGGTTTCTTTTTTATTCTTATTATTCAGAAGAACATTACAAATAAGAAATCAGTGTCTCAGGTTAGCGCTATGACAGTCTTAACTTCCGCCAGAAAAGATAACTTGGAGCAGAATGCAAGTTGTGCTATTCCTTGTGCTTTGGGTGTTTTGTTTGCTTGTTTGTTTTTGCTTTTCTACAGGGTGGTTTTATTTTAGAGTAGCAACCCCCCCACCCCAACTTTGATTGATAGTATGCTAAATTGTTTTCCCTGCTCTATTTTAGGAAGTGGCTGGGATTAGAAGCAGAATGGATCATACACTACCAAACAGTTTAAATGTTTGGTAGTTTCACTTTCCAGTCATTTTAGACCTCTGACAGTTCAGAACATTAGTTTACATCTAATAGTTATATAGTTGAGATATGCGTAAAAACCCTGGTGTCAGGAAAGATAAATGGGGTGATTAATCTCATAATTATTAAAGAGTTCTGGGAATATGAAATGGTTCAGAATTGTTAGGAAAGGAAGTTTTACAATTTTTCTAAATACTGCTGAGGTTTACAACTTGAGGGGCTTAAGTGTCAGTTTGAGAAATGTTGTTCTATAGACATCTCAAAGATAATGGTAATATGTAAGCAAGACATACATCTCTCTTTTATTGGATGTCATCCAGTACTGCAAAGGCTGCCATCTTCTTTGTTCCCTTACCCTCCTGAACAGATTTTGTGGCTTTATGGAGATTATCTGTTTCACAAGTAGTGTCACCTTGGTAGACAGACATAACTGAATTTCTTCCATTAACACTGATGTGAAAAGCCAGTTTGCTGTGAGAAAATTTGAGATACCGCAATTAATTTAAAAAAGACTAACAAGTGCTCTTAAAATATTTTTCAGATTCGTAGAGATGCTCTAAAGTCTCTGACTATTGCTTATACTGTTAATGCTCAAAGATCAACCATATTTCCACTAGACAATGTGGTCCGCATGTTACTATTCAGGGACTGTGAAGATGCAACTGATTTCATAAGCTATTATGGTTTGAGTGTGTCTGATGGGTAAGTGCTAGATTTTGCATAGTTGCAAGCAGAATTGGTGTGTCTCAGAGGCAAAAAATGTTTAAGAGATGGGGAATTAGATGGATATAAGAGTGACTGAAACCCACACATCACTGAGCTGAAGGAATCAAATCTTTACATAACTTGGAATGGAAAATAGTATTAAGAACTATAAATTAAAACAATTGCTCCATGAGTACTAATTAATATAACTATGTGTTGAGGAGATAACAATTACTGACTTTTCATGATTTTTTAAAATTTTATATGTAATTGTGCAAGATCTCTTGATTTCTTTTTTCTATATTCTCTATTTAATGAAAATAATTTTTAAAAACCACATGAATCTTTACATAACTTGAGCTAAAGTTATGTTGTTTTACCTTGTCCAAGTTGTTCTTTCTCCTAGTAATTGATAGGGATAGCTATTTATTGGTCTGTTTAAAGGGTATTCAGATTCTGATTGTATGTAAATTCACTGAGTTGAGACAATAGCAGTTGTAATGAATATACTCTGGGAGTCATTACATTTATTTCCTTATATATGAATACTGATCACAGTTTTCTGAATGGTTGCACTTATATAGGAAGAAAGGGCACATGAGCAGATCAGGGGAACATGAAGATTTGACAAAGGAAAAAAAAAACCCTGAGGCAAAATACCCTTGCATTAGGTTGTAAGGGAATCCCCTGAAATAGTCCATTAAAGGCCAAGTGCATGCTTAGTTGCTGCAGAATGCTAAACTGTTGACAGTGAAATAAAAATGGGTGGAAGAAAGGAGAGAGAGGCTGGGATCCTGAACAACAGGAGGCAATCCAGCAACATATTATTATTGTTATTAATTTCATGTCTGTATTACCCAACTGCTAAAGCTCTCTGGGTGGCTCACAAAAATGCATACATAAAAGCAACATATAATTTTCAATGTATAGAATTTAAAGCAAAATTTAGAGCAGTTGAAGCAACTAAAACAGTTTTTCCAACATAACTAGACTGATATCAAAGCTCTCTTCCCCTACCATTAATGGTACTATTAACTACCATTAAATGCCTCAGAGAAATAGAGAGTTTTAACCAGGTACTGAAATGATAGCAAAGTTTGTGTAGGTCCCATTTGCTTTTCAATGAAATGAAATCAACAGTTAATTGTGACCCACCTGCTCTGTAGTTGGGGAGGCACTCTTGATTGTGCTTCTGGATTCAGAATTAATGTAGGACCTCCTTTCACTTGTCCTTAGAATCTTCAGTCAATATTAAGTCCAGCAATAATCAAGGTTTATGTATGGGAGCACTGTAGGATTTGCTTTCATTTTCTCAGTTTTCCAGGTATGGTCAGTCATTGCTAACCTAAAGTGATCAAAATAACTGAAGAATTGCATCCACATGTCTTCCTCTCTCGCTTTCCCCATGTATCCTTTGAATGAATGATGTAGAAGTCCTTAAGGAAGTAACAAGAAAATGGAAATAACTCTTAAGAATTTGCTGTGGCTCACTGTGGTTGCATATGTGCTTACAGTCTCTTACAGTCATAGGATTGGTTATGTGTCTTGCATTTTGTTTTTGCAGGTTTGTGGAGCTGAATCGGTCTGCATTTTTGGAGCCAGAAAGCTTGCGAAAGCCAAAGAAATCACTGTTTGTTGGGCAGAAGTTAACTGTGTCAGTTGGGGAAATTGTCAATGGGGGACCTCTCCTGTCTGTGACTCGCCACGTACCTGTGTGTAGCTTTAATGCACAAAACAAATACACCGGGGAGAATGCTGCAGTGGAGTCAGCCATCAGTACTCAGAAAGTCACTGCTGATATAACAGGTGAGTCAGAACTTGCACATCACAAATACAGAGGAGAGGTAAAGAGTTGCAGCCATAATGCAAACAAAAATCCACTGACATTAGTACACCTTCCATACACAAATACACAGCGGGAGCAGTAATAAATATTGTGCTTTTGAGTGTTCACAGTGCTTCATAACATTGCTTTACAGATGATGGGCTGAGGCCATCTAGTGTGTTCATAGCAGAAAATAAGATTCGAGTCAGGCATCTTCTGATCAGTGGCTCAGTTTCTTAGCCATTTGTCTATATGAGCCTCAATGTCTGGATCTCCATATGGCAACAAAAGATGTAAGCAAAATGACTGGGGAGATCCATCCTCGGCCATGAAACTAACTGGGTGACTTTGGTTCAGTCACTAACTGACAGTGTTCTTTTAGTGAGGATAAAATATTGAAAGAAAGAGAAGGATTATGAAAGCTGCCATGGATTCCTAAGAGGGAAAAAGGTGGGTTATAAATGTAATAAATAACATGAATGTCTTTGAATCATTCAAAGTGTTCACCAGATGGGTGTCTGATTATCCATATATTTATTTATTTTTCCTCCCAATAGCCAAAGCTCTCTGGGTGATGAACAATAATAAAGACAATAAAATAAAATATAAATAAATATTATAATAAATATTACATTAAGAGTTAAAACCATATTTAAAGCACAAATTCCATAAATCTTAATTTTTTTATAATAGTTGTAGTTAACAGGTATGAAAAGCCCCTTAGAATTAGGCAAGAGTTATATAACATAGTTGGCCCTCCAGGGTTCCTCAGACAGCAGTTCCCTGACCTCCCCTTTCTCCTGATTTCTTGGTTATTTTCTAGCCTTTGTGGGTTTTTTCTTTATTCTAAAAAGTTGAAATACCTTTCCTCAGACTTTATAACTGGCTTAACATAAGAACTTCAAGCTAAAATCTGCTGATATGTTTGGCTTCACCTCTGTTCCCTTTGATTTCCTCTTTTTCCTTGACCCACCACTAGAATTTAACCCCCAAGAGCTTCTCTGAAATGGAATTTAGCCCTCCTATTGAAAGAGGTTTAATTTCTGTGGATTAGGTTAAGGGTTTATTGTTGCATCTCATATTCTTTTTTGTGGTCTCTGTGCATTACACATATGGGCTCTGTATCTGCATGGAGTCTGTTTCTAAGGAAGATTTTACAGCTGAGTGTGTTTCAGCAGAATCTCCTCCCCCATTCTAGTGTTCAGTATATATTGTAGGAATTCCTGCCAGTTCCGTCAGTACTTCTTTGATCATTTTCTCTGTTGCTTGAGAAGTTCTTTCTCTGCTGCTATTCTTGCAAGCTCTGAATGTCCTATTATTTTCCTCAAAACTCTACTCCCTTCTCCTTTTATTCTTCATTGCCCTTTTTTTCTGTTTTCCCCATATCTTCCACATGAGCTATCTCCCTTGTCTGCTATTTTTATCTTCTATTTCCAACACATCTCTCTCTTTAGCTTCCAAGGCACCTTTCTATAGAATGCAGTGCCTGAATTGAAAGTGTCCCACCAACTTCTTTCTCAGACGGAGAGATCTGTGACTTCCTGACTTGACCTTCATCCAGGTCGACTCCATGTACTGAGGACCGTCCAGTCCAATCCCTTGGACTCCTGAACCCTTCCACACCATGTCTTCAAATCTTGGTGTCTGCTGGGCCTTTCAAAAAACAGGTTGGCCCTTTTGGCCAACCATACATGACCAAGTGTACCTGTTTGGTGGCCACTACTACCAGGGTCATCCATGAGAGCTGCCCATGCAACCACATGGTTATCGTTGGCCTCAACCACCACACCTTCACTGAGCCACACACTGGTCACCACTGAGGGCACTCTACCTTCTGACCAACAACCAGGCACATCATATGAATAACCTGAGTGACCTCCAGCTGAACTCTGGCTCGAACTCCAGAACAGACTATGGCGTGGACTCTGAATCGACAACTGAATCCAGGGAACCTATCTCTATCTCCCCTGACAACATTGTCTCCTCCCAAGGTCTGGGATCTGACTACCTCAAAACTACAATAGCAGAATTGAATCTGCAAATTCAGGACATAGTAATAGCAGCCCAACAACAGACACTCCTATGCCATGAAATGGGAAAAATTCAACAGATATTCCAGGGACCGTTCTGTACACCCTTCCACTGCTACCATTCCAAGAATACTCAAATTCCTCCATTTCCTTTACCAATTGGGTCTTAAACCTACCTCAATAAAAGTTTGTCTTCAAACTCCATCTACCATGGCCCCATCAAGGGCTAATCCAACTTCACCCATCCCCTCTTGCACCACTTCATGAAGGGACTGAAAAATCTACCCCCTCTGACCCAAAATATCATCCCCAGCTGGAGCCTATCCATGGCAGTGGTTGCACTAATAAAAACATCCTTTGAGCTACTTGCCACCATTGACTTAAGACTTCTGTCTTGGAAGGTCTCCTTCCTCATTGCTGTTACCTCAGCATGGAGTGCAAGTGAGCTTTGCACACTACAGATAGATCCCCTGTTAAGAGAAGGTTGTCTTCCATACCGCTCTTTGTTCCTTCTCAAAGTCTCCTCTTTGTTCCATATTGATCAAGACATTGTGTTACTGGCTGTTTACGCATCACCAACCACAGACATTGAGAGAATTCTCCACACTCAACATCCATCATGCATGGGCATTTCTGTCAGTCCCGAACTGACTCCATCCAGAAAACTAGGCGACTCTTCATAAAATACTTTTACCATTCCAAGGGAGAACCAGTTGGACCCCAGCGCCTTGCATACTGGATCTTCAAAATGATCAAACTGTACTGTCAGATCTGGACCTGCCTGATCGACCCAGAGCAAGAGCAGTCTCCAGGGCAATGGCTCTTCATGCGGGACTTCCACTAGAAGCTCATTGCTGGGCTGCAACACGGTCAACACCGTCCACATTTGTCCAGCACTACCGCCTGGACATCAGGGCAAGACAGGTCTGCTCCTTTGGGTGGGCTGTATTATCCTCCATCTTACAGTAATGACTGAATGTTTAGACAAGCTGAACTGTTCTAAACTATGTAGTAACGATGCCACATTTGTATAACAATGACTGAACAGTAGGGCTTGAAAAAATTCCTAAGTCATAACTTTGTTGATTTATAACTTAATGTAAAGACACCTCCCACCACCCTCTGAGGTATGTTTGCCAGTCACCCATATGTGTGATGCCCAGAGACCACGATGAAGAAAGACAGGTTGCATACCTGTAACTGGTGGATATTGGTATAGGTACTTTGATAGGTCCATATGTATACTTAAATCTTACCTCCTATTTCCATGGCAATAAATACTTGGGGACTGATAAACATTCCTGATATGGAGAAATTTTCCCAAACAAGGCACTTTGCAGGTGCAGCACCATATGTGTGAAAGCACAGATGACCACTTGAAGAACGACAGTTATAGGTATGCAACCTGCCTTTACCTATCTTAGTACTGTTTACTTCAGCTTTCAAGTGGCTCTTCCAAGTCTCTGGCAGTGGTCATTCAGAATCCAGCTACCTGAGGTCCCTGCAGATATTAGTGTTTCTTTGTAAAATCCCTGCAGATAGTGTTCAAACCTGGTACTTTTGCATGGAAAACATGTGCCCTACTGCTGTGGTATAGGTTTTCCTTTCAGAATTGGACCTGCACAAACCTGTTTTCTCTGAAGAAAATACTGCTTTTTAAATACAAACTTCTTTTTATTTTTTTGAGTAGCTGAATATTAAACCTTTTGATTTTGTCCACAGAACCAAAAGCAGAAGAGAGTGTAGACTCAGAAGCACTTCCAGATCCATCTTCATCATTGCTGTCACAACTCCCACCAGCACCGTTCCCTTCTACTGCAGGGTCCACCTTCCGGTCTAACACACAACTTTTGCCTCCCCTTTCAAAACCTCAGCATGTTTACAGTGAGAAGGTGAGGAGCTTCAGGAAATGTATTATGTTTATGTTTCAGACTTCTAATGTAACACTGTTCTTGATAGAAATTTTTGAATCTTTAAAAGGAGAACATGATGCACTGCCCCGTAGGTGCTGTGATGAAATATTGGGAAGACAAATATTGATATGACAGTGTATATCGATATTCAGATATTGAAAGTGACAGACAAAAAAAAACTGGTTACTTTGGCAGGTAATTGGTGGTTAATTGCTGGGAGGATCGTGAAGAAAAAACTATAGTTATAAATGAAAATCTCTTGAAGGCATAATTTTTAATTACAAGTAGGAAACAACAGCAGGATGTATTGGTGAGAGATGTCTTAGCTTATGAACAGATACTGGCATGATGTCAGGATAGGGGATGTTAATAACCATCATAGTGCAGATTTGGAATACTGTGTCTGATTCCATTTTGTGTCCAGTTGCTATTTAAACTGTGAAAAACCCAGTGAATGTTTGCAAGGAACAAGAACCTGCTCTGTGAACAGAGGTTGAAAGATGACTGAATAGTGAAAGCAGTAATGAGTTAATTGGGTTAATGATTCATTGGTTACAAAAACTAGTGACTATAATTTGATAACTAATAAATGTAGAACTGAATCTGAAGATTTGTAACTGGTTGAAATATACAGTTAATAAGCATAGAGTTTTCAATCCAAATTTCTGGCTAGATTTCAAGGATGAAATATCTGAAATATTTCATTTTGTCACCTTTCTCCTAAAACTGTTGCTGTAATGGAGTATGAAAGTTCTTGAGTAGAACTTACTTCCAAAGAAGAAAGAAAAAGGCTGTATCAAGGGGTCTTTGACCCCCTTTTAACAATCCGCATCTCCATTTTGCCAACCAGATGCCCTGGCTTAGATGTGCTTGCCTTGCATTTTCCTTATTCAAGTCCAGCTAGAAGATCCTCTTATTCACCATAAAGAGTAATGAGACATCCTTCTGTTTATTTGCATTCCATATTCAAATTATTAATTTCTAATGTGTCAAAATTAGACATGACTAAGTGGCAGATTCAGTTCACCTCTACTTCCACAGACAGTTTTTAGACTTTCACTTCTGGAAGCCCCCTACTACCAGGAAGTCCAGAACATGTGAAGATCTACATGCTTGCCATAGTCTCAAATCCATTCTCTTAGTAGTGTTTGTGGACCAAACTCTTCCTCTTCCTTGTACTCAGAAAGTTCTACAATAGGACTTTGTTTCCTTAGGATACGACAGGTTGACCTTTGATCCATTTGATATAAGTGCTGATACTAGAACCTAAATGCAGATGTCAGAGATCAAGATTAGTTAGAAATTGTCATGGATTTTATGCTGCCTGTCCAAACTTGCTTTACTCTGATATTATCTGTCCAATATTTTTTTTTCTAATTCAGCATAGCTGCTACTTTCTGATAGAGTGAAAGATGAGGGGCAAGAACAGAAAGTGAGCTGCAGATTCTTATTATAGATTTAAAGGGTGAACCTGGCAGCGTCTTCTGCCCTTCGCCAGGCAACTGACTGGTTGTCCTGAAACGTCTTCTCCCTTGAAATTGAGTTCTCTGTAAGGTGGTGGTAACTAAGTTGACAACTAAAAGTGAGACTGATGGTGGGTCAGCAGATTTATTAATCCTTTAAAGACTATGTAGGGAGTGTGTCAGAAGCTGGGTTACTTCCTTCCTCCTCTTAGAAGGTTATTTGGCAAAAGACACTTTATTTCAAATGTGCAGCCAGTAAACTTATAGCCAACAAAGGAAGAGTCTCTGAACATACATAGTATGGTTCATTGAACCTGAACTTGAAACTATGTCTGAGAACCCTTCTTTTCAATAATCCTGAGCTGCACTCCACTGGGACTACCCCTCTGCAGAAGGGTTAGCCTTCTAGATCTATTCAGGTCCTCTAGTTGGCTAGCCCTTCTCTGCTGATGCTGTGTTGTGGTCTGGGATTGGACAAGGCTCCTCTAGCTCCTCTCCCTTGTCTCTTCCTTGTACTTCCAAACCCTGTTGGTTCTCAAGGCCTGCCTGAACACCTGGAGGTCATAGAATACCAGAGTTGGATGGGGCTGTAACTAGTGCTGAGTAAAGGGGAACTAGTACCTCGTGTGAGTAGAAAGTGCTTGATGCAGCCCAATATAGCATTATTATTTTTTTTTGCAGCCTCATCACATTGTTGACTCACATTCCACCTGTGATCTATGACAATTCCAAGATGTATCTCACTTGTAGTATTGCTGAGCCAAGTATCTCCCATCTTGTTTGGTATTTGATTCCCTTTTTCCTAGGTGTAGAACTTGGCATTGGTCCCTATTGAATTTATTTATTTATTCATTTATTTATTTGGAACATTTATATGCCGCCCCATTCGCAAAAAGCCTCAGGGTGGCTTCCAAAAAATTTGATTCTGTTGCTTTCAGCCCGACACTCCAACCTATCAAGATCACTTTGAATTTGTTTTGTATTGCAGGGTATTAGTTATCCCACTGTTTTTTGTGTCACCTGCAGATTTGCTCAGCATTCCCTGCACGTCCTCATCCAAATCATTCATTAAACATTGAAGAGTGCAGGGCCCAGGACTGAGCCCTGCAGTACCCCACTTTTCACTTCTGTCCAAACTGAGAAGGTGCCATTGAGAAGCACCCTCTGAGTCCAATTCAGTATCCATCTATGGATCCATCTGATAGTTGTACTTTCAAACCCACATTTAATCAGTTTGCTTACCAGAATGTCATGTGGCACTTTGCTGAAGAGCAGATGTATTGTGTCCCAAGCATTCCCACAGACAATCAGGGAATTTACCTGATCAAAAACTGAGATTGGATTAGTCTGGCAAGACTTGTTCTTGTTAAATTTGTGTAGCCTTCTACTCCATTGTCTTCAGGGTGCTTACCAACTTCTTTATTATCTGCTCTGTATTTTCCAAGGGATTGATTTCAGACTAACTGGCTTGTAGTTCTCAGGATCTTCCTTTTTGCCCATTTTGATGATAAAAACAACATTCGCCCTCCTCCAGTCATCTGGAACTTCACCTGTCCCAACGATAATGAACAGTGGTTCTGAGTGTTCTTCTATCAGTTCATTTATTATTCTAGGATGTATATCATCAGGTTCTGCAGATTTGAACTCATTTAACGAAATTAGGTGTTTCTGGCCATTTGTTTATTAATCTGAAACATCCTGACCCTATGGTTTGTAGTTCATTTCTGTGGGGGAGGTCATAGATTTGCTCTTGGGAAAAGACAGAGCTAAGTTGAAATTGAGCACTTCTAATTAGCACTTACTAATTTGCCTTCCTCATTTAGAAGTTGAACTACCTTTTCTCTGTTGTTTACCATGAACATACCTGGAAAAAGAGCATTTTTGCTGTTTTTGGCATCCCTTGCTAGTCTCAACTTGTTCTTCATCATGGTCTCTGTGCATCACACATATGGATGCTGTGCCTGCAAAGTGCCTGTATTCAGGAAGATTCTCTCAGCTAGTAACATTTTTAGCAGGAACTCCACTCCTTGTATAAATGTCCACTTTTGGCCACTGTCCACTTTTGACCACTGTTCACTGTGCCTCAGGCTCTCTCATTGCTTTTGCTTTCCCTCACAAACTTCTTCTACTTTAACTTTAAACTTATCTGTATCTTTCTCAACCTAAATCCCTCACAAACCTCACAATCTTAAACCTTACTAACCTTTAAACCCTCCTCACAACTCTTTCCTTTCCCCCTCCCTTCACACAATCCCCCCACAACCCCCCCCCCATCTATTCTCTTTCTCTACCTTTTATTTCTTATTCTCCTTGATGGTGCAGTGTTCTGCTTTTAGAAGGTGACTAGTGGGGAGCAAAGATGCCATCTATGGACATGCAGTCACTCTGCTTGCCATGTCTGGGTGAAGGATATCGCATGGACAAATGCTTCTATTGCTAAGCCTTCACCAAACAGGCTCACAAGAACTGAGAGAATCACCTCAAGAAAGTCCTATGGGATATGGCCTTGATGGTGATGAAAGAGGTTACCGCAACTCAGCCTGCTAGCCCTTCAGCCTCTGAAGGAAGCACCCCTCTGTGTGCTGATCATGGTGAGAGTGCCAAGCCTGACAAAGAGCTCTCAGGATGGTATCAGTCCCCTAAAAAACGAGGAGAAAAGGAACCACCTTAAGACCAAAGGGACTGCTGAAGAGAAGTGTCCCAGGAAAGAGAAGCCGGAGAAGAAAAAGAAACGGCATTCTCATTTGGCATGGAAGGATGTTCCATACCAATATAAAATAGAATAGGGTGCCTCGGTACCAAGCGAGCCTCCTTTTCATCCTCACTCCATATGGATGACACTGAGACCATCTCCTCGCCACAAGACAAGCCTGTCGCCAAGACCCTCTCCACGACCATGCTTCAGCCCAGTTGACTCAGGCTTTGGAACTGACAGTCAGGCTGTCCATCTTGGAAGGAGAGATTCGAGTCTCCTGTACACTCTCTGGCACCATCTGACCAATTGGTGCAGTCAGTTCAAGAGCGCCAGCAGCCGATACATCTGCCCACTCCAACCTTATACAGGCACCTGTCGCCACAGACCTCACCAGGTTTGATCTGAAGAACACCTCCTCCATTTGAACCCGAACTCCCTCAGTATGGAAGGAGCCAATACTGGATGCCTCCCCCATATGGAGGCTATGGACATGGATATCCATGGGAGTACCTCCCACTCTACGGATACTCTTAGCCACCCACGACCGTGTTGCAGACCTCAACAACCCACAGATATACCATCCACATCTCGGGAAGAAACAACTTCCAGAGCTCAACTGGTGGAGGAGGGATCTCCAGCTCGATCATCCTCATGAAGTACTGCTTACCTCTCTGAATTGGATTCAGAAGGCACAGAGCAGGCATCCACCTCACCTGATCTTATAGTTTTGACTCAAGGCCCAGGATCACCCGGAGAGAGTATAGGACACTTCTTTGAACTATTGGTCCATATGTCAATCTCCTTAGGGATCGACATCCAAC